AATTATTATATAAAACTATTTTATAAAGATTTAATATATTTAATAATTTAATAGGAAAATTTCCTAAAACGTTTATAAAGCTACTTTAATATATTTAAATTATTATAAAAAAATATATAAATTTATATATAAAATTACTTTTATTTTATTAAAGGAAAATAATATTATAATATAAATAGTTAAAGCTTATTAGAACTATATAGGAAAGTATTATTATAAATTAAAAAAAAGAATTTTAAAAATAAAGTACTTCCCCTTAACCTAAAAAGTAGCTTAAATAGCTATAATCCCTAAAGTAGGAAAAACTAACTTTTTATTCTTTAAATTATTTAAATTAATAATATTCCTATTATATATTAATAAAAGATATAAAAGATTAATTATTAAAAAAATAATATAAATTAAGCTATAAAAGGATATATTTAACCTATAATATATTAAAATATTCCTTATAAAATTAGCTATAAATTTAATAATAAACTTTACCTATAAAGTAAAAATAATATTAATTATAAAAAAAAAAGCTATATTAATTATATTAAATATATAAGGGGCATTTAATACATTATTATATAAAAAGCTATTAATTTAAATAATAAAATAAAGCTAATTAATATTAATTATAAAGTTAACTAATAACTTTTTAACTATTAGGAATATAAGAACTAAATTAAAAAAAAATATAACGGAAGTTTAAAAGTAAAAATATAAAACGCTTTAAAAATTATTTTAATCTTTAATCCTTTATATACTTTATATAATTAAATTAATTATTACTAACTTTAATTATTAAAGGTATATAAATAATCTAATAATATTAAAAATAAAGGATACCTTAAAGAAAAGTATAAAATTAATAAAGAAAAAGATAAAAAGGATTTTAAAATATAATATTAATAATAAAATCTTATTTACCTTAAAAAAAATAAAAATAATCTATTTTAATAAAAAAAAAAGAATAAAAACCTAAAAATATAAACCTTAATAAATATAATTATACTTATATTATTATATAATAAAAAAAATATTAACTTTTTAATTAAATAAATCCTTTAAAGATCTTAATTAATATTATAATAGTTAAAGGTATAGTTTAATAAATAACTTATATTTAAATAATATATTAAAAAATAGGTAATAATTATAATATAAGTTTTAAATTATATTAAAGCCTTTATAATAATTAAATAAAACCTTTTAATAATAGTATTATAAAAGGTAATTAAAATAATAATCCTACCTTTACTTTTATATAAATATAAAGTATAATATAAAGGAAAAATAAAATTAATAACTTATAAAGGTTTAAAAAGGTTAATAAAAATTAATATAAAGTTAAAAGGATATATAAAATTAATTTAAAAAGCTTTAATTAAAGCAATATATAAAATGCTCTTAATTTAAAAAATATAGTTAAATATAACCCTTTTTATAAATAATAGCTTTCTAATAATTTAATTAACTTTAAATAAAGTAAGATTTTACTTTTTTTATAAAATTAATATAATTATAAACGGCTACTCCTTAACTATTAAAGCAGAATTTAAAATTATTAATTAGGAAAAAAGGGTTAAATAAATATAAAAGCTATGGTTTAATATTTAATTTATTAAAAAACTCCTTTTAATAGTTAAATAGTTAATACTTTACCCTTTAAAATACTTTAAAAAATTAAAAAATAACCTAATAAGGAGCATAAATAAAAAAAAAGCATTTAAAAAATTTAAAAAATAGTTTAAAGACTATTTTATTTTTAATATAATAATCTTTTTAAATAGCTTAAAAAATATAATAAGGTTAAGTTATAAATTTATAAAAAATAAAAAATAAAAAAAAGTAGCTAAAAGTTTAAAGGGTATATACCTATTAAATAAAGTTTATAATATAAAAGAAGTAAAGGTATTTAAAAGTATATAAAAAGCTATAAAGCTTTTCCTTACCTTTAAAATTATATTATATATTAATAATATATTAATAATATATAATATTAAAAAGGATATTTTAACTACCTTTTAAAGTATATTTATTTAATTATATAATATAATAAATATATATAATATAAAGTTAAAATAATATTTAAACTATATAAATATAAAAGGGAATAAATAAATTAATATATTAATAAAAAAAGCAGCTAAAAATAAACTATTTAATTTAAAGTTTAATAGCTTTATAATTATAGAAATTAAAGCAATAATAAAGAAATAAATTTAAAAAAATATATAAGCTTAATAAAAAAATAACCTACTAGTTAAAAATAAAGCAAATAAAACTATAAATATAATATAGCTAATTAATTATTAATTAATAAACGTTAAATATATCTTTAACTATTACCTTAAAGTATTAAAATTGCTATAAAAGATTTTAAATAAATACTTTATATACCTTTTAAAGTATAAAAACTTTAATTAATACTATAAGAAATTTAAATATAAAGGGGTAAAAATATATTACCCCTATATAAAAACTAAAAACTAATAAAACTATAATATAAAAATAAAGTTATACTTAATATATTATAAAAGGTTATAAAAAAGAATAATATAATAATTAAAACCGTTTAAATTAAAACTTAAAATAAATAGTAATAAATAAAAAAAGAATAATTAATTAATAAAATTTTATAAATTAAAATTACTAAATTTAAATAATTATAAAGCTTATTTAATTTAATTCCTATAAAACTTATTAAACTTTTAATAATTTTATTAAATTATAGGTTATTTTATAAAAGTTTATATACCTTTTATAATTTAAAAAGTTTATTATAAAAGTTAAATTAAAATTATTAACCTAATAAATAAAAGGAAAAAGAAAAATAAAAACTTAAATATTATATAATTATTTATATTAATAAATAGTTTAATACTTTTAAAAAACCTATAAAGCTAAAAATTAGCCCTATATTTATTTATTATTAAATATTAGCTTAAAGTAAAAGGATAATGAAATTTAAAAAAACTTTAATAAAACTTACCTTAAAGTATAAACTTTTTAAACTAATAAAACCCCCCCTTTAATTAATTTAAATATCTTTAAAACTATTATATAAAAGAAAAAAATTATTAACCTTTAAAGCTATTATTAAAACTAATTTAATAATATTATTAAAAATTAACCATTTTATATTATAAAATAAAAATAGCTACCTTAAAAAGTATTATAATTTAAAATAAAAAATATAGCTTATTATTATTAATTATATATTTAATTATTAAAATTAATTTTAAATAAAGCTTTTAAATTAAATAAAATAATTAATTTTTATTAATAATAACTTCCTTATTCCTATTTTATAAAAAATAAATAAAAAAATAATTATATATAATATATTACCCTTATAATTTATTACCCTTAAAAAGCTTATAGTAAACCCTTTAAATATTTATAAATAACCCTTAAAACTATAATTAATTTATTAAAGTTTTTATATTATAATATAACTATTAATCCTTATTAATTAATAAAGGTTATTATTTATAAATAAAAGGAATACTATTTTATAAAAAGCCTTTTATATTTATTATATAATATACCTTTTTATTTATATTTTAAATTATATATTATATATTATATATTATACTTTATAGGTTTTTAATTTTCCTTTTTTTTTTATTCCTTATATATAAAAGCTTAAAGGTTTAAAAATAAAAAAATATATATAAAATAAAAATATAAAAATAATATAAATAAAAAAGTAAATATAATTATATTAAAAAATATTTATTCCTTTATACCCTTTATATATATAATCCTTTAAAAGTTTTTATATATATAATCTTTAAAGGCCCTTTATATATAAATATAAATATAATATAAATTAATATATTTAAAAGTATAAAACCCCCCTTTAAAATATAATATAAATTAATATACCTAAAGTATAATCCCTTTTAATTTTAATAATAAACCTATTTATTACTATTATACCTACCTACCTATTAATCTATTATATACCTATTATAGCTTAACCTAATTATAAGCTTTAATAATAAATAGTTATAATAGTTTATAAATATTTAATAATAATTAGTTAAACTATTACCCTAAATATAAAGTTATATCTATTATTACCCTTTATAACTAATATTAAATCTTATAAATATATTAAATTAAATTTTAAGTTTAAAAAAAACGAACTAAATATATAAAGTATAAAAGTCCTAAAAGGAATAAATACGTAATTATAACCTAATACGCTTAAGAAGTAAAAAAATAGCTTTAAAGCTACTATATACATAAAACAATAATGGATAGCTTACCACGTCCTAATGCCCTTACGGAGGCCTGGACTAACTGCAACGCAGATTAGTCCCTACGACGTTAAACACTGTCAATCAATCAATCAATCTGGTAGCTCCGCCAGATACCGTATGTATCCATTGTAATTATTCCACCATCAACCCCGCTGCACATAACGGAAGCAGGCTTCATTTGCGCAGTGTTACGCGCCTCAACATATATGCGATCCCAGCTCGACAGTATGAGACATATCCGAGGTCCATGGTGCCGTTTTGAAGAAAGCCAAGGCTCAAATGGGTTTTCGGCCAGTTTGCCGAATTCGTTACCTCTGCGCAACTAGGAGATGGAGATCCAGCGTAAATGGAACCTGAAGATGGCAAAGTTCTAAACTCCGCTAAGATGATAATATACCCTTTTTAAGCTTCGGTGCTGGAAGGGAATGGATTGGATCGTCGAATCATACGGGCAATCTTTAATACCCTTCAATATAGGGCTATTATACAATTGTTGTCATCATTCAAAAGCTGTTGCTCACAATGTCTCGCTTGATTTGAAAAACACAATGCGACACCCCGTTAATAACACTGAATAGTACTAAATACTTTCCATACAACTTAGAGTCGAAGTGACTATATAAATCACTTCCACACGTTTGACACACCACTCTCGTTTGACAAAGAATCGCGAAATATCGGATGGCATACTGTAAATAATATGCATGAAAGTGATTTGGTTGAGCTTTTAGTATGACGTATGGTCATTTTGATACATTCTTGGGCAAATCCTGTCCCCCTCCCGCGCCTTGGATGCTCTGACAATCTAGGTAAGAAATGTGCCCTCTCCGATGGGGCTCTCTTCACGTTGATCCTTGCTTGGGAAGAACCAGGACATGTCGAACTTAGTTGCAGAGATAGTATTGTCCTTCTCGAAGTCGTGAATGAAGGTAGTATACCAATGTCGACGCCCTCTCCCTTCATTGGTAACGGTATATTTCTGGCGGCCATTACTCTGGGCTTTCGCAACAAGATCGTCCAAGGTCATCGTACCATTGATCGTAAAGACACGTTTGTAGACGACGTTCGGAGGATATGAACGGTCGGTGGAGATGAGTCGAATCTTACAACGTAACTTATCGTCGCCCGATCCGGGGACCACGTCGAGCCGGATCCAGGTGTTGTTGTCAAGTTCAAGATACAAGTACCATACATTCACATTTGGGACATTGAACGATTCGTGAAGCGCGCTCCACACGTCCCTTGCGATTAAATGTATAGCCATGATTTTTCTTGTTCGGTCCCGGACATTTAAGGCGCTGGCATGCCAGTTATCATCCATATTGTCGAGGAACTCTTGTGGTCTTGCACGGGCAAGATGTAGCTTCAATGGTTGGCTTGGCTTGTGTTAGTTATTTGAAAGGCAATGTGTGGGGTGTTGATGTGTATTCGTGTATTTGTTATGTCGAGCTGTGTGTCCCGGATAAAGAGTCAGACTGATCTTTTTGGGGGTTCTATTCTACACCTAGCGTTATATACTTACTCTATGCACGTCCCGACCAGTCTGCCAGGAGTAGAATATCAGTCAAACCTCTATAGTTATACTTGACAAGGGGCGCTGATTTCATAAACAAACCGACGCCTGTTTCAGTGAGTAGTATAAGAAATACCAAAGAAATATCCTTGTATATTGATGGTGACGCACATATTTTTGACGAGGCGTAACGATCACACTGTGCCTTTCAACCATGCGCTCAGTTTGACTAAAAGTTTCCTTGGGTCTTAAGGGCAATCAATTTATTAGTACATTCACACCAAGTTTTGTAAGTAAAATCCCATGCATCTGGCACTCCGCTACCTAGTAGGACCGCTATATATGCCAACGCATACAGCTAATTTCCTCCCTAGACTTAGCCACAAAGTGAGCAAACATGCAACTGTCTCCCTTTTTGGTTTCATAGTTCAGGGGTCGCCGATTTGCAGATGTCTGTAGCGGTGTAGCCTTTCCTTGTACAATCGCGCTCAGGCCGGGCAAGATTCAGCACATGGGAGGCCTCCGTTTGCTATCTTGTGGAATGGTCCCGCAAAACCCATGCCTTCATATCAGTATTCAGCAATGTTTCATACGCTAATCTGTAAACACTCCAGCACCCATGCTGTTGATAGGAGTAAGTCAAGCTCTACTGAATACCTGAAAATGGGACGTGTATTGAAGAGGATGATAGGTTATTGTACCATGGAGAATAAAGTACAACATGTACTTAGGGGTAAACACCTCGATGGAATCTGTTGGTATTGGCGTCTAGACCTCTCCAAGTACATTTTGTTACGTAAATCACGTATTGTGAGTATCCCTATGAGGCTATCAAAAACAATCATGAAATTAGTCTTCCCCGGCTTTTGGGAATAATTACCACGCTTGATTAGTTGCTCGGCTATTGGTCTTCGTGGATGACGAGACGATGCCACGAGAGTTCATTAGAATCAGATTAGATAGTATCGGGCAATACCCCTATACTTGATCGAGTTTCCAAATGCCTACTTTTTGTTTCTAGAGCCGAGTCGGAAACTCCTTGTTGGAATCGTAACTGGGTATCCTTGGAAGAAGAAGTGCGGTATAGCTCAAGTGAACCTCTAATTTGCAGTGGTTCTTCACCCAAATCTACTGGAATCTTAGTAGAGTACGATGGTCAATGTTGATAAATACTTAAAACAAACAGTAATCATTCTAATGTCTCTATTCCCGGCGAAACACCTATACCACTCTTGTAATTACTGTCTCAACACCTTTGTAGCATACTACACACAACCGCTTTGAGTAACAGTGAGATCTCACCATCTTCCAAGTAGCATCTTCCGCTGCTTTGCGTCAGAATGAATCGTGGAACAACTGGCGGCTTGTCATCGGAAGAAGGGTGATTCAATGTAGCCTATGAGTTTCTTAGCTCTCATGCATTCGTTCCTCGCTTGCCCGTGTGGGTTATCTGATCTTCACCAATATTATGAATTGCGATGCTAATTAATCATCCAAATAAGTATTATGAGAAGGTACAATTACACTGAGTGATAATACGCAGCTGAATTCGAATATTAAAGGGAAAATGGTCCAGTTACATGGAAAAACACGTTCACGAGGAGCCGTTCCGTTAGTACAGGGCGAAAGTCGTTACTGTTACTATTGAAGTGGATGAAACTACTCTGTAGGGCTTGCACCATCTAATTATATAAGGAATATGGCGATCACAGCAAACCACTTATTAAATTTGACGAGTTGATGGGAAAAAAACACTGAATGAATGAGATGATCTTATTACCATTGTCTGAAGCCTTACTGAAGTTATATGAATATAAAGTAGATCCAGAAACTCCGAATCCATTTTAAGCTCATATATCCCTGTTTGCACTACACCACTTCTTTATGACTTTTGTTCCCTTTCTCGCACAATGATGAATCATAGAGGGTATTGAGGCCTTGAAACTAAGGATTCAACCCTGGAGCTGTTGCCTATCACAGACGCATTCCGAAACTTCGTCCGCAGCTTGTAGCCTTTTTACCTCCTCGGCACTAAAGCGGGCCAGCCACCCCTTCTTTTCAAATAGTTTCATCAATGATTCGCCTGTCATTTTCAGTATACATTGATACAACCCCATTTCGTCCATTAAACTGTGGTCGTCCAACACAACATAATTGCATTCCTTGGCGTTAGGGAAAGCGATGATATCGTGCCAAGCCTCGCGATAAGCAAGATCGCCACGATGTATGGAACTGAAAAGCTTAGGTCAGTGAGAATCAACTTAATATAGCCGTGTGGTAGTTTCGTTGTGGATTCGAAGTTCTCAATATGTAACTGCGATCTTGAGAAGAGTGACTTTGATTAACAACCGAGAAGATGGTTGTACTTACCAGTACGCTGTACGACGACATCCATCCGGCGGTGGCGAGTCGTCGAGACAATTGGTTAACATAATACGCCGCACACTTTGGCACTGAGACGGTGATAGACTCGTTGTTGATCTCCACCCGAAATTCTTGACACCGCCACGAACGCGACCACGTTCATTAAAAAAGTACGACCTTGCTAACTCATCGAGGTTAAGTGTGAAGACATCTTGGGCGAGGCTGATGTAGATAGCTCCTTTAGAAGGATATTTCGAGACATCTGTGTCCTCATTGTCGTCAACTCGGTCGTCTAGATGGTATTCATTGTAGAGCATTTGTGAAACGGGGAGTTTAACTGGGTACAATTCCATAGCAACCCCACGGCTTTCCGATGTAGCGCTAAAGTGTGGTGAACAAGCAAGTTTACGAAAGCATATCGCTCGTTTGGTGGTCTGATTGACTAGTACGAGTCGGTCCCGATGATGATCCAAGATGGATATTTCCCATATGAGGATCCTTAGCTCAGTTGGCAATTTGGAAAACAGCGGAAAGCTACTTGAGGATGACATGATGATTGGTGCCCAAAGCTAGCCTGAGATTAGTCACAATTCTGAGTTGTTAAATGATAGATAGCGTAAAGGTTACCTTAAGTATGCAAGCGCCCTGGACCCCTTGGCATTTCTGCGAATATGATGACGTGAGAGAAAGCCGCGCCACACGGGAACAGTTTGTTTGCCAGATATGCAGGGCATGCTACGCAAGGTAATTATTCTACACCATAAGTCGACAGCTTTCTCTCAATCTACTGGGATCTTGAAACAAAGGGCACTCGGTTCAGGGCCATAAAGCGACGCCGCGAAATCGAGCGTTTCATGGGGTGTCTTGTGCCCTATTTGACGCGTCATATAGCGATAGGATACATACCGTGTCTCTTATTTCATAGACACCAATCACCACATAAGACATGGAATGATACAGAAGGGTTGAACAACTAGCTGTCTAGAAACGCATGAACGTATCTTCCAAACTAAAAGGGGCCCGAACTGAGAGCATCACTGCCATACATTTCCCATAAGAGGCCAACCAAAAATGATTCGTGTTACACGGCCAAGAGTACAGAGACTTCAATATCATCATACAACACGCCTAGATATCACAAGGACCATAAAATCCTATGTCTATTGGATCAGAGTATCACGTGGCTGAGTCACATAGGAAAAGTACTTGGGAGAATCAAAAAGAAGGGAGAGCACAAGTCAACAAGAGAATTACGTCCTGAGTAACAGATAGAACTTTGAATTATTTTTAATGCCTTTGGAGAAATTCTCATCCAGACTCACATTACTATGAGCGGATGGTCCGCCCTAGCCTAATACATACTGAGCTCTAGGTGAATGCAGGTAGTGGAAGGTTTTGTACTGGCGGAATTTTAACAATAGGCCAGAAGGCATGGCTTGGCCTAAACGATTTATCTTTTCGCCAATTAGATGACTATAGTAATCAACAGGAGCTGCTAGTTAGAGTAATTCAGTCATCTATTAATTAACGCTTAGCGTCCTAGCATGGCATGGTCGATTTTCTAACTCCGAGAACCCCCGAGACAATTACTTTGCGAGGTTTGCACAGTCAAATATGTTAATAGGCAATGATTCTCTACTCCAAATTGATGATGCAGAAGAGAAAACGGCCAGAATCGGCTACATCACCTTGCTACCTGACTACATTTGTACTTCTCGGATATGCATTATACCCGAGCGATCTCCGGGAAAACCTTAGCCTTGGTAGATAAGTAAGCCTATGCGCCGATTCCTCGTTCATTCAACCAATACCTGCAGATCTTCTATGCATTGTAACCGTGATAGATTAAACCTCGCTAGGTACCTTTTACTTAAAATTTTGGTGGCATAGCTTGCTTATCGAAACCAGGCAAGAGACATCCCGACACCAAAACACCACAAAACAAGAAAACGAGTGAAATTTAACAGACATATCGTACTCATTCAGAGAGAATGTATGTATTGTATGCGATGTGCGTTTGCATGAGGTCTGGAAGCTTCTAGGAGCCCTGAGCCCTCTGAGTCGTAGGTTCATCCGACTACAGCCAAAACTGACAGGTGCGTCGCACAGCTGCTGGCCAGCTGCTGAAGCTGGATGACCAAAAACCTCTATCAGACTACTTGCGAATTTAGGCATTAGTCAAGAAAAATGGACTGAAAGCTTGTTTCGATGTCAATGTTACTACGAATGAAATAAACTCAAATTCATCAGTCGATGGCGCAACTAACTATACCAGCAAGGAGAACCACAACGTGGTAGGAGCCATGCGCTATGGGGAATGCAGATGATAGATGCTAGAAAAGCAGTGAAAGTTGACCGATGCTATCTCGCCATGATCATCGATATGCATCTTAGGCGCAGCATTAGATGTTGTATCAGATCCGTCTAGCCGTAAAGCATCCAATCCGTGCCAGATGTGTGTCGAAGCTTTTTTCCCAAGTATTGTCAAGACTCAACCCTTATGATGCCATCATATAAATGAGCCAAAAGCGAATAACCATATAGCGCTGAAAGGAATCGAACCTAACCTACTATCTGCCCCCTCTAGTCATAACACCCTAACTCATGTGTAGGTCACAGCTTCTGTACTTTATATTAATGTATTCGTAGTGATCTGGGCATTTCTCACCCACAAGGCTCAGACTTTCCCCCGTTCAATCAACATACTTTCTGACTCCAATCTCCTGCACTCGCTTACGTGACCAATCCTAATTTCTTCACGAAATTGAGTCTCAATGAGTGCGGACTTGAAAAGAGTGAAGATCAGAGAAAATTTAGTCCATCTTCCCAAAACTGAGTAGCGTGATCACAACTTGGGCTGAGTTAGAAGCACTGTGAAAAGGTAACGGTATACTTTGTTAGAAGTGCTCGAGGCTATCTTAGAAACCGGCTAGGACCATGTTAATGGGACAGGTCTTGCCCCTACGCCATTGTGTATTTCATAACTCTGCGTGTTCAAACTATTCATATCTCGAATCAGGTTTGAATAATAGATTTTAGAGTCGACAAAGCATAGTGGTTTGGGAACGCCCATTAGTAGCTAGGCTACCCTGCTCAAACATGGAGATGAAAATAGTTCTAGATTTCAGTACCGAGGTAGGCCAGTAATTAATATATTGAATTATGGAACCAGTCTATCTTAAAGGCAAGGAAACCAATATAATTTAGCTGCTGCTAAAATAGCTGCGCCTATTTGTTTTGAGCTCATCCCAGGCTTGGTGTAATTACACCAAGTTCTCTGAATTCCCGGGGTTCCTACTTATTAATAATGTTACCTCCTTTGCCCCTCTGGCCACTCTCCCCTGCTTCACAAGTCAAATGAATTTGACTTGCACCCAAGATCTTTTCTAGCCTCTTGCGATCGTAGCCTCTGTCAGAAGTCCTCGTTTCGTCAAATACTCGTCACTAACAGTAGTCGGTGTTCAATATCGGAGAACCTGCGGATAACTGAGACAGCAAAAATCCCTAAGCGTGTGAAACAATAGTACACTTAACCAGATAAAGGACCCGGCGATACTATGGGCCGTAAGTAGGAACCAGACCAAGGTTTAGCACTTTCTGTTGTCATAACGTAGTATAGCCGACCTCCGCTCTGAATAACTGCGCGAAACTTTCTCTTGCCGTAAGATGTATTGGAATGTATAGCCAAACAAGATGCCGCGGGGAGGCCCTGATGAAACGTGATACACGCAATCATATGCCATTCGTCTGGGGTAGATGCCGTTCGGATGAAGTGGAATATGCCTCCCTCAGCCGAAGGGACTAGTAAATCCAATTGGTTTGCGCTGTCTTTTTTGATGAGCATAGGGTTGCCTGTTACTTCACCTGGGTGAAGGATCCTTGTTGGTGCCTGCGCTTCCCACTTGAGGGGGCTGGAATACCCCGACGGGCTTTGTGCCAACTTTCCTTCAGCCGTGTGCAGCCGACCCCTTGCAACGCAGACCATCACGATGTCTGTTTTCTCAAAGCTATACCCGTACAAACTTCCCGAGTTTCGTTGGATCGTCGCGACAGACACAGATGAGATAAAGCCTAGATCTTTGGCGATATGGTCAATTGGCTCCCAGAGCATTTTTTCAGAAGACCCTTTAGTAGAAGTGTGCAAGAGGCCACCTGATTGACAAGGAACAACTAGGTTCCACCGCTGCGAGTCCCACCCGCCGCTAGAGGTAACAGCTGGTGTACCGCTAATACGGTATTTAGGGAAAGGAGAATGGGAATCTTTGACCCATGAAGACCCATCCTTCGTGGAACGATAAAAGCTATGTAGCTTGCCACCCGAAACGCAGTACACCCATAAGCGTGAATTATCTGATTGGGCTGCTACACCAGACACAGATGAGTCGTTTAGCGTGGCCGTATTAGGGAGTAGCCGACCTTCAGACCAGGGCTTGGAGACATGGTCGTTTACTCGCTTGAAGTGCAAAAGACCACTGGGGACAGCGGCAATTATGTCATCGCTCTCTGTCATGGCGAACTGGCCGATTCGAGGATACTCGGTCCTCCATGCCTTAGGACTCAAGGCAGTAATTAACAAGTAGTGGACCAGACGGGGCGGTCGGTAGTGGAGGCGTGGGCTGGCCTAAACCACGGGATGAGGTACCAGCGCTAGTAGATGTGGAAGGTGTCGGAATGAACGCTGATATGGTGGATGCCGATGATGCTCTCAGGGTTCGTGAGCTTATGCTGTCGTTCGAAGCCATCAAACCTGAGCTAGACCCTCTCTCAAGGAAGACTCGACTCATCCTGGGTGCGATGATAGTTAGTGAAGAGAGTGATTGTACATATTATGGGGACATAATATCTTTCTCCCTGGAGGGAAGTACTCAATGGTGGTATGGCCCGTGCGTTAGGTGTTGTTCTGCATGTACGTGGTTTGGTCTAACAATAGAGGGACTTGGTTGCTCTGCCAGCGGTGCTTTGTTGCTGTGTTCCAAGATCCTCTGCTTTTTTTCAAAGAGGTTTTGCGGTTCAACTTAGTTCCAGAAGACTCTGCACATAGGGAGAAAGTTGTTGATACGTTGTAGCATTTCTTTATCTGGCGATTTGATTAAGGGGCGAAAACAACCACAACTATCCGAACACAGAGCTTGAGTGGCTACTCTCTCCTCGATCGAAACTTTAATTTCACAAAAGTTTTCAGTTGGTCGGTGGCACCTGTTCGCGTTTTGTCGTGCTTATGTCAACATTAACGCATTTCGACGCCCTGGATTGACGCCAGTTACCCTCCTAGACAGGGTCACATCTTCCTTAGATCAGGCAATCGGATTAAAGGTATTTGGAAAGGCTCAATACTATTAATTCCTACCCTTTCTCCTATTAAAAGGGGGCCTTTGCTTCTTTGTATATTTGACTCTGTGAACTATCTCCACTCCTTTGGGGTAACTTCTGGCCTAATGCTTCTTTGCCCTTGATAGGGATGCTGTGGCATTGATGGAAGATAGGCGATTAGCCGAGATGGTTCAGGACCTGGGACCGAGTACTCTTATCAACATAACAAGAACCAGCAGAGTTGATCGGTGTTGTCTTGGCAAAAAGGGGGATAAACATGCCCCGCTGTGCAATGCATCAGTTACACGGCAATCTTGTGTCTTATGAGTGGTAGGACTCATACTGAAATCTCGCATTACCCGAGTATGAACCAATTTTAAACTATAAATACAAATGAAATGTTGAAATATCCGTCCACGGGCTGTTGTTTGTACAGGTCTTGGCCATAAACTAGATTTTTACATGGCTATCCATTGTGCCAATAAACGGCATGAGGATCATACCACAATCGGTCGATAGGTGAGACTTAAAGCATGAGTTACCCGCGGAATTTACCTAATATTATCCGCTGTGAGTCCGTTGAGAATACCGTAGGATCGTCTTATGAAGTTTAGAGTTGCTGGAAATCCTTGTAGGGCCCAGCGTGAGTCACGGTGAGATTCGGTGTACCCAAATTATCCTTCCCCGTTAATAGCTATCAAAGACGGAATAATCCTATCAAGACAACGAACACGCGACCGAGTAGGGGACAAGAAATATAAATCGATTAATAAATATATCTATAGAAACATAAGATCAATAATAGCATTAGAAATAGACAGCGAATGTCCGATGACTTGGAATTCCGGATAATAATTACTGGCAAGGGTTGACGGTCATAATCGGCCACACTATATAACAATAGTGAAACATCGATGCGAAGACCTAGTACTATGATACAATATGCATAATTAGAGTAGGCGCATGGTAAAGATGGGGATTTTACATTTTGGACCTTGGGACCGTTGCATTGTGTAATAGGTACGGTATGTAGTTCTTGAGCGCCATTTGTGACCGGCCGGCTTGCTGGGAAGCTCACCACATTTGAATATCAGGCTGACTAGCACCCCGCTCGGAGATGAGCTCTGTCAGCTGTCACTTATGCGGAAAACTATATTCAATCCATCAACGAACGAACGTTCAGGCCGCTACAGGGGTCTATTTGGTAGAATGAGCGATAATCCAGGGGATGGAACGACGGAAAAGAAATAGAAACGAAAATAAAAGAAGCCACATCAGATGTATGGGTAGTACGTGCTCTCCGGGGTGCATTTGAGGGGTACTCAAGCTTGATGACAGACCGTTTTAAGACAAGACCAACTGAACGGCCCTGATCGGCCATAGTTGGAGTAAGTCCGATGAGGGTTGAAGTTCAGCTGAGGCTAAAATTCCCTATTCGCCTAGTAGACTTAGATCTAGCTGAGAAACCTACATACGATTGAATGTCCGTGAGGCTGAGAATGCTCTCTGCTAACGACATACAGTTGCATGATTAGCTAAGACATGCAGGGCAAGTTTCGGTCCCGAAAGTCATAACTCACCGTTCCGAAGGCCTTGTACGATAGAATATGGACTACCATGCAGGTAGACGCGGTAACCCTAGCGAGGACGTAATGGCTACCAACGTACGCTTGCCAAGAACAATTGCCCTAGGAAACATGAAAGACGGGACCACAGACTTCGTGCGGGTGTAGGTGAGACAAGCAAATTAGCTTGCTTCCTGCTTGCAACTATTGAATCTCATGACCTCTCTCGGAGTGACGCTTGGAGGCGGCTGATGGGCTGCGGAGTGGATGATAGCCACGCCACGTAGGGCCGCCGTAGGACGTTCGTATTCATGATACTCCGAGGGCGTCACATCTAAGATTTCCTAGATGATTGACGGATAGAATGGTATAAGATGCTCAATGACCGCAACGTTTGAATCTTGAGCCTGGCATGGAAAGACACTCACATCTCATCCATATCTACAGTCGTGACCAATCCATTCTCTGTCTAATTTGGCTCTTTCACATATCTCAACATGCGCTTCATCACTCTCATACCACTCCTCGGCACAGCACTGGCCGCTCCATATGAACTGATCTCCAAGCGTGAGCTCAAGGATCACGAATGGTCCCACAGCAAGAAAACCGGGTGTCCCGCCTATCTCGAAGCCGGCCAGTTCGAATATCCTCACTATATCACCCAAATCTCAGCCAAGCATCCCAACACGGCCTATGGACCAAAGCACAACGGTGTCTTCACGCCGAACGATATCTCGACCATCTTCAGCTTTGACATCCCGGCGTCGCGCGCCGACGCGAACTGTACGCTAGAATTCCTATTCCCCAAGAAGAACCAGCTGCGGACCTCATCGTACTCGTACAAAGGCAAAGGCACTTTCTTCTTCACGGGCTATTCGGCCGGTAGCTGTCCCGGCCCGGAGACTACTTTCAACAGCCAGCCGGAAACTGGCCCTTATCCGCCGTTCCCACCAATCCATATGGAGCCTGGCTACGCTTATACCATCGATGTCGGCCCATGCTTTGTAGCTTCGGGTACTTGTGTGGCTGGCGGTAAGTGCTCAATGTAGACTTTACGTCGGGGATAATGTAAGCTAATGGTACACAGTCACCTCAACCAACGACACGTACTTCTCTTACTTCCAGGATTATAATGACTGTCCCATCGGTATCTATACTGCGTACAGCTACGGCTTGCCTTGCAAGCCGCCATACTGCTAGATACAGTGGCTCTCCGACAGGTCTGGGGTGAGAACCTGGATGCGCGGCTGGCTAGTTGTCGAACCATGTACCTACAATTCTATCAGATAGTTCACCTATCTATATAAGAGATGATCTTTATGAGTCTGTGGACAAGTTCCTTTATGTTACGTATATGAAAGTGCTCGGAATGAATTTGACGTTCAAATAACGACCGTAATACTTCACTTTCCCGTGGCGACGCAACGTTGTACTACCACTCGTAAGTATTTCACGTGCACCTACCGTGTAACTGTGATGCTCTAAGGTGTCAGTTGGAAGGAGTACCTCGGATGATTTCCATCCCATCGCAAGGCCCACCAGGGCGCCATATTACATGCCAATGTTGGAAGTGGTAGCCTGTTATCATGAAGGACGTCCAAGGAGAAACAGAATTATCCATGTGGTAGCTGCAGTGGTATTCTTTCAGAAAAGCCTAGGCACCACCGAGTCAATCAATGGTAAGTATTCTTCCACCGCCTAAGCCAAACGGAAAGTATCATTGAATCTTGTTTAGTATCTCCTGCCAGCGCTGGTCATATATCTCAATGCATAACATATCACTGCCTAAGCTCTATCGGCCTTAAGCAAAACAATAGCTGATTATGTATACTGGACTTTGTCTTGCTGAAGGGAATATAAATTCTTCTGAAAAGCCTCCAGATGATAGTATCCTTAACTGATCGAAACCTTACTTGGACATTACCGTTACGTCCAGTAAGATTCCTCCACATTAGCTCTTGCCTTTCTATCATTTCTTGATGAGCATGTCACGGAACGACATAAGGAGTGCAGTACCTATGCCATTACGCTACCAAAAGGTAACGACGAGTTATCAAGTCGAGGGCTTGACGTCTCTGCACTCACTATCTAGTACTGTACTGTAACAGAGCAGACGCAACTTAGATTTCCTTTAGATCGATCCGGTGCTGACTTCTGATATATATTAGGAAGCTTAAATCCCCTCCTCCAGAAATACACAGTACGGGCGCCTCGAAGCCTCTGAATAAAGCAATATACGTAAATAAGCACAATCCAAACTTTTGGCCGCACTAGATGTAATGCAGTGCATAATGGAAATATACAACCACTTGCTACCGTCTTTTTCCCAAGGTGCAACGGTTGCTGGGTACTTGGGAGCTGTTATACTGCTCAACCCAGACAACAGAATAACGCTACGCTTGGGACCATATATTGAGGGAACACTTGAATATAACTCCTTCCGGTTGAATCGTGAAACAACAGGTCACGAATGGACAACTACAGACGAAGAATGACCTGGCTTGTGAAACGCAATTAGCATACCTTTGCTGGTTGCAACCCAATACTGCGATAGCTCCTTGTTTCTATAATGGAGCAAGGTATGACTATAATATTGAGAACCGTAACCTCTAAACACCATTATCTCGTTACCAACTGTGTCTTATCCTTCGCAGGGTCGAATGGGCAGTCCGTAACGACAATAATCCCGATGCCCACAAGTTCAAATCACATAATAATTATTGATAACTTTGGCATATTCCGTAGTGAATTCTTTTTATGAACCTGCGCAGAAGCTGTTCTATGTAAGCTGAAATCGTGGGTAGTACAAACATGTAACGCCACCCACGAGACCATCCTCTAAATAGAAAAAAACCAGATTGTATCGAGGCCCCCAACACAAGGCGTACACTCTTCAACTAACCATCTTGCAAACATACGTCTCCCAAAAACTTCCCGCTACGTCTCTTCCACCAGCGCGCCCTCCCCGGGCTTCCTCGCCTCGATCTGCACATACCGCCAGAAGCCGTACCCGCGATACGCGCCGACGCCAGCAACAGTATTAATGAAATACCTCTCGAGGCCGAGGAGCGAAATGAGCAAGAACGGCACGATAGCAAGGACGTAGAAGAAGCGCGTCATGGGCCGGATGTGATCCGATAGGTCGCGCACCTGCACCTCCTCGAACCCGGCGTCCTCGAGCATGCGCTTGAACGCGCCGGGGCTGGAGACGGCGTTCGTCGGCATCGCGGACCACTCGTTGACCTGGCGCATGGCGCGTCTGAGCCTGGTATTCGGCGTCTTCTTGTCCCCGCCGTTCTCGGCCGCGTCCGCCTCGACCTCCTCCAGCACGTTGTCGTACTCGTGCATGGCGAGTCGCCCGCCGGGCTTCAGCACGCGGAGGAATCCCGCGAGGACTTTCGCCGGGTCTGTGGCGTGCACGAGGGTCTCCATGGTGTACACGCCGTCGAAGGCGGCGCTGTCGAGGGTGTCGAGGTGGTGGTAGTCCATGTGGCGGACCTCGATCGACCCCTTCGCCTTCTTCGTAGCGGCGAGCTTGCGCGCCGTCTTCTTCGCCTTGCGCACGTGTCTCTCGACGACGTCGATGGCCGTGACGTTCAGTTCCTTGCCCGCCATGTACCGCGCGACATGTCCGTTGCCGCAGCCGGCGTCCAGGACGCGCGCCGAGGCGCGCACGCGCAGCGTCTGGAACAGCTGCTCTTCCATGCGGCGCAGCGAGCGCGATATGGGGAACGGGTTATATGATTTCGGGTCATCGTAGTACCCGAAGTGGCGCGTGCCCCCTAGCAGCAGGTCATACCCGAGCACCGACTCGAGAGACGCGTAGTAAGATTGCAGCCGGGGGTTAGGGTTGATCTCTGGCTTCGGTTCGGCCATTGCTAGCTCTGTGAGTATTTGGGAAAAGCAGGAAGAAGTTAGGTGCTGATCGACATGCTACGGTGATTGGATCTATAATTTACTGTTTGACGGAATCGGTGTTTGCTCAAACACTGCTACGTGATGTGATTGAAAGGCTGCAAGGGCTGACCACCTGGACAACCACACGATTGTTCCCGACATAGCTGAATCTGGCGAAGCTCGACCCACTTAAGTATCTAGAGGTCAACATGAAGTCATTCCCTGAAAGACAGGCGAAAGTAGCTTGATAGCGCCATGATATTGAATTTCTACTGTAAGTTAAGGTGATCTATTTAATCGACCACTTTGGGGTTCTATGCTATCGCGAGCCGCGCTCCGCTTTGACCTCTTTTTGCGCCTGGGCATTCATGTAAATCGCCTCCTTCAGCTTAGCGATAACTTCAAACTGCTCTCCAAACGCCCCTGACAGCTTGATATCGAGCTCTTGTTCAATGGTAGTGACATTTTGTTGTCCTCTTTTCCCGGACCTGGGTCCATTGATGAGCGTACCCCATCGCTGAGTAAAGGCATAAATGCTTTGTCGTAGTAGCTCATCTAACTTCTCATTTGCATCTTGGTCGGCTTGCATCTGCGTGAGATTTCCAGCCGACTTCCCGTCGGTAGCCGCGGACGACCAAAGCCCAAGAGAAAGTGTGCCCCCCAGGATGCCTCGAAACATTCCAATCCAATTTTGGGGACTGAGTGTATCCCAGATTTGACTGAAGTATTGCATCGTTGCTGGCTGTGACCTAACGTCGCCTATTTCAAGAGACATGAGCCCATTCTTTACGATTAGCAAGTTTTTGATCATGAACAGGTCAGGGTCTGGATCCGGGTTGGCTGCTTTGTTTGCCTTCAAGCGTGCCTCAGCCCGTTGCAATGCAGAGATTGTTTCTGTCACGATACGGAAAACAACGGGATTCGATTTTTGCTGCTCGCGGAGATCAATACCGAAATCTTGATATAGGATGAGAAAGAGTGTTACTTACGCTTCTCTCCTTGGGCATTGCCTGATCGTACATGGATAAGAGTTCAAGCGCGCGTTTCACGATAGGGTAAGCGTTTGACACTGTTGCACTGTCGCTAACCGGCATGGCCTTCAGTGCTTCCTGAGGTATTGGCGCTTTTGAAATCGATTTTGTCACTTCCGCTTCGAAGCAGCTGTCCGCGAACGGCCAGAGGTGTTCAGTGAGAAGTCGTGCTGTCAAATCATGGCAATGCAGAGAAAATTGGGTCTCTTCTTCATCATACTCTGACAGCAAATACTCGTTTGTAATCCACCCCAAAAAATTACATGTCGTCTGAAGGTCAGTTCCTTGAAGCACCGGTTGCAATGTGGTGGCAATGGGGTTTAGATTAGCTGCATTGATAAGCGCCTTCTGCTGAGACTTCAGAATTGAGTATGCGGACTGAAGATCAGGATTGAAATGTGGCTCTATTGAGAAGACCCGTAGGAAAAGACCGGCTTCATTGGAAGAACGCTCGTAGCATTGCTTAACGAAATTACGACAGGCTGTTTCAACATTAATCTCTTTCGCCTCTTTTCGGAAGGCTTCCAGGTCATGCTGTGTGATGGGTCGCAAACTTCTGTCCCGCGTATCTAAGTATGTTGAGAAGAGATTGACTATCGTGTTTGAATAAGTGTCGAAGTGCTCGTTGGGTATTGGCTGGCCAAACTGGTCGTAACAGCTACGAACTGCTCGCTGAATATTCGTAATCAGCCCATCAGCCTCGAGCAGCATTTGCTCACTGCGGCCATACGCCAAAGCGTGGCGAGCAGCTTCAGAGTGTGTCCCTAAAATCTGTCTCGAGATTTCTGAGGATACTTGCTCAAGATGGCTAGAGAATCCCGTCTCGAGAAGATGGAGTGCTTTGGTCAGAAGTGATTGATACCGTGCTAGGTATGATTCGGCATCGCGATAATCAGGCTAGTACAAGTCAGCAACAAGTGATACTTGCAATTGAGCTATAAGATATAGACGCCTCACATGTTGCATCATGAACTCTATACAGGCGTCTAGGTTGGTCAAAATCTCGCCAAAGTTCTCATGATCAACCAGGCGACTCGCGCCAGGAGCATTCAACCTCCGAGTGACCCCGTCCAGATATGCATAGTAGTGAAGATCCGTGCCGACCTCATCAGCCAGCTTCTGTAATCGTCGCTCTTCAGATAATAGGCCGTCGCATTGGGCTTGAAAGGATGAAGTCTGGGCTTCAACAGCTCGGAAGTTGTCAGCTAGAGATGTCAAGAGGTTGAGTGCGCTATTCGCGTCGGCAATAAGTCCACCCAGATGGCGTTCTGCCATGTCAAGCTGATCTCGGTAGAGCCTTATGTCCGTCAATATGGGTATCGTGGAACGGGCGGCGGCTGGTCCTTACATGTACTCCTGTTGGCTGGCATCGACCAGGTCGGCATCGATCGATGGGGGTAATGGGAGCCTGCGGGCCGGCAACGTGTCCTCGGGTTTGGCAACCAACAAGGAATCCAAGGCCTTTGCTTTGCTCCTCCGTTTCTTCCTCTTTGCAGCATCCTTAACTAACTGCGCCCGGACAATGCAGTAGAAGTCGGAGTATGATTTGGCTCGAGGAAGCAATGTCGGCTCTGGAGGACCGATAGAAGCTTCGGGCTCTTCATATAAGCGCTCTAGAGGTTCGCTGTCGCCGGATTGTTTGTTTCCCTGCGGGCGGATAGTCAATTAGTAGGGAGCGGTGCTGCGGATCGATCGACTTCGGAGCACCAACATTTGGTGGTTGCAAGAGAGACTCGCGCCTTCGACGACCAGCAGAAGGCTGCGACGTAGACGTATTCGTGCTGGTCTTGTGGGCATTGTGATCGGGTACCAAGCTGTACCACGAATCTTCGTACATGACTCTAGAGTTGTGGCATGAGACGGGATGTCCCGGTCGTATCACGCTCTCGATGATGAGGATGGAAATGCCACCTCGAATTACATGTGTGATGCTATTTTTACTCGAGCCTCCTTACTGCGGCCGACTGCACCTAACGTCCCTAGCTGTTAGTACCTACCTACAATAGGTACCTAGGCTGCTATTGGTGTTCTGGCTAGTTGGGCTATGTGTCTATTTTACGGAGCACAGTACCTCCCTGTAGAACCGTCGGTACAAGCCACGCGCCATAACATGCCCCGCGCTCCAGCGAATTCCCCGCTATATTAGCAGCTCTCTTCCTCCCTAGGTTAAGTACCTAGGTAGGTACCTGCAAGCAGTGCAGAGAGAATTCTGAGAAATGCTGAAACGCTAATTGGCTACCTGGGTACGAGCTGATGATCTCACTACTGATCTCATCGATTAGCAATTGCGACACCGCGGCGTCAAAGACACGAAAAAGTCCTCCGCCGGCCCTCGTCTTTCGACCTCGACATCTTCGACCTCACACGGCCGTGTCAGTAGCCCTCTTGCGACGAGATGGAGTCTTGATCGCAAGTCGCCCGTACTAGATTTCAGCCATCGCCCCCATCTTCTCGCACGACAATTATATCAGCGTCACAGGGACACCCTCGTACCGAGGATGGCTGCATACCGAACCCTATTGCGCCACGCGCCATTGGCGTCGAGGTCGATCCAAAGCCGCCCCGTCCGCGCAACTCTGCAATGCTCACGATATGCCAGCTCGTCTGGAGGAGGCCGCGGAAAGCGTGGTGGTGTCGGCCGATTTGTGGGGGGTCTGCTGGTCGCCCTCGCAGCTGGAGGAGCTGTGCTCATGTACCCCGCCATGACGAAGGAGCCACCCAAGAACACTATTCGTGAAGCCGTCATCGAGTACGAGCAGCCGCGGGCTTTGCCTGCCACCAAGGAGGATAGTAGAGACCTAATCAGCAGTCAGCATCTACAGGTGAAGAAGAGCTGGGAACACCCCGGTGTTTATTGCTGGGGCTCGAATTCGGGAAGGGTGGCCGCTCCCGACTCGACCGAATCTGTTATCAAGACGCCTCGACGAATCAGCTACTTCGACGACCAGCTCATACGGGACATCAAGTTAGACAAAGAATTCGGTGCCGCTATTACTGAGCGGGGCGACTTAGTACAATGGGGCACGGGCTTCTCGAAAGACAACCCTACTCCAAGGCCTACGTTGAAAGGCAAGGATCTTGTACGTCTAGAGATCTCGAAGGACCGTATCATTGCGCTCGGGAAAGATGGTTCCGTATATTCTTTGCCTGTTGCGCAGGCAGATCAAAGCACTAGCGGAAAGCCGACTTCATCCTCGTGGTCTTTCTGGTCAAGCCCCAGCAACGTCAATTACCGACAGGTGAAGCCTAATGGGCTGGGTTGGGGCGAGCGTGTTACCAGCATCGCTGGCGGCCTGGAGCATGTTCTGCTCCTTACTTCCAAGGGAAGAGTGTTTTCTGCCGCTTCGAGCACAACCAGCTTCCCATCACAAGGACAGCTTGGAATACCTGGATTAAACTGGCACACCCGACCCCAGGGTCCATTCGACCAGCCACATGAAATTCTTACGCTCAAAGGCTTCAATATCACTCAAATCGCCGCTGGTGACTATCATTCTCTGGCTCTTGAAAAAGACGGACGAGTATTCGTCTTTGGCGATAATTCTTCAGGGCAGCTAGGTTTTGAACCTGAAAATGAAATTCCTTTCGTTGATGGTCCCATCCCCCTACCATTCTCAAAGATGTATCGTGGTACGCACCAAAAGCCTCGGGTCACGTCGATTGCAGCGGGTGGCGCCAATTCATTCTTCACTGTCGATGCGACTCGTATTGCACGACCGAACGAGGACGAACGAGAAATCCGTGATATAGGCCACGTCACATCCGATGTTTGGTCCTGCGGCTCCGGTATCTGGGGCACATTGGGCAATTCGAGGTGGACACACGTGTCCCTCGGCCCGACAAAGATCAAGAGCTTTTCTGGACTCTCTGAATACGATGAAAAGACCAAGTCGGTGGTTCCCATCCGACTTGCTTACTTCAGTGTGGGCAGTACTCATGCTGCGGCTGTGATGAATAACGTCACAAATGTCGACGCTTCAGACAGGACCTCAGATCAGGATACTAACTGGGGTGCCGATGTCTTGTGGTGGGGAGGTAACGAATCCTATCAGCTCGGAACTGGGAAGCGAAATAATGTAGCTACCCCTATGTACATTGGGCCTTTAGATGGTGGGAGGGGCGATGCAGAAAAAGGACGTGAAAATGAAATGCATCGATTTCAAATCGCTCCCAGGGCCACAGTCCGGTTAGGCGAAGGAGGCAAAGGCAGGAAAGCTACAGTCGAGCAACGGGTAGAGTGTGGTCGCCTTGTTTCGTGTGTTTACTCTTCGCCATGAAATTGCCGGCATCTTTCTGGTTGACTGTATATCTATGTACTCTACAAGCTGTATCAAAGTTGGAACAATGGGGACCATGTGTTTGTCTACGAATGCCAATTTGGATGGCTCAAGAAACACTAAAATTTCTAAGATCATTATGGATCTGTACATTACCTAGATACCCCCCTCATAATGCCAACTATTACACGACGCGATGGAATTATCTGTCTCCACACGTCTCACTGCTACGTTTACCTGCTTGTATCTTTTGAGGAATATTGCGGTGTAAACGGCTGGGTGCTGAGAGTTTATTGATAAAGCCTGCCCAGCAATAGTCAGAGTTAGATTTGACTGGCATCCGGGTAGAAGTCTAGTGATATTGAAGTACCTTATCTCGAACTTAAGTTTGCTATTCATGCAGTAGTAAAAATTCAGAGACATCCCCTCAAGATTGGCTTCTTCTTCTTTCTCCTTTTGCTTTGCCATATTTGCTCGTCTCTTTCCTCTCCTTATCACTACAGAATTTCCCCCTGCAGAGTCCCAACTGGACGAGCGCCTGTCGCACTTAGGCGTATTCTTTATACATCTCACGAAACCCGTTGTCTAAGGGTAGGCTAGAGATCATAGGTGTGATCAATAAGTAAAGATACACGCTAATAGGACGTATTCATTAGTCTGAGTTGCGAGAAAATTTCAAGATCCCCTCAATCCGGTTCAAATTATGGGACGCCGTTCGAAATCAAAACCACTCACTTCGTTTCACAAATTTCCACTTCTTCCTATCGAGCTTCAGCTTATGATATGGAATCTCTGCCTTCCACGGCGCAGTATCGAGGTCTATGACGAATCACAACTATGTTTCAGGAAGGCCGGATGTCACCCCCCTCTTATCTCACAAGTCTGCCGAACCTCTCGAAATGAAGCCCTTCTGGGCGCGGGTTGGAAGCCTTGGGGCTTTTGCGAACAGCTAATCTGGTTCGACGAGAAAACCGATACGATCAAATTACCCGCGATATATGTACCGCGTTACGGTTATTACTCCATCAACGAGGATAGTTTAGGAGGCCCTGGTCCAGAGCTCTATCGAGTCTTGTCTACTGAGGAAACACCGATCCTTATCAATCTACGATGCTTAGTAAATCGAGCGGGCTATAAAGCCTTCACCCCATACGATAATTCATACGAACACGATGACTTTGGTGGCGACCTTTTGCCTATTTACTCACCACCGTTCGAACAGCTCGCCTGGATGATATGCCAAAGACCGCAGAAGCGTTCTTTGTCAATACGAGATATAACGCTGCGCTTGACACATCAAGCGGCCTGCGAGTGCGGCCTCTTTGGATTATTTGCCGAGCAAAATCCCACTCATCTGAGCCTGTTCGATAAGAATATGATGCGAAGACTAGATAAAACAATACACAAGCACATGCCATCCTCTCAGCAGAAGAAGTATAACTCAATCCGTATCAAGGCAACAAACATCTCTGAAGCATTAATGTGGTATGCTGGCAAACGCCAGCTCGACAGTCTGACTGCCATATTGCCAGAGGGCGAAATTCGCCTCCCGCGATATAAGTCAGGGACAAAGAAATGCCTAGAATGGACTCGAGTGATGGAGAGGCGCTTTAATATCAATTTCGTTATTTCCATATTCCTGATCATAGACGAGAAATCGGCGGGCACCCTAATCGGGAGATCGCCAACCTTTCCAAACCCCAGCTTGGAGCCTTTGAATTAACGTTATGGTATACTGCCGTACTTAAGTATAGAGCGACGGATCATGAGCAAAACGAGATGGTAGTAACAGGCTCCTTGATGCCATTTCACTCCTATACTAGGGCAGGTTCGTTGCGCAAAAGACAATATGCTAGGGATAGGAGCTTGTCTGAGGATGATTCCGGGGCTCGTATGTACGATACGCCTTGTATACACATATTGTTTTTGAAAACCGGTGCGATTGAGGGTTGTTCAGGCTGCGAAGCTAATAAATCCCCATTTCACCGTTTCATCACCGAAGCTCCTAACCCCACTCCATCTTTCTGTCGTGAGCGCCACGATGTAGTGCTATATTTCTGCTTCATGTTATGATCTAGCGATTAGTGACGATGGAATTAGGCGCGAGAGGTGATGGTGTTAGAAGGATCAAGTGGACGACATAACTTACAAGAATTACTATATATAGCGAATGGTTGTATACGTTAGTTATCATTTCGGCTGGTGCAAAACCTATGGTCATTGATTCTACCAAAGCCGTAGTTGTATAGCTTGCGGAGCATTTCTACTGAGGTGGATAAGAGGGACTCATAAGGTGGGCAACATCCACACTACAAGAGATCAATAAATGTCAGAGTATAGTAACGATTGACGACGGAGAAGCACTGTTATCTCATACACTTGGTGATAAAGATTCCAATAATAATTATGGGTATGTCTATCACATTAGTGATAGACATGCTTCTATATAGCTATAGTTTTTATCTGTGGTATTCAGGCTCAATCTTAGGGCTTAATTGTGAGTACGCTTGTGTAAGACAAGTGACGAAATCATAGGTTTATAAAGAACCCATCTCATAAGGAGCAGTTATCTTAGAATATAGTGCCTTTAGCTTGAGTCCCATGGGATGACTCGAGCTTCTTCACATTGATATTCTTCCACACGAAAATGAACACAATAGCAAGTGGCAGGAAAGCGGAACCTGCAATGACTAATTTTCGCTGCACATCGCCGTAGGCGGCAACGATAGCGTCGCGTTCGGGAGTGCCGAAGGGGAATGACTGCTGGACGACGATAGAGCCGAAGATCTCGGCGGTTCGGTTCTAATGGAGATTATTGAAGTTAGCGACCATTATTAGCGTTACAGGTGATTATGAGGTGATGTAGGTGTAGTTTTCCATGCGAACTGAGCGACATGTTCTCCTAGACTCTTTGCAGAAGATATTAGGTATGAGTGAGACTAACCTTGACATCATCTGGGAGGAATTCTTCCAACTTTTGTGGCAAAACGTTGTTCCATAGAGCGCCAGCAATGGCATTACCGATGGCAGAACCAATAGAGCCAAAGAGACCGAATAAGGCCAGCCCGACGGCGACTTGTTGATGTGGCACCTGAGCCATCACAGCCAGCTGTGCAACAGGGGTCCAGATACCATCTCCAAGACCATTAAGAATCTGGAACAGAACCAGCAGCCCTACGGGAGTACTGGGTTTTCTGTATTCAACCAACAGAACCGTACCTAATACGACAAACGGAATGCCGATAATCGCAGCCCACTTGACCGCTCCAGTCTTGGAGATGAACCTAACGATAGAGTTAGCTAGGCCAGTCACATCCCACTTGGACAACTTACAGTCCAACAAACGGGCCAATGAACATTGACGCAAGGGACAGGCCGTTTAATACGTAGTTGGAAGTGGTAATACTCAGACCATGGACAACCTGAAGGTAAGATCCATAATAGCTAGCGGATTTAGGGTCAGCTATGTGATAGGTGTAGACTTTGACGTGAAAGGAGACTTACGCATCCCAGCAGAAAATTGAAAGAAACATTACTCCGTAGAGTCCACATGCTGCCAAGATAGTTCTATCTTTCAAGTACTTGAACGGGAAGTACTGTACTGGAGCGAAAAATCTCTCCCAGAGCACAAATGCTGCCAGAAGAACACCGCCTACGATGAACATGGCGATAATGTATGGAGTCCTCCAACCATATGGTGCGTAGCCCGTAAGACTGAATGGCAACAGGAGTAGGACAAATCCGAATACAGTCAAGAACATTCCAACGACTAGAACGGAGGTTCCACTGTTAGAAGTTGTAAAAGAAACAGTAAGGTATTGAGTAGGGTGACATACCATCAAACTCGACGAAGTAGTATTTAACAGCCTGCCAGACAGTACGGCCGCTGTCCCGTGGCTGGATTAGACCTTGCTTTGAGGCCTTCCGCTGAGCCCATACAAAGACAAGACAAACAGGAATAGCGAAGGCGGCAAGCAGAATTGCGAAGGCACCAAAAGCCCATCGAAAGTTCGATTGGTGATAGAAAAGGTCCGCGATTCTGGAACCGGCAAACACTGTCGCAATACCGGGAGTGCCTTGAATGCCGAAGATGATGAGTCGGTTCTTCAAGGTGGTCATATCCGCTAACATGATCGTAATCACGTAATTCATGCCTATATGGCCGACCCAATAGAGTGTCTGTACACAGATCACGAGTTAGTCATCGTCATACCGCTTATTCGTCAAGAAGGGTTATAGGAGGCTTCGAGGCACTAACCGTGGCGGCAGCGTATGTCTCGACATCATGAGAGACTGCCTTTAAAATCTCGCCAATGATAGTAATAATGACCATAACTACAAAGCCTTCGCATCGGCCCCAGATGTCGATAATCTTAGCAATAGTGAGGCTAATAACTCCACCTATGATTCGCGCGATCAAGCTGGCGGTGGTGAGGAGACCATGCTGGCCGAAAGACGACGTAACATAGGGCGTAAGACTGTCACCGACTGATTGCGCAAGAGCGTCGATGAACGATACAAGATAAAGCCTTCAGAAAAGATTGTAGTTAGCAATAGGTGTAGGGTTGCGCGAGCCAAGTCGCCAAGCCAGGCTTGTGCCGAGGCCATAGAGCACTGCGTGCGGAGAAGGGGGAAATTAGAGTCTCACAAGATGAACATGATAATCAACAGCTTCTTGTCGAATACTGTGGTGATAGCCTCGACCTGCTTCACACCTTCTTGCGTATGCTCTCTCGGATCAGCATCGTCAGTGATTTCGTGAGCTCCATTATCGCTGACGGCGGCAGCGTTCTTCTCCGGATCTTCGCCGTGGCTTGAGGGCGATGACCCGTTGATTGAATGGGCCATGGCAGCTGAATTCGAGGCTGCAACGAGATGTGTCTGTATCGTACAAAGCTATAGTAACAAGCTACAGCACCTCGACCTACTCGCTGTCACGATTTCAGGGGGTCGAGAGGGGGTAGTTGTTAAGGATGGCAGACGCACACAAGGAGAAGAACAGGTCAGGGGCTGGGAGAAAACAGCGCGGGATCGACAAAATGTTTACTCAAATATATACCTATACGGCCTCCCGTATGCGCGCCGATGCATCGCATGCCACCCCCACAACAAAAGACTGGGTCGTCTGACGGGAAGCTGAATCTGTAGAACTGATCGCCGCATGTTTTGCGCATCTATCCCCACCTCACTCAGCGTCCTTTGCTTCGCCCAAGCTTTTAAACCACTCGCACTGCTACGCTGCCTCGCTACCAGCGGCAGTCTAGAATGGCTGGTGTCAACTTATGAACATGGAAGGGTGCTATTGGCTCCAGATCTGACGAGATTAGGGGACTAGTCTCTCGAATAGGAAAGTCGGCCACAGCAGCCGAGCCGTGAACGCCCGAGGACATCCACGAAGTAACACCATGATTATCTGATGATCTTATCTGATCACGCTAAGGTCCGATCGGCGCTTTTAACCAAGACATTGTTCCCCACATTAGTCTCAATAACTGCATGGTAGCAACAGTTCAAACCACTTCAGGTAAGCTCAGACGAAAACTTTTCTGCATCTACTTACAAAGTAGACATTGTTCCTCGCTGGCACCTCAAGGCTGAACTCATCCTATGAACTAGCACAGACGCAATTGCAAGAATGTGCATGAACTGCTCATCAAAATATCCAAACTTGACTGTACTTTGATAGCCACTTCCCATGTCAATAGTCACTCGCTGGTACTCTTGAAATGCCGGACATTTGTTCTACATTCGGTATTGTAGTATGATGTGTAATACAGTGTGTGGATGAGACAATTCTTAAGTAAACCCTTAACTTAGGATGAGGTGATAATGTTGGTAATGTAGCTCAGTCCATACCACCTGTTGACCCACGAAAGAACAACTTGCCACATGGGCTTGGCCGCCATTCTAGCCCCATCCAAAGCAAAAATTACCTCAAACAAATAACGTACAGTAAGACTCATTGATTGAGGCGAGAACCTCTTTACCAAAAATTTTCAACCCTTAGATTCCCAGCTTTACCCTGTACAGGCTTCGACCGCTCAAGAAGATGGTTGAATAGATAGAAACAGTTTAGTGCATTAGCGCATATTAATTAGGACTATTCTTACAATATTGGGCAAGTTATTTTAGTAGTCAGCTAGTCTCTAAGTGCATCAATTCTCGGGACCGTTTTCAAAATTGTACATGCATGAGACACAAAGCACTGAGTTCTCTACACTCTGTTCCCGTTGACAATGTAGTACAAACTGCATCATCATACGAGTCGTGTGATATATCCTCTAAAACTTTTGTCCAAATGCATACCACTTATGCTGTGAAACTGAGTTTCAACCTTACCTATCTAACCGTCACTGAGAGCTTCCATTCCTGAAACTTGTTAACAGCCTCGGTCACCTCAGAGCAATTACGCAAGTACATTGTTAGATAGATTATTCCCGCCTATTGCCGCTAGTTCTTTGTAGAGCGCCAAGTATGCATCAATGGCATAATTTATAACACGAGCTAACACTTCCGAGGTAGCTTTACAGCAGACAAGGGTATTCACACATGCTAGAGTACAGATAAATACGAAACGGGAAACGTACTACCTATGTATAGAAGTCTGGTTCAATCTAGAAAAAAAAATTGATACTAAAACGGCACCACAACTACGATGAGACTTCAGTAGCAGTAAGAAAACCCTTGTCAGTTGTGGCTCCGTAAAAGTACTATCATACGACAGACAGCGAATCTCGAGAATTAATTGGCAGTGCATAGATGAGAATAGTGCAAAGATTTCAAGAATTTTCAGTATATAGCATTATAAGAAGTTTTCATATAGGAACAACGATCTGCGAACCCCCACCGAGCAACTTGATATTACCCAGTGTAGAGAGGCTACGTTACCGATGCTCTGGGGCCACCATAAGCTGTATGGCATTTCTTTCCAGAGTACATGCTGAGCTGTAATAGTATACGGTTTCATTTCCCTTTGTGTTGACGGTAGCGGCAAACGTGAAATCGTAGGCGGTTCTTCGGTTCAAGGAAGATGTTATAGGGTCACATTGCTGAAAGCAAGTCTTGTTGGAACTGGTGAGGCCGACCTAGAATTTTGCGATAGCGCTCGACTCGCATTGCTAAGGGCTCTGGCATAAGTAATGAGAATCCCACAACTTGGTACACGCTTTATCGGTGACTATGAAGACCTTTCCTGGCTTACTCCAAATACTGGTTTCAGGCTGAGGGCTGCAGCTCTTGCGTGTTGAAGCTGAAATGGGGTAGTCTGTGGTTAAACTAGGCCAGGGCCGAGGCGAAGTCCTTCCGCTGGGACTATCCCTCGCCCCTTTTTCTTAAATGCTGTCATCTGGAGCAACGTCGAAAATATGTGGGCGGTTCTCTTTCAACAGAGGGCGTCCGTGGAGGGGACCGGTAGGGACAGAAACGGTCGGAGCCGCCGAAACACGGAACCAAAGAAAATCCCACACACCACACACCACGCACATCAACAAACTTCTGCAGATTGTTACAATGATTGTCATACAGTCTAAGGATAAGATACTGTATAACTTGGCAATCGGTCCATAATCCTCATCTATCTCCCCAATAACATGGTATTGTGTCCAAGATGCTAATGCCAAAACCCACATGGGTAGCCCAGTGGGATCAGCACACAATGGGTGATTGGCAGATGCGGCGCTCTCGGATCCATCTGTTGATTAGTAAAAAGGTTATGACTTGGAATTTCATATGGGCCGGCGCGGCTAACCAGGTACTACATGTTATAACTTTATTTTAGAAATGAAACCTTTTCAACCAGGAAAATCGAAAGTTACATCATAAACCCACTTCTTGTTGGCATTCAAATGAGGATGCCATGGAAGTAGCGTGACAAGCACAAAGCTTTTTTCTCAGCAAACCAGGATGCGCTATAAGGATCAAAGCCCCGATGCGTCCCGCTCATCGCCTACCTTCAACAAGATAAAGTTCATGTAACAAGTTTCGACTAGATGCACTCAGCTAACGCTCTCGGTCATCAGTGATGCCTTGGGGACAGTGGTATTGGACCTAGGCTTCTAACATTTGAATCGGAATTTGCTTCTGGCTCTTTTTTTATTTTAATGTGTAGGTCGCTTCGAGCGCAGACTAACCACACCGCAGTGCGGAGTTGAAGATGTAGGGGTGCTTAAGTGATTGCTTGAGGCAAGCGATAATAGAGTTGTTGGTAGCATCGCTGGTTTACTCATTAACGCCTAGATTAGTGAACAGGTTTCTATTGCATATATATTCATTTACGCTTTCTGGATTAAATTATTCCAGTCAGGTATCCAGTAGTGGCCAAGCCATCTCATCTTTCTATCTCTAACTTTCGCTCCCTTCTTCATAGCACCTTTTCCTCAATCTTATCTATTATACTTAGTTGCATTGACGAGAGAGGCGTAATCCGTGGAACCATTGACTCATATATATTACTTGCCAGAATGAAGCTCAGTAGTGCGATAGCCATCGTGACCTGTGCCGCCCTTTGCTCTTCGCATGATGTATCGGGCCTCCCCGATGGCACCTACAAAGTCTTGGTCTCGGCCAATGGGACAGTCGACTGGGATACTGTCTCCAATTCAGACGGCGCGTCATTCAAGGCATTCCATCTCCCCGCGTTAATGAAATATCCTCTGTCACGCGTCCGCCGCACTGCAAGCAGTCGCGACCATGAGAACAATCACACCGACGAGGACGACGACGACGACGAGAACATAGCCGGTATCGGTGAACGCCCCCCTAGCCACATAGCGCCGGGTGCCCACTGCCACCACCATTTCCCAATCCACAAAACCTCTTTCCTCCCAGGCCTGCTCAAGATCAACAAGAACAGCGAACCGCAGTGCCTCGCCTATTTCATGGACTGGATATCGCAGGGAATTGAGAGCGGCTGGATCCACAAACGTGAATTGAGGTTCTCCAAGTTTGAAGACCTCATCATCGGCGCATGCATCTTCAAACATCACAAGAAGAGGCTTTGTGTGCACGAGATCGCCACTTCCATGCGTGCGGCCAACAGCGAGTGCGCCGGCGGGAGAATCGGCTGTCACGTCTGCGTGGGAAACTGGGGGAAGGATTACTTCCGCTTCGACGCCCGAGAAGCCCCTAATCAGTGCGAATGTGCCTGGTATTACTAGCGAGTAACAGAGCATTCAAACATGATATCGATTGTTATATCTCAGCTATTATAGGGGTTCTGTTTGGAGGGGTGCCTATGGTTTGGACAACCCAGCGAGCTTCAGTGAATTGAGGGTCACTGTGTCATCTTTCTTGAAACATCAAGTTATTTTTTATATGGCAATTGATATTGCGATTGTACAAGATACCTCCCAATGAATTTACTGTTCCACAAGGATGGTTCCTAAAGATATTAGTTGCTGTTGGTGGGTAGACTATGGCGCATGGCACGATGTCCGTCCTTGTAAGTATATAATATCTAATTATGCCAGACACTCTTCAAAGCAGGATTTCATTCCACTTACTTCTGGTTATTGAATCAGAGACTTGACGAAATACTCGATATTCTTTCTTTTTCCTATCTAAATCATCATTAAGCGGATGAATATTGAAGCCATGTAAGGATAAAAGTGGTGATGGGATAGGGGCCTAATATCGAACGTCAGACCGCCAGGAAGACACCTACGCCCTACTTGATGCTAGGTACTAGTTCGTGAGTACTGTGACGTGCAAGCAGGACGAAGACATCTTAGTTCGAAAGAGTTCAATTAATCTATTTAATGTAACTATATATACTTCGAAGATATGTTGATACAAGTAATGCTCTAAAGGAAAAAGGTCCGATACTATGCCCCATACGAAAGGTACTCATCAGGCACCGTGGGGAATTGATCAATACCATCTTGAATCACCAATGCCATACCGCCTTGAAGATGCGTGGAGATATGGCAGTGAAGGAACCATGCACCGGGGTTCGTCACATGATAACGGACCGCAATCCAAGTAGGGCCCCTCGGCGAATCGAGTGTCGCAAATCCATCGCGCCGAGGCGGGTCAACCAGGTTGAAGTTCTGTGGAATCTCCTTCATCGCTTCCTCGACACTCGTCCATTTGAAGACTCCCTGACCGGAGCCGATCTGCCACATCTTGTTTCCGTGCTTGTGGATAGGGTGCGAGGGCTGAGGCACTGTCTCGACTTTGAAGATGAAATCGATCCAGGTGTTGTTCTGAGTCGTGACTGTCAGGTTGTTCACGAGGTTTGGCTGCGGCTTGAATAGCACGGGTTCGGAGGAGTCGAGCGACATGGGTGCCGCTGTTCCATTCATAGCCCACATGTAGCCCACACCATCGGTGTTGCCCAATGTCAGAATGAACGTCTGGTCTGCCTTCTGACCAACCGGGTAAGGAGGGTATGGCTTCTGTAGTGTCTGGTTGAAGAAGACCACATCTTTGCTAACGGCGACGCCGGCATCATTGACATAAGGTGCGATTGTATTGTTGCTTGGCACTCCCTTTTTAGTCCTGTATGATAGCGTCGCCTCTCCACTGATCAATTGAATGGGTAAGGTAGCTGCGTGTCGGATTGTGTAATCTCCAGCTTGGGTGAGCTTTACTAGAACTGAGTACCGGTCACCGTTGATGACACTGATTGCATGCACCATCTGGGGCTCGATGTACTCGCCATCAACCGCATATATCCACATTGGTAAGCCGTCAATTGAGAAAGTCGACTTCATGGTCGTGTAGGCACCGATAACCTCGAAAGCTACCCAGGTCTCGTCCCTATCGCATGTCTGCTTGACCTCGATAACTTCTTTAGAGCCTTCAGTTGGCGAGCAAATATCGAAAAGTTCATCCGGAATTGCCGAAACATTTGTTTTGTATCCTGCTGCCACCGCTAGCACAGCGACAGACTTGGGGAGACAGCTATGTTCCAGTATTAGCTCTTACTCCATGACAGCCATATCATAACTTCGAAGGAAGCTAAGAGAGCTCACTTACCCTTTAGGTGTCAAACTAGTGAAATTTCCCATGGCAAGGAGTGCCTTCTGCGTCGGACCCAGCAACGAGGCCATCTTTTCAGCAGACCAGCAGTCGATCTTCCCCTTGCCATTGATGAGTAGGGAGTCGAAACAGGGTAGCTCTGTGCTAGCCGCAATCTCAATGTCCCAAGCCTCTATGGAGTTGATATTTCTCCAGTCAGCCAGCATCAATGGCTTGATGTCATGTGCGGCCTTTTCCATCGCACGTATCGTGTCCCGGTTCTTAGAAATAAGGCCGAAAGGGTTTGGTCTGTCCTTCTTAGGGTGGATGACAAGCGGGCCGAGTTGACCATCATCTAGTTGCCCCAAACGATGCGCGTGATACCAGTATTCGCCGTATTGAGTCGCCTTCCATTTATAGACGAAGGTCCCGCCCGTGAGAATCTCTCTCTGTGTGACACCTGGTACGCCATCAGACCATGGGGATGTGGCCATTTCAATGCCTGGAGAGTCAGTTAGAATACAAATGCATTGCTTGGTGAATGGATCTTACTTACCATGGAAGTGCATCGTTGTGTTGTGAGGCGTCTGATTATGGACGGTCACCTCTACATCATCCCCTTCATTAACTTCAATCATCGGACCGGGACTTTGTCCGTTGATCAAAATCATGTTACGACTAAAACCATTCGGGGCATGTTGTTCCCAGGTGACTGTGAGATCAAACTTTCGGGGGCCATGAGACCGATCGTGGCGCGAAGGTAGACCGAGTGTGAAAGGGGAACCTATGGCTAGAGCCACGGTTAGGCTAGACACGATTCTTCGCAGCATTTTGAGTATGGGCGCAGTAAGCTGGGTTGGTGAGAGGTCCGTGTCGTGATGGGAAGGGATGCAGTAGATGATGCACTTCGATGGCCATCTTTAATAGTGTGGTAACTACTATAGAATTTTTCGGAAACCATATCGCGAATATTAACCCCGGGTCTCGTGGTACCTTAAAATAGAAAGGTATTGGTCTTGATGATAGACCCGGCTTTATCTTCCGTACGCTTCTGGAGGAAATGACACCCGGAACCCGAAGTCGGTTCCACCGGCCATCGCCCTCGGCGACGCAGTACCACATGACATAATACTCATTCAAGACGCTGTCCAAATTGGTCAAGTGAATCCTTGTAGCCAAGACAAGTAAGATCTTTATTGAGTTAGACTTAATTCTCTGTTCAAGATGCTGGGTAGACGATGTTTGTCAGCGGGTAGGTAGTCACATTCAAATGCCAAGATCCTTTCGGCTGAGTACCGAGGTGCGAAGCCCGACATTACATGTTACTACCGCAATTTAACCAGGAATCAACGGATGGTTATCATAGGCAACAAGAAGAGACATCGAAGGGATATTTTGAATTATAACAACATGATTATGAGTAAATCAAGGGTGCGCAGGGAAATGAAGCGTTTGGTTGATGACCTGTAGTGCTACCCATACTTGGACAAAGGATAATCGTACCACATTAAGGATGGTTGTAAACAATCATCACGCGATTAGATCTCGCTCTAACCGCATTCTTGGCACCTGATTGCTACCAATCCCTCGTGAAATAACAATACAACACAATACAGCGCTCAATTGCCGTATTTTCAATGAATGAAAACGTTATGGTTCCAAATCTACTTTGTTGAACGGTATTCTACAATATCCACAATGTAATCCTCATTCCTGCTATATGAGTAGTTTATACAATACATACAAGATAAATATAGTAGTCCGAATCTGGACTTTGCCGCCCAGGAGGTATTTCGTGATGCCCATGAATGTGCCGTCTACAACGAGATGCTTAATGAATGTCTCAATCAGGTATTTAAAAAAACGATTCCCAGCCCAGGTCTATTCCATTGACTCCAAAACGCCCTTATTACATCAATCCATCAATAATATATGAATTGATGCGTGCTGGTACGTGTGCTAAAAAGGGGCACAATCAAATCCTGAAGCTACACAAACTGATAATATTCGGTTTGAGTAGCAGTCGAGTGATAATAATCGGTCTGGGTAGCACTCGAGGTATAAGACTCTTTGACTGGGTCAAGGCGTTTGACGTCGTACATGTGCGCCGTCGAGTTATAGGGCGCACCCCAGTGTTCCCTCCACGGCGAGAAGCACGATTGTGGTCGTAGTGGCGGTAATTGTATATCTTCGTACGAGTCATCCATAACTATGGCTCGAGAAGAATGAGCGTCGATTGGAGTACGTAGTTCCCCAATTGAGGCCTTGGCAGATAGTAGGTTTTCCTTCGAAACGGATTTCATAGGGACTGGCGGAGGTCCTTGGTTTGCCACCTTGTCTGTCACGTTTCTCCATTCAACGCCAAGTGCGCCAATGAGACTGGCAAGAGTTAATGCCAGTAATAACCACCAAACATCCTTCAAAGCGTCATTATATACGCTGGCCACCTCAGGAATGAGTTCGCGTGGTAGTTGGTCCCTCAGTTCAGCAGCGCCGATAGAAGCCAAGCTATCCGGGTCAACTGACGGGATGCGTTCGGTGACAAGCTGTTTAAACTTAGAGTTGAACAGAGTTTGGCCGACTGACACAGAAATGGTACCACCGAGAAGCTTGCAGACGTTCGCTAAGGCTGTTCCGGTTGGAATGTCGGGCGCAGGAAGCATAGTCTGGGCGATAAGAGTAGGCTGTTGCCAACCAAGCCCCTGGCCAACGCCATATAACGCCAAGTAGCCAAATACCATAGCATCGCTTGATTTAGGAGTCCACGTCGTGAGTAAACCGGTGGCAATGGCGACCACAGCGACGGCTGCGATCATGAATGGCGCAGAGTAACCACCCTTCGTAAGATAGTAACCCAGGATGAGGAGTACAACTGTCTGACCTGCCACGAACGTGACAATATCTAGACCGCTTTGAAGAGGGGTACTCCCTCTAACAGCCTGGAACCATTCAGGCGCGTAGTAGAGTACCCCGAAGTTCACGCCGCCCTGTGCGAACGAGTACCAAGACGCAAATGCCATGCTCCGCTGTCCGATGACGCTCTTCGGGATAGTAGCTATTGGACCAAGGTAATATTGCCAGCCAACCCAAAGGCCCAGGACGACAGCAAAGACAACAAACAAAGCAATGATGCGCGCATCAGACCACGGATAGGTTTGGCCACCAAGTTGTAGTGCGAGGAGTACCGAGCTAATGGAGCCGATCAATAATACTGTTCCAACTGGATCCATTCGCTTTAACTTCTCTTTTTGTGGAAGGCTTGCCAACCGAGCTGCTGCCTGTGGTGATTTGAAGAAGGGTATCAAGCCAGCAATGGCGACGCCTCCTAGAGGAAGATTGATATAGAAACTCCATCGCCATGTTACGTTCGTGGTGAAAGCTCCACCGATAAGGGGTCTATACAAGAGGCATTAGCATATGCGCATCAAAGAATATCAGAGATTGGGAAGTAAAAATGTTTACCCTAGAACGCTAGCAACACCATATACTGTCCCCAGGTAACTGGCGTACATGGGCCGCTTCACTAGAGGAACACTGAAGGCGACGGTAAGGAAACTACCCGAGAAGATTCCACCAGCCCCTAGACCTGCCACAGCTCGTCCAATGATGAAGGCAGTCGACGTTGGGGCAGCACCACATACGGCACTTCCGATCTCGAATATGACGATTGCCGCGATATACATTGTCTTGAGGTCGTAGAAGGTGAACAGGCGTCCCCAGAAGATCTGGAACGCACACATTCCCAGGAAATACGCTGAACCATACCAACCAACATCCTTACTTGTTCCGTATTCTTTCGAGATGGCCGGGATTGCGGTCGATACGATTGTTGTGTCCTGTGTTGATAGACTATTAGCGGTGATGGCAGGAAAGATAGGGGATGATGCCGTATGACTATACCAAAGCTTGAAGAAGAAGCACGATACATGCGAAGAAGAGAATCAAACCCAACCGTGCTCCCGTAGGCAGCGGTGGCTGCGGGGGAGGAGGTGCCGACATAGTCGTTGTATAACGAGATGGAATGGCTAAGCTTGTGGCCTGTATCAAGTCTTCAAACTTCTTCACTCACAACTATCAGTTCCCTGTAGTAACGGGATTAAAACCCCTTCTATAAGAAAGGGGGCGAGCCGAATATAAACGAGCCGCTTAACAATCTTTGACAGACATCATCAATATACGAGCAACGGAAGACCGCTTCGGCTACGGACGACCGGGCTTCCTTTTTGTTTTACACGTCTAATCCAGCGAGGCATTTTGTCATTCGCCATGTCTATCGTGTTCTATAATTATTCCTCGGCAGGTATTGCGACCGCGTGCCGTTTACGCGGAGTCCCAATTGTCCGCGCTGAGGATTGCTGAGCACTGCCGATGGTGAGTAGGCCGTTCGGCAGACAGTAATCATCCAGATCGCTCATATCATAGAGCTGTTCCACGAGCCACGAGACTAGATGGCCCAAACCCGAGACCCGAGAACCGCGCGCCCTAGAGACGCGCAGCAGCGGTTGCTAGTAAGCTTACACTCCCAGCGACTTAAAAACCGCAGGCCAGGTCTTCCGATTTTTTTTAAGTCTTTTTAATTTTCTTCTCCTTTTTCTGTTTTCTTCCCCTTCTTGAAATCGCTTCTCTTATCATTATCTTGGAAATAAGAGTGTTTCCCTCAATTCCTCTCAACACTGTTTTCCACATGTTAACAACTCCCACTAAAGATTTTTTTCACATGGGGTTATAACGGGTCGAAAGTGACCTATAACAAGGAAGAAGAAAATAACAGCAAAGAAATAGGAGGAGGAAAAGACGATGTTGTTGGCCAGTGAGCAGGGCGCGCCACGTGCTATCATATCAGTATTGGGATTTGGTTGTTAGCCACCTATGATATTGAAGTTGGAGCCCTCGATTGACTGAATTTACCTCACATCTATGAACAAGGTAGGCTGACTTTTCCCTTCCAATCCAAAATTTTGTTGAGGTTGAGCATGTAATGCTGTTTGCGATGTGAAAGTTCAACCAAATATTCTCAGCGTTGCGAGCCGGGATTTTATAGCGGTGTTCAGACCCGATCTACGCTAGACGAACAGTTACCTACATGCACATATATTTATGGTTTTCACTGGGGATTATTACTAAATATTTAGTAAATATACCCCATATTCTTGACAATAATGGTAGGTAGCGCAGCTTGGTTTCTTCCCGATTGCTACAGTAATGAGAATAAGAGGGTCTCATTAGAGGTATTCCCAGGACTGAGCCTACTTAGTCGTCAATTGACTGCGAAGGGCTTCCGACCAAGCTTTGTGGTTTTCCCCTTGTAAAAGGTTAGATCAAACATCTAAAAACCATGGAACTTGTGAGTAAAAACCGATGCACCGGGTATTCGAATACCTAGTAATACTGCCATATATGCCAACAGAACTTGTTATATTTGGGTTATATCATTCTTCTATCATATTATATCACTGCTTGTTTCGTTGAGGGCAGGTCCAGCACCGACCGAATGAAGGAGAAAAGAGAGCTGTCGCACAGAAGTGCGCTATGCGACAAGTCTATCCACTGGAAAAGTCCCCCGAAAAACGTAGCCATAAGCTGTAATTAGGGCGTAAATAGGCTCGCTAGGGGAAGCTGGTAGGCTACAGTGAGGCAGTGACTGCTAAATTACAGTGCCTACCATACCTACATATACTCCGTACCTAGGTAGGCACATATGTATGTAGGTACCTATGTAGGTACCTATGTACCTCGGTACATTCCCTTATCTATATATACCTAGATACTGAAGAAAGACTGGGGCGGCTGTAGCTAATACGCTTTATTGAATAACTCGACTAGCAAGTGCTGTGGCCAGCTAGGGTAAGTTCAGTAGCCAGGGCCCCAACCAGTATGCTATCCTTTTATACCCTTGTAGACGTTTGTAGGCTACGTGGATGAAGTGATGAAGGAATTCAATAGACTCAGGTAAAGCGGAGTCTCATTGTATGAAGTAAGATATCTGAAGTGCCAATCGTCGAGCCGCTGATGATATGGTATATGTTATTGTGCTAGACCTTGGTACCTTGGTAAAACTACCTACCATATGTAGGTGTACTTAGGGAGGTACCTTGTAGATAGGTTAGCCACATTCATGGATGTAACCATTGTGATTTCAAGCCACACCGCAACGCCACAGCAGATACCTATCGGAGATAATCTTTTCGCCAACCTCGAACTCTCGCGCGTTCTAAAGCTCTCTCGTCCGAGTTATCCGTGTGTACACGAGCCGACAATCAACGTCAATGTTGGCCACCGATATGCCACGGCTACATCGTATCTCACAACAACGTGACGGACGCAATATTGATCACCGACTTCGCAATAGTCACTCCTAGTAATGTAGCCTGACGCCGGCAACATGTCAGTAACCAGATCAAAAACTCAGCATCCTATCAATGAAATGGACCGATTCGGTCCTGTCCTAGTCTGATATTTTATCATCAATCTCATAATTCGCTAGAATATTGCCGTACTACACAGATTGCATCGAACCGGCCAAACAATGAAATAACATAATTTGGTTTATTTGACTAGCGCCAATACATCTAAGAAACTATTTATACTGATATACAACTCTAAATCAGACAGAATATGCGACTTTGAAATGCAACCAGATGAAATCCCCCAGAAATGCGCCGTTACCCCCAACGCCGAAAAGACAAAGGAGAAAGCGAAAGGATCTTGACTGACAGAAACCTCAAGCGCTTAGCGCTCTCGCTAAGAACTGGCTCAACCTGTGGCCTTGGGGTCCCTCCATCATGGTAAAATGGTTTGCACCCTGTAAAACCTCTATGTTCAAGCGCCCTGGTTCAATCACACTATCCCATCCATTGGCGCCAAATTCAGTCCTCTCGTTCAGTAACCACTTCATCTCACGCGTGTCGTCTGCTTGCTCCTCAAGTCTCTCCCCTCCAGTTGATTTATAAACTCCATCAGCAGCCCACAGAGTGTGCGTTGGGGGCGTCTTTCCTGGCCCGAATGCCTTGATCTCGTACTTGTCAAGCGCGTCGAGGAAAGCATTGAAGTGCTGTAGGAGCCAATCGGGTGCTCCCTTTGAGCTGTCTGATCCAAAAACACCGGCGCGGTTGAGGAAGTGGAACAAGCGCTGCGGCAGTTTCTCGAGATGAATCGGGTTAGGCGAATCCAACAAGATCAAACCCGCAATCTCCTCACCCTGGGCCATGAGCGTGGCTGCGGCATCGTAGGCTGAAATTCCGCCTGCGGACCAGCCTCCTACATAGTAAGGGCCGTGTGGCTGCCGTCGGCGGACCTCGCTGAGGTACGGCGTCGTGAGGTCTTGCAGAGCACATTTCATATCTTGAGGTCGCTTTACATATGGGCAGTTCAGTGCCACCAATGCAACGTCAGGCGCGACACGAGGAAGCCCAGCGTAGGCAGTTGCAGAGCCTGAGCCATCAGGGAAAAGGAAGAGGACCTTACGCGCTGTCTTGAGATTTCCCTGAACAACGACAGATGTTGCTGCTGGGATAGTGGCCGGGGGCTCTACACGCACGGTAGTAGTTGTGACAGGAGCCGGAACTTCAGGCTCCGAGGACCCGCCCATCAGTCTTTTCCGAATAACAGCCATGTCATCGAGAAGAAGAAAGTCCGCGGGGAGGTCGACGTTCAGCTCTTCTCGCAGTCTCCCGAGCACAGTTAGGGACATTAAGGAGTCCAGTCCCAGTTCAGCCAGGGAGGACACGTCCCACACCTCATCGACCTTCACTCCGATCTCTTCGGCCAAGATAGCGCAGATTCCCTTGATGGGATACACCTCTTCTGACTCCGGAGTTGCGATATCACCGTTGGTAGAAATGTCGCTAGCCGATTCCGCTTCTTCTTCGGAAAAGACATCAGATTGAGGAGTTGATATCTTGGAGCTGTCATAAGCGTCAGCATTCACCGGCCCTGAGGCGGCGCCAAGCCATCTTTTGATGTCTCCCACTGTCGGGTAATCGATGAAGAGAGTCGAGCTGACTTCCAGATTCAATTCCTCTCTTAGCCTTCCATAGACAGTCAAAGATAGGAGTGAGTCGATGCCAACATCCGCCAAAACCAGATCCTTCTTCATTTCCGCGAGAGGAACGCCTGTCTCTTCAGAAATAATCTTCATGGCTTGTATAATCAGAAGTGGCTCCGACATGCTGTCCATCTGCGGCGATCGCGACATCTGCTTCTTCGGCATTTGGGCGGGCTCTGGACGGCTGGTAGCTGGCTTCTGTGGCTTAGTCACAGCCGCAGTGGTCATCTTGCTTGTCTCCATGGGTGCCTTTGTGCCGATAGACTTTGCACCGTTGGGAAGAAGGAAGTCAAGGACCTTGCGCGGCACGGATTGGAACTATGGAGATGTTAGTACTCGAACCGTCACCAGTTTCATACATGGTTTCTGCTTACCGCAACACCTTGGTTAACACCCACGATGGAGTCGCCGTGGAAGACATAGACGTCACCGACGTACTTCGTCCCATCCGAAGACTGCATCTTGACATAGGTATGGTATGTCTCTTCAGGAGAAAGCTTGACAGCGCATCGAATTGACTCCCAACCATGATTGAGGAACACTTGGGACCTATAGTCAAACGATTCTGTAGCGTTCATGATGAAGCCGGACAAGTGACCCAGACTGTCGATATAGTAAGGGTTAGCCTCAAAGCAGGTGCTCCTATCCTTCAATGTGACACTGGCTGTCGCTTCATGACCTTTACTGTCAAGGTACACTCCCTCGATGCCCTGGAATTTCTCTCCATACTCCACGCAGTTGCCGAAGAGCTTGTATACCATTCCTCGCTTGAGTAAGTGGCAGGTACCATCTTCGGCAGCTTCACGTAGGCTCTGCATCCGAGACTTGACCAGATATGCCGAGCGCTTCCACTCCGACTTCCAAGCCTCTGGGTCTCCGAATCTGATGGTGCACGTAGCGTGCTGCTGTGTAGTTGCGCCGTGGGAGTCCACGCTGTAATAAACAACGTTGGCAGTCTGCGTAGCCCAGTTGGCTTCGGCAGATACACGGAAGAGCTCTGACTTGCCGGGTGTACGCATGAGAAGAGGCTTGGTGGTTGCCATGTCAGCAACTTCGATACCCTTGTTGCTCTCAATCGAATTACCCTCACTGAGGTAGTTACCAAGAGTAACAGCGATGTCAGCGTAAACTGAAGATGGACACAGAACCGCGCCATTTACTTTGTGCGCCTCGAAGACAGCTCGGAGGTCAGGGTGAGAGATATCCGATTCGATGAGCACGAACGACTTATCTTCTCCGTGTTCCGATTCCAAAACCCTTTGACAAGTGGCGGATAGAAACTTTGGCGGTGCAGCAGAAGGCAATGGGGCCTCAGTTATAGCAGCTGGGGCCTGTCCTTTTGTTAAGCACCAGTTGTGCACGTATTGAATCCAGTGGTTCTTGAGGTCCCAAGCATAAGCAGGGAGTGAAATAACCTCATGGCAGGCGTTGAAGTCTCGGTGATATTCGCGCCATTGGATATCTAGACCATATTGGTAAATTCCAGAAAGAGCGTCTCCCATTGTCTTCCAGAGATCGTCACCCTTGCGCACAGGGGCGACGGTCTTAAGAGACGATCCGATGCAGGATTTCAACATTCCCGTCACGAAAGGAACTGGCCCAATCTCGACACAGACAGTGTCTTCTGACACAACCTTCTGAGAGATGGCGGATTCGACAGCACCCACGAGGTCAACCATCTCGCGACAGTGACGGGCCAAGTATTGGGTGTTTATTTCACCCTCTTCGGTGACAACAGTGGCCAATAGCGGCGACAGGATGGGAATTGTGGGTTTCCTGAATGCAACACCGCGAGCTAGTTGCTTGTACTCTTCGAGAACCGGCTCTACCTGGGAGCTGTGGAAGGCGAAAGCCGTGCTCAGTTTACTTGACTTAACACCAGATAATTGCAGTGCCCCTTGTGCGCTCTCCACATCAGCTCCTAAGCCAGCAAGAACAGTCTGAGTCGGTCCATTGACACATGCAACCTCCAAACGATGGTTCTGCATAACCTGGGCAAGCTCAGAAATGGGTGCCTTAATAGCCAACATAGCGTGAGTTCCAGCAGAGCAGCGCTGCTCCATAATGCGAGCTCGCGTTCCGACGAGGAACACAACGTCTCTGGCAGACAAGACTCCGGAGATGTGCAGAGCGGCATATTCGCCGAGGCTGTGTCCGACGACTACGCTCGGGACAACTCCGAAGGACTCGAAGAGCCGAGCTAGAGCAATCTCGAAACAGGTCAAGGCTAGCTGCGAGGCTTGTGGAGTGAGCGCATCGTTTGCCGCAGTATCATTGATCACTGGAAGGAATGAATCGAATCCAAAACTGTCGGCGATTCCAGCTAGGCGCTGGATCTCCTTGCGGAAGACACTGAAGCTAGTAAAGAGCTGCTGTCCCATGCCCGCGTATACGGAGCCCTGCCCAGTGAATGCGAAGGCGACGCCAGGTTGTTTCCGAGGAATAGGCCGGGCTTCTAGGCCAGCCGACTGCTCAAGAGCCGTTTTCACGTCTGCAATCGTTCGACCGGTGACAGAGAGTCTGAAATTGTGGTGGATGCGGCGGGCGGTGGTCGTGTAAGCCAAGCTTGCAAGTGATGTGTCAGGGAACTTCCCAAGGTGCTCAGCAAGGCGCTCGACATTGCGACGAAGCGACTGTGTAGTTCTAGCTGATACAGCAACTACATGGGCTGTCCTGGGATCGCTCGACGTCTCAGGCTCAAACGGCGCGGGCGCATCTTCGATGAGAAGCGCCGAGTTACCACCGGCTGCGCTGAAGTTGTTGAGGAATGCCATTCGCCTAGCATCCGCTGCCGGTCGCCAGGGCGTTGCTTCCATGGCGATACGGATGCCCCGTTCTCTCAGGTCAGTTGGGAATCCACTGTTGATCTTGGTCTTGATACCAATATGAGGCGGGATCTCGCTGTTCTTCATCATCATCATGACTTTAATTAGAGATGTGACTCCAGATCCAGATTCAGCGTGGCCGACGTTCGCTTTAACTGAGCCGAGATATAGCGGCTGTGCCGCAGTTCGTCCTGAGCGTTTGCCCGCAAACACTTCGAGAACCGACTTCATCTCTACTGCGTCACCGGCTTGAGTTCCTGTGCCGTGCATCTCAATGTAGCTCACGTCCAGTGGGTCGTGGCCAGAGTCATTGAGAATGCGGCGGAAAATGGCAGCCTGTGCGCCAGCGTTGGGACGAGTGATGGACTCAGCCTCGGCGGAGTGGTTGGTGTAAGCACCGCAGATGACTGCCTGGATTGGGTCTCTATCGGCCAGCGCGTCTTCCAACCTCTTCAAGATCACTGTTCCAACGGCATCAGCTCGGCAGTAGCCGTCAGCGCCGTCATCGAAAGTTTTGCAATTTCCACTCTGGCAAAGGAAGTGACCCTTGTCCAGACCAGCGAAGTTATCGGGGTTGGTCATGACGTTTGTGCCGCCTGCAATAGCGGTGTCGCAGTCGTTTCTCCAAAGCGAGTTGCAAGCTAGGTGAATGGCGGCAGCGCTAGACGAACAGGCGGTATCGACATTGATACTAGGACCAGTGAACTTGAAGAAGTAGTTAATCCGTCCCGGCGTGAAAGCGCGGTTGGTACCAGGGATATGATACGTGCCCACATCCTGTCCGGAGTTGACCTCGCGCCAGTCGTCACTAGTCATTCCATAGAAGACACCCACTCGGTCTCGCTGAGTTGAAGGAGTCTTATCAGGGACAACACCAGCCATTTCGAGAGCCTCATAGGCGGTCATCAAAGCAAGTCGCTGGGCGGGATCCGATTGATCCGCTTCTCTGGGAGAGATGTTGAAAAAGCGAGAGTCGAAAAGGCCGGGCTCATTGATGAAGCAACCGTTTCGGATCGTTGACGTGTTCTTCTTCTTTCCTGTGGGGTCATAATGAGCGTCCACATCGAAGCGGTCTGCGGGAATTTCGCGATGAACGTCCCGTCCTTCCTGGAGGATCTTCCAGAGACCCTCCGGGTTTGCGGCCTCGGGGAATCTGCCTGAATATCCTATGATGGCAATTCTGGACTGTTCGGGTCGACCACTGCTGCTGATTTGAGAGCGAGGACCACTGGCGCTTGGGGTGCTTGTTATGTGCTCCGTGTCGACTGAGAGCGATTCAATTTCACCGAGAGCACTAGCCAGGATCCGTGAAGTGGTGCCGACTAATGAAACAACCCAGTCGTTGCAAGTAGAAGCTTCACAGCTAATGCTGATAGACTGGATGATATTCTCTAGGTGGAGAGGGTGCCTGAGGAACTCATCCAGCGAGGTCCGGAGAGCAGCCCCAAATGTGGTAGCCTGGATTGGCTCACCTGTAACGCTGGAGAGGACGGGAAGCTTGAGCACGGTGTTGATAGTGGTCTGAGGAAGGTCCGCTAGGATGTCGTCAATGTCTGATTCCGAGTATAGATGCGGCTCGTGGTACGGAGCAAAGATCGGGGCCGGAATAGCCCGAATATCACTCATGATGGGTGAACTGAAGAAGGCCTTGAGAACATTGGGCTCTCCGAAGATCGTGGTGCTAGATGGGGCCACGGTGCCAATAAATGGTCTTGCGCCAATAGGCAAGTTCTATTTCCGTCAGGGAAAGCTCATTCTGGGTATCTGAGGAAAACTTACAGCTGATTGAGAGAATTGCTCGATACGCGAAGCAGCAGTCTCGACTTGTAGCTTCGGTACGATGTAGGACCAGTTCTGAGTCTTGTCCGTATCATTACTAAGCAAGTTACGGGCATTGGTGACATGGAGGCCTGTGCGGAATGCAATCACGACAGCCTGGACAGCCAATGATACCAACTCGCCGACGCTAGAGGCAGATGCAACAGCACTTGCGGCGAGCTGGCCGGTACACATGCCTACCACGACGTGGTTTGATCCTGAAGGGTACTGCCTGCAACCATCGCCATAATAACTATGAGGTATCAGCATTTCAAAGCGAACTAAAGTTAACATGGGCTCTGTAGTGACATACCGTATGAATCCACCGAGCTGGTAGATGGTAGTGAGTGTACTAGCGAGGACAGACGCCGCCTCATGCTCCGGTGAGTACGCGGCAAAGAGATCTCCGATATTCGCAAAGCGCGGCAGAAGCTCTTGAGTCTGACGACCTTGCTGTGCGATCTCTTGCCTCAATGCAAGGTGAGTCTTCTCAAGAAATGAAAGAACCAAAGGGCAGTCTTTGGCGCGTAGAAGCTGGCGAAGGCCTGGAACAAAGTCATTGGTCTGGTCTCCGAAGAGATAGACGCGTCCCTGGTTGCTGTTCATCTTGCTTCTGTGTACTTTGCGAAAGGAGAATATGAGTCTAAGGTAGAAATCTAATCATAAGTCTATAAGTCTAATAAGAATGGAAGGAAGGAGAAGGAAGGAAGAAGGAAAGGAGCAAAGTGTTACACAGAAGACGATGTTGAGCTGTGGAATGAATTAACATGAACATGATATGAGGGTTGCAGCGTGTCTATTTCTATTGAATCTATTCTACACTAGTTCTCTCATTGTCTTTCCCAAATTTGCCTTATCTCTCGATGTTGTCTGTGTTGATGGGTAGCTAAGCTTTCCTGCCCAGCGAAACGTTCGAATTCCGAGGCCCGACTGCCGCCAGCCTGTGAATCGCCTGTTATCGATTCTAGGTATACCCCAGCCATTCGGTGCCTGTTGTTCCCACGTGGCTAGCTGACAGGTAAGGCTGTTGACATTAACGTCAGTTTTCTAATAATAGGCGTTACCGACGAAATTTACTAGATGTCGAATCCTGCGGTTTCAAAATATTCGACCCGACAATCTCGATCTGAGTGTCGAAAGCGGCGTGGATAAAGGGTCTCACAAGCCCGACTTCATAGTAGCTAACCCGGTCGGGACAATGAACCTCTCTTATGCTACTCGTTGAGATTGGATACCTCGTTCTAGCATGTGGTCTTCTTCCACTTTGCGATTGGTGCCCTTCTAGAATCTATTCATGATAGCTGCCCATTGCCCATTAGGATAGTCACAGTCACCACGGTAACATGACAAGTCACATGTGTCCTATTGTCTGCTCATCCCGTGTTGACCTCGCTTCCTGGTTCGTGCTGCTGGCCAATCCAGTGATATCAGATTTTACATTTCTGCTGTTTATCACGCTTACTAGTGAAGAGTTCCTACATGGCGTCGTACTTCGTGATGAGAAGCATGATCCTGCCCTTTGGGTCCTTGGCGTGAGCTTTAATTAGTGCGATAGAGACTAAAGCCGAGCACAGCCAAAATAGCTTATTTCGTACGCTAAAAGACGCCAAGCCCCGAATCATGAGCTTAACGTGATGGCGATCAGTAGTGCTTGCGGTTTTGGTGAGAGCCGATCCCTTCATCCTTTTACCCAAGCTACCGGTGAAGTGGTTCCATACGCATGTGGGGAGAAGTCAGGGTTACCGAGCATCCTAGAGTGAACTGATCGGATGAACATGAAGCTGCTGCAGTCGCGTAAATGAGAGGCGATGGACGACCACTTTCCGCAATAGGTCATGAGTGTAGGCTGTACATAGTTTAGATTACCTATTACACATCAATCTACGCTACGGAGGTCGAGGTCGTATATATCCATCACGCTTAACTTAGCAGAAAACCAAAGCTCGTTGGTGTATTTACGACGCTTGGCGCGAATCACTGGTGGGAAAGTAAGAAGCAAGGAATAAGAATCAGAGTCAAAAAAGTTTTGGTAATCTCAATCTACAAGTAGAAGCTAGATATATCCCAATCATTCCATCATAACGCCGTTCCATCACCAATCTATACAAGCATTCCATCGCGCAGGAAGTCCCGCACATATCCAATTGTCATCCTAGGCGAGGGTTAGCATCGCAACGATCACGAGTCAATCTGGACTCCCAAACCCACCTTGTTCGCTTAGTGTCTGCGAATTTCTCGTGATCTGCAAAGAGCGCCCTCTTGTACTCTGGATCAGCCTTGAGAGCGATGAATTGGTCAATGTCGCGGAACTGGATCTGGACGATACAGTCGTAGTCCGCAACATTCGCGAACTGAGCATCGAAGATCTTGTTCATCAGGGCGCGGGTAGGTGGAGGGCTATGTGTCTTCCCGAGCGCGCGTCAGTCTGAGCGTTCACATTGTTATACTCATCTCACTCACCATGCTGTACTTGTCGATGCCATGCTTGACCATCAGGTCACGAACAAGCGGCACGTGGTGCTCAGTCATGTATTTGCGGTAGTCTTCATCGTCCATACCCTCACGCTTGTAAGCGCACATGGTGAGGCAGAGCATGGGCTCGTTGGAAGTCTGTCCGTTCGCCATTGTGAAAATTCCGTGAATGAAGTTTATCAATTGAGTGTGGCTCAGGAATCGAGATAGGTAGAGACCGAGATTCAACAACGGTCGCAGTGAATGAAATATATCTTATATATATTGATATGCTCCCTCATAGACACGAAAACACTATATATAGCGCAATTAATTGACTAATTTTAGATAGTTCGAATGTCGAACATGAAAGTCGGGGTTCGGGTCACCGACGATGGCGTCGTACGAGAATTGCTAGAGTTGATCCTCTCACTGCCACCGGCCAGCGTCAGCTCAAATACTTATAATAGAGAACCACAGTCTTCTCAACTGTATCGCCAGGTCTCTCAAAATTCTGAATCTTCTTTCATTCCATCTCATATCTGTATAATTCTTCATTCATTAGCTTCATTCCTATTGCATTTCCACTTTACACCATCTCACATAACATCACAATGAGTCCAGTGGAGAAAGACATCCTTATCGTCGGTGGCGGGCTTGGCGGATTATGCCTTGCCCAGGGACTCTCCAAAGCTGGCGTACCCTTCCGTGTTTTCGAACGCGACGCGAGCGCTAACTGGAGAGCTCAAGGATACCGCCTACGTATCAATGGCGAAGGTGCGAATGCCTTGAAGGAAACCCTCTCCCCAGAGTTATGGGAGCGGTTCGAGAAGACATGTTGTTCTGCCGAGTTAGGCGAAACAGATATTAATGCCATCGACGGCTCTATTATCGCTAGTCGTGCTGGTGGTAGCCCTGCTATGAAGGGTTTGAAGCCATACACTTGTGACCGTACGGTGTTGCGAAACATCCTGCGTGAAGGCCTCGAGGACAAGATCACATACGGAAAGGAGCTAGTGCGCTATGAAACCACGAATGAGGGAGTCGTCGCCTACTTCACTGATGGGACAACGGCATCCGGCCGTTTCCTCGTCGGAGCGGATGGTCGGGGCTCCGTGGCACGAAAACAGTACCTCCCGGAGCATCTGCCGCTCGACACGGAGGGCACTTGTATCTACGGCAAAACACCTATCACACGGGAACTACTTGAACGATTCCCTACGCGCGCCATGCGATGGATGACCTTGATCATTGATCGCACTCCCTTGACACAAACTCTCGATATCGATGACACTGCTGTCACGCTTTTGCTGGAGCCCATTCGGTTTACCAAGCGGAATGATGAGTTTGACCAGTATGTGCCGGCAGACTATATGTACTGGGTGCTCGTAGCCCGTAAACAGATATTTGGCCTTCCAAGCGAGGTTCCATTCTCCAAGTACTCGGGCGAGGAGGTCGCAGCGTTGTCGCTTCAAATGGCCGACTGCTGGGACCCTAGCATCCGCTCCATTCTGCACTTACAAGACAAGACACAATCCAGCTTGCTCCGTATCCTCTCAGCAGACCCAGATATGAAGGCTTGGACGCCGTCTGACAAGATCACCATAATTGGTGATGCCTGCCACGCCATGAGCCCCAGCGGCGGTGTTGGCGCTGTGACAGCGCTGGTGGACGGCGCTAAGCTCGCCAAGACAATTGCAACAAAGGGCATCTCAGCGAGGAGCATCGGGGAGTTTGAAGCCGAGATGCGTGAATTCGCGGGAGCCAACATCCGGAGGAGCTATATTGGCGGTCGCAAGATGTTCGGGCAGAAGCCATTTGATCAGTGTGAACAGTATGTTGGATAGTCAGGGGAAAACACACATTGCGACGACGGGGTTTTAGTTCGGATAGAGGGCCCAGAGTAAAGAGAGCGTCTCTTCTTTTTTGTACATATAGAATTTCTTTACGTAGCTATCAATCATCTTACAATATCAAAGCACGCATACAACTCATAGTATCACCAAAATACTGTTTCTCGAAAAATGTTTGCAGATGAAGCGCGTATAGCTGGTAAACCCAATGCGACGATGTATAAAATAGGTGCTGTTCATCGCATGACGCGACCTCTGACTTTCAGCGTGATATCATGAAGAAAACTTACACGCGACGCAGCAAAAATGTGTGTATTGACTACAGTATCAGATCTATAAATAATACCGGGAACTAGCCAGGTTCTAGCTCGTTGCAGGCCGAATGCCTTTGAAGTAAGCGTGGGAAGATGACCCGTGGTGGGCGTTTTGTCCCTCCCACGCCACTCACCGGGCTTCGGGTCTATTACAGCGGTCTTCGCATTTCCATCAACGCATCATTCAAGACCGAACTGCTTATAGCCATGTATAGTCACCGGGAAGTAGTATTCAGTGCGGATATATAGATACTCATGATGTCGCTGCATCTGAAGCTGTCTCGTTCTGTTTTCACTTAAGCAATCACTAGTTCAAGTTTGTCAACTAGTCTACCCGGACGGTATCAATCAAACCACACACATTAAGCTTCTTTTCTATTAGCAGACATAAGTCTATTACCCTTCACGATGAGACGAGTAAGGAGAAGAAGCTCTACGCTATTCAGGCCTGAGGCTGGCAGCCTAGACGCTCCCAACATGGACTACGTCGATCAGATTCTGAAGGCACAAGTCGAGGGAGAAGACTCACCTCTTCACAATGCTTGCTACATTGTTATGGACAAGGAAGGTATGTATTATGAAGCTTGAAGTCTCCCTAGTTGGTTGATACAGTACCAACTGATAGAATGTCTAGAAGGCATTCTCTACTCCAAAGCCTATGGATCGCGAGATCTAGCCCGTTCTCAGCCCATTGATCTGGACTCGTTCCATTGGATTGCTTCGCTCACCAAGCTCTCTACCGCAATTGCGACTATGATTGCTGTTGAAAAAGGCTTGGTCACGCTTGACCAAAACGTCAGGGAAATTGTCCCCGAGCTCGCAGAGCTCGATGTGCTTGAGGGTTTTGATGACGATGGAACCCCGCGCCTGAGGAAATGCACTTCCCCTATCTCCCTTCGGTAAGAAGAACCCTAAAGAATTACGAAGTCGGAAATATGTTCTAACGTGACGATCTCGTAAGACAACTACTCTCGCACAGCAGCGGCTTCTGCTATGACCAGCATCACGAGGGACTACAGCGATGGGCTCGCTACGTCGGGAAGAAGGAAAACACATTCACCGGATCGCATGTCAGTCAAACCTGGGCCAATTTATTATGTCCATATGGTTTTGAACTAGTACTGATACACTATATTTGATGCAGAACGGCTACCTCTACCCGCTTATCTTCGAACCCGGACAGGGCTGGGCATATGGCAGCGGAATGGACTGGGCAGGACGAACAGTAAGAGCTTGAACAATCATCTTACCGTGTTTTGGTATCAAATCCGCCTTAAGTTCTAACTCTCAGCTGCTAGATCGAGATTGTCGCCAATCAAGACCTTGAGACCTTCATGAAAACTAACATCTGGACCCCTCTCGGCATGACCTCCACAACATTCCGGCCCTGGGCGCGCCCCGATCTCGAGCAGAAGGCCGTCGAAATTGCATGGCGCGGTCGCGACGGCAAGCTCATCAAGGGAAAGAACCCATACGGTCCCGCGGTGGACTGCTGCGGCGGTGTCGGGCTATTCAGCACCCCTCGCGATCAAGCTAAGCTGCTTGCCGCCCTGTTGAGCGACGGCTACGGGATCATGAGTAAGGAAAGCCTCGATGTGCTGATGAGCCCTCAAACCGAAGATCCGTCACACTTCCTTTCTATTGTGTGCGGAACGAAGCGTGCGCATCTAGGCCAGACATGGCCAGAAGGGTCGAAGGGCGATTTTGGGCTCAGTTCGTCTATCAACGCTACGGATTTCCCCGGCCGAAGAGCCGCGAATAGTGCGAACTGGCAGGGAATGCCTGGTATTCACGCCGTAAGTTTCTATTTCCACATCCCATGCTGCTAGGCCATGATATTATCATCGCCTCATACCCTCTGATATACCCCACTGTCTCATCCTATCGGCCCTTTAACGCAGTATTATCTTCTTTCACTAATGGTATCGTAGTGGCTTGATCGCACAACTGGCTTAGCCGGGCTTTTCACGACTCAAGTCTTGCCCCCTGGCGACAAGGTTGTCACACAGACCTTCTGTGCCCTTGAGGAGGAAGTATACAGGGTCCATGGCACACGCGTGTAAGGCGACCAGGGATGTCCATGGTTTTCGTGAGGTGTTCAGGGGTATATAGACGGCGCATGTATTTATATCTTTCTTTACAGCAATTCATCCAGTTTTCCCATACATAGTACTCACGAAACCCATCGCTGTAATAACATGTTGTTTATGATAATTAATCAATTTACGTAATTTCCCCTTGCTCAGTCCAATTTAGATTGTAATTATCTTGACGTAAACTACTTTAGAGATATGTCACGTCTCTTCTCTTCTTTTCTCTTCTCTGAACACTTCTCATCTCTTCCGTTTTGTTGTCTTTTTTGCTCATATTTCCAAATGCCAGGGTTTGCAAGCGAACGCGATACATGAACTTCTAGCTAGGGTTGAGAAAACAGATATCTCATATATGCTTAGAGGTGGTTCAATCTACTCAAACGAGTTTCAGTCTATAATACCTTTCCACATACGCTCAACAGTATATACCTTTGATGGGTTGGAGTCGATACTGTCTTCATTACAACTTCTTAGGCACCCAAAGACATAGCTTATAGTTTAATTATAAATATGAATTGGTTATTGATTAACAGTGATCAGTCATGGCTACAAGTGATCAACCGCTCGCGGCTTGTCATCTACTACACATGCAAATAAATAAATCATACGTAGCACTATGTTACAATGCAAAGCGTTGAAATTGGCGCTATATATGAAATTTGGTCTATCACAAAGAAAATTCGTTACAAATAGTTACACTGAAGTTATCCACCCCGGAAAACCAACACCATTTAGAAGTTCATAGCAGCCTTTGATTCTGCCAACAATTTCGCCATGGTTTCGTTAGGCGGCAACCGCGCATTCTTAACAAAGTTCTGCAGCTCGCCCGTGTAGCTCGCTTCGCCCTTCATGTACTTGCTGTTGCCGTTACCATAGGACCAACCCACGGTGCGGGTCTGCACCTTGTCGTAGCAGGGAGCCTCCGCGAAGAACTGTCGGAGCCTGTCGTTCGCCGTGGCAGGCAGAGGGCCCTCGGGGATGTTGAGCGCGTAGATGGACACGCGCTTGATCTTGCCGGTGCTTCCGTGGATGGTCACGGCGAAGGCAAACCGGTGCTCGGGGACGTACTTGCGCATGTCAGCGAACTCCTCGGCGGTCGGGGGTTCGGCGCCGGCGAGCGCGGTGTATGCAGCTGCCTGGGCTTCTGTGATGGGGCCCGGCACAGTGAAGTACAAGTTCAGAGTGCCGCTTTCGTGGTCGACGGCGACGAAGTGGCAGTACTTCAGGCCGAGCTTGTGGAACGTATCCAGATGCGCCCGGGTAGATTCAGGGACTTCCTCTGCGGCCAGAAGGTCGTCGACAGATCGCAGACCTTTCAGCAGAATCCATGTCTTCGCGAGACCCCTCTCGGAATCAAAGTCGCACCATTCTGCTGGCTCGCCGTTAAACATGTTGCTCCAGCTCCGTGCCAGCCGCGCCATAGGTTGAGTTGGGTCGATGTAGCCGGCCTTGGCGGCCATGGAGATCGTGTCGACATTGCTGGGGATGTAGAAGCGGTAGTTCAGCTGGTCATTGTCTCGGCTGGTGGCACGCCAACTAACAGATCCTTGCTCGAATAATCCAGGGAAATTGTTCAGCGTCGCTTGAAGCGTTTCCTCTGAGTAGGGGGCACCGATAAGGTCGGCGGTCTTCTTGTAATCAGTGATGAAACGGCCTGAAGCGAAGACGCTTGGGGTTTGGGCGGTTACTGCTGCCATGTTGGGTTCTGATACGGGATAGAGTGAAAGGTAATGTTTGTTGAAAGTGAGGAACGTGATGATGGACTTGGGATTATCGATTGACTTAAGAACAGATGTGATGATTTATATTGTTCTAGAGAGCAGACTACAACAAATCCTAACGCCACGAGTCCTTGATCTCACATCACAACCACTCCCGAATTCAATCAGCCCGTGATTCCCGTAACCACCGACCGAGACGGACGATATCCTCATCCGCGAGTGGCCGGGCTTCACGGGGCTCGGGCTTGAGTGAACACTTCCTAGGGTTGATTGACAGTGAAGCCCATAATCAACCCTTTCAAACTTGGAACAACTCTAACTGCGATACTATATTTACTTTATCGAAATGAGATATACAGTTGGCGCAGAATCCAACTATAGCGACTCATACTCGTCATTTTGCTGGTGGTCAAGTCAATGGTAACTCATGCGCTTCTGCTAGGTAGGCTATCATAACCAATAGGGCTTAGGCTACTAGGTAGGTACTTAGTACGTGTAAGTAAGCTAGCGACATTGACCATAGCCAGGTAGATTAGTATTTAGCAGTTACGAGCACCGAGACCCGGGGCTAGGTGTCTACATAGTACTAAAGTAACTGAGCTAAGCTCGTGTTACATAGACGCCATAGTAGATAAATAAATATAGGCGCAACATAACACTAGCTACTTTAAACGGTCTCTGAAACTCCTAGTTGGCCCTAACTAATTTACTGGTGTAGAGATTCAAGCTAAGCAGGCACTTAATCTTGAGGGGCTTAATTAGGTAAGCCTTGAGGTAAGCCCTACGAGTCTATTCTAGAAGGGTGTGGTTCAGAGGCCGCCTCGAGCTACCTGAAGCAGAGGGCTTTGAGACACATATTGTCATCGGCAGTAGCGTAAGATATAGGAAGGAAAGATCTACTAATATTCCGGTTCTACATCGGCGCCTCGTTTTCCGTTGATGTGTGTAATGACGCATCTGACAATAAGTGGTAGCTAAGATAGCCTGCTAATGATGCGACACCAACCGGCCGGCAATTACCAGCACAGGCGTCATCTTGGTAGTGTAGGTAGTGGAGGATCGACCAGGGAATAATGCGCTACTGGAGATACAGCCCTATCTTCTCTCATTAGACCCGATGCCCAAACCCCGGTAGAGAAGGAATATTTTTAGTTGCAGGACAACAAACACAAAATCCTACCTACTCCCCGAGCTCTTCCTCTTGCCGGCCGCCGAGAGTCGAAGGATCGTGGCATTATCCTCAAGTAGGCAGTTCGATAACTTGACATGCAAGGGGGAGAGCGTCTCACACGAAATGCGATTTGGTACTTCATGACCATTGTTCAGCTGCACTAGGTGCTCGCGTGGAGTGTCGTACAAGCTTGGGTTTTCGCTTAATGAGCACCACGATGCGTGGGATGCTTCGTCGATCTCAATGCTTTCCTTGCGGCGGCGGGGATATCATACACATGTATGACGCTACTCTTTCGAAATTTGATCTTCTAGGATAGCATAAAAGAGTGAATCGGCTTGGCACATGAATTGATGAGATAACGCGGTTTAAGATGAATTGAGTCAATTTGATACCGAGTCTAGCTCTGTATGGCCCAGTGAAATGGGAAATCTACTACATCGCTCTTTTCGCCTATACCAGTAATCAAAAAGGAAAAGGTCTATCTCTAATAACCCATGAACGCCTCGCACGCCATGTCATCAAGCCGCCGCTTCTTAGGCGCCATATACCTTCAGTCTGTCCTCGACTGGTTCGAAGGTCTTCTCGTGGAGGCGTCCTCCAGTAGGCTTTCCAAAGACCATCTGGGCCTTCAGGGTCCAGTCGGCAGGGATGTTCCACTGCTTGGCGGTGGGGGCGTCTACCATGGGGCTGTAGTGTTGGAGGTTGACGCCCAAGCCTTCGGCACAGAGCATCGTCCACACAGCGTACTGTAGCATTCCAGTGGCATGCTCTGACCCTGCAGGGTAACATTCCTGTTAGTAACTTCGCGCATAAAGCACCCCTATGGGTATATCACCGCAACTTACATTGGGGCATCATGGCCTTGACCATGGGTACTTTGCTGCCAACCTTGTCGAGCGCTTCCTGGCTCTCATAGAACAGAATCTAAACACACAAAATAACCTATGTCAGCACTGTCGGCTTTCAAGTAGAAGTCTGTGTTTCTTGGCGCAACCTACTGTGCCATATGAGGCGCGGAACATCTTAACGCGGGGCTCGAAAGCCTTCTCGAAGGCTGCTGGGGGCACGGCGGCCTTGGCGGCGTCGTGGGCGATGTCCCAAAACTTCTTGTGGTCGTCTTTCAGGAGCACGACAGCGCGGCCAGACTGGCAGTTGAAGGGAGTGGGGGCGTGGAGGATCGCCTCGCGCACGATCTCCTGGACGCGAGCATCGGGGATGCTGACATCGTCGGTGAGCACATGCAGCGACGAACGCTGCTTGATGGCGTCGAGCAGGCTGAGAGTGTTGGTAGACATAGTGGAGATGTGGTGAGGATGCAGGTGTAACTGTACGTATATTTGGAATGATAAGGGGTTGGCGTCAAAGGTGGCAAAGAGAGGTGTCTTGGTTACCTATGTAGGCTGAGAGCGAATACGTGAGCGGGGCTTGGATGAGAGATGAATAGGTCGGTTAGCCAAGGAGGCGGCAGGCAGGTCCTTAATATAAGAAGTTCGTTGATGGTCCTTTGAGACAAAGCGGCCTCTTTCAGCTCTCCGTATGTGCCGGGGCTCGGGGCTCGGTTGAGGCCGCGTCCAGTGAGTCGGGTCGAGGGACAGATAACCCGACGAACAAAAACAAAACATCGGTGAAACGCCTGACTGCTGCTGTACTTAGGTAATTGTCATTCCCTGGAGACATTGTCTGCAGCCGTGATAACAATATGCACGTGAAACCAACACGTCGGGTTGCATTCCCATAAAGCCAACAAGTGTCCTTACGCAACCCACCACCCCCCTTCTCTTTTGTAAGCTTATTACCTCGATTATCCATTTTCAGTAATTCCTCTCCCATCTGAATCCGCAAGTGTCACCATACCATAGGATGATGGAGGAGGCGATACGTCAACTACCTAGCCGGTCGCATTAAAGCGTTAGGTAAGCGGGCTATGCACCTACATACCGTCCTTATTCTCTTCTACTAGCCACGAGCGGTGAGCATCGTCGTTAGTCCTTTGAGCATGCCTAATTTTGCAAATGTCCACCTCCATTTTGTCAAGCCCCAGGCCTAGCAACACAGCAATACAGACCACTTCATTTCAGGGTGTTTTATTTGATACTTGCCTCGTCTATTCTAAATGCATCGCACGCTACCGTGTGCAAGCATTAAACCCCGGTTTGTATGCAGAACGTGGGCTAATGATGAAGCTAAGGGGGTATCTAGTGTGAATTGGTCCAGCCACTAGATAATTCCAATTTAGATATTGAGGGAACATTCGATGAGGGCAGCAGCATGTTGTTGACCGCGGAATCTCACGGGTTTCACTCGAATGTTTATCTCATGAGATCGTGAGAATTTCATATGGAAATAGTTCTAGTCATTTTAAATCCATAGAATTCAATCGCTCTTTGATATAGGTAAATCAAAAGTCTAAGGACATTCATCTCATATACATCAAGCATAATTGATCGCCAAGGTAAAATCCAATCGTCCAAGACCTCGCTTCAGCGCCCAGACTGTTTTTACCCTGTCTGCTCTAACCCAGCTCCATCTCCCCGGGTCTGAGGCCTGGCCCTGAGCTTCGTTGCTCGCATGCCGCCATTGTTGCCGCATAGCGATCTTCAACGAACTGGCCAAGCGCCGAGTAGATCGGACCGCCTTCGCTCGGGTTCTTGCCCGCACCGGGGTGACAATACTTCTCGGCAAATAGCTGGACCATGCCCTTGAGTTTCAGCAGCTCATGTAGAACAATGTGCGCTCTCAGTGTCTCTTCTAATGCCCTATCCACGTCATACGAACCAAGTCGAAGCGGGACGGCAGCAAATGCATCATCTAGTTGTTGCTGCTGCTGCTGCTGCTGCTGCTGCTGTTGTTGTTGCTGTTGTTCGAGCTCATGCTCTTGCTGGGTTCTTGGTGGGGTGCCAATGTTGAATGGCGTTGAATCGTCCGCCTTGGCGATTGCCCCATACGTTGCCAGGATCTTGGAAATGAGTACAGTGATCAAGAAGGGCAAGTGTGCGTCTGCTTTGCATTGACACTTCAGTATCTCTATGACTCGCTGACTAGCATTTGAACACATGAGCAATGCCTGGTCGATAGTTGTTATCGATGGCCCGCAGCCTAGTGCGCTCAGGTCGCTCTGCATCATTTCATTTCTAGTCGACATCGCGAGTATTGACTTTTGGAGCTGTTTCGCCGAGTTCAAGCAGCTATGTCCATACATAGGCGTTTGAGGTTGTGGCTGTAGGGCTGGGTCGAGCGGTAACGTGTTGTTGTCATGGCTGGACGGCGGGAGGCTGTCCGGAGTGGGGATCTCAAATGCCCGGAGCAGTTCAGGTTCCGAAAAATCAAAATCTGTGAAATAGTCGAGATCGACAGGCGGTTGTGTAGGTAATGAGAAGCTGGATGAACCGGATTCAATCATTGAAAGGTACATTTGATGTGAATTTGTTGAGAGGTCGCCACTAAGGTGTCCCATATCTAAGAGGCCGGAGGAATCTGCGCTTGGCCCCGAATGTATACCCATGCTCTTGTCGGCAGCTCCCATATCAAGATTCATACCCTCTGTCGGAGGAAATGGTCCCATCGGCGCCGGAGACGAATCTGAGCCAGACGTAGACGGAGCCGAACACTTGCTTGTATCCGACGACGATATGTCTTGGGGTGTCTGTAGCGCGCTCTGAAAGGATTGACAGGAAGTGACACGCGGGAAAAGGTCAGCCATGGTTAAGGTGTCAGTATCGTGTGGCGGAGTATGCGTAGCAGCAGGCATCGTCAACACGCCCCCGTTGAGAGCTTTGATCAAGTCGCACGCCGGCTTCCCAGTGCGCAGGGAAACGCTGTAACGACAGCTAGTTTCCATACGAGCACAGCGACTGCATTGCGGGCGTTGTTTGTCGCATCTGACCTTTGCCTCTGTGCATGCATCGCACGACCTATAGTGCAGCCATTGTTAACGCGATCCGTACCGCCTTGGAAGTAGGGGTGACTCACGAGCGAAACTTGATGGTTGGCAGGGGAGATTGCCGGGACTTGCGCACTGAGTGCTTGGGATTCTTAGCCGAGGCCATGGTATCCGGGCCGCGAAGCTTGGTATTTGAGTAGGAATGATACTAGAAAGCTTCGGAGTCTTAGCAGTCGTAGTGCAGGATGACCTTGACGAGCGTCCAACTCCTCGAAGCGTCTTGGACAAGGCAAGGTGTATATAGCTTAGGAACCGTCGGCGAAGGAGTCTAGAACCCTTGCGTGATTACCAGAGCTGCGATCCTATCTACGATTGCTCGTCTCTTCACACCAACTCAGAACCAACATGACCTGATATCATCAGAAGGTATATAACAATCCTATTATAAATTAATCATCTTGCGACGCCACGTGCCTTTGGGACCTCAGACCCTCCACACCGACCCATGCTGTCAGCTCATCCATCGCGCCCTGCAACAGGCTTATAATAGACCTGCCCGCGCACCAACGCCGCACAGAAACAGCAGCGCCGCACTACTTGAGAGATCCATTACTACATTGAAGATGAGGCAGCACACTCAAGCCATGATGACTAACGAGTCATGACATCTTCAGTTCATGACTGATAGGACTGTGATGTATGAGCAGGTACCTAAGCACGCCTTGTCCCCCGCCTCCTCACCTTGAGTCCTTTTCGTCCACAGCCAGCGGTGCATGCGATACTTCGTTACACGGCGCCAACAACAACAACAACAGCAGCAGCAGCAGCAGCAGCAGCAGCAACAACTGCTGCAACAAGCAACAGCCTACTCATAACGGGCATGAGTCAGCATATTGAACTGCCGGTTAGAGATTAGAGTTTGCGGCACTACGATATCATCGCATCTGACACTAGGCCTTAATGTGTGTTTATTATAACGCTCCTTCACTTTGAGACATTAGCGTCATTTGGCAAGGCTTCTAACACCGAAGCCTCTGTTCGGCCCGTGGCACAGTCAACAATCACGGACATAATGACCTGGAACTTTTCTTCCTTCTTTTGACAAATGGATCAGAGAGTAGAAACGATCTGCGGGTCCTCGGCAACCCGGCTTTGACCGTGTGTCCCTTATCACTCCCAGAGATCTAGACGTCATTGTCGTAGTTTGACCTTTCAAAGCAAGCTGTCAGGCGCCTTGCTCTCCTAAGATAGCCAGTTTAGCCTGGCGCAAATTTTGGAAAGAATATAGGGCTAATATTAGGTAATGGACAACTTGTGGCTGTTTTGTATTACTTGTTCGTGCTTTGGTCTCTTCATCGAAGGCGCCATCGCATTTGACCTCTAGTGTCGCGAAGCCGCCATAATTAGAAGGCTTAGTGTCCACCATCTCTGCCGCCAAGAGCTGATGTCCAAAGCTTGATTGGTTCGTAGTATACGGATAAACCCAGTTATTTGAAAGAGGCCAGACCAGTAAGGTACTTTTGCTCTGGCGTCTTCTGAAACAAGGTTGAAGCCGGTTACCGACCCAGCAATCCGGAAGAACACTGCTCTAACATGCATTAGGGTACCATGTCTCACCCGCATTCGGTCGATCGAGCCAACAGTTATCGTATGTATCTGCTACGTTCCTCAATATCCTATCTAGGTAATAGGGCGAAAAGCGCCTGTCAGCCAGCTAGCAACTGACTAAGCCACAAACATCCATCGCTAGACCAAACAACAACCAGAACTTCCGTACGTTTTTGATGTGTCATCTACAACAGCATTGTGCTGATTACTAGTGTTTGAAACAATTCGACCTCATTCCTATGTGTGTTCCAAGAAGAGAATTTACTATCTTCTCAGGAGAAAGAATGGAAATGCCATATAGTTGTAGATCAAGTATACGAGTAGGAGCTAAATGTAAGATATGTATATCTACATATTGCAAGATAATATGGAATATGTGAACACATATGAGCGAAACCGCTAGGCTCTGAATGTCCACCGGAGATTTCGAGTGGGATATGTAAGTGCTCGGGAGTTCGGGTCGATCAACAGAGACACCAGGAACCAGGACCAGAAACTACACCTATCTGGAATCGGATAGTATACGGCGTGACCACCCGGTCCTCATTTGCACTCTCACCACCCGGCCCGGGCCCTAAAGATAGCCCACCCCGCTGTTTCCAGCATCATTTCAACCCCACTTATCGGGGCTTAAGTACCTCGGCTAACCTAGTCGATGGAGCCGGCGGCCACAGAAATGAAAGTAATAAAGGAAGCAGCAAAGCCGTATGGGGTGGCCATGTCGAGACGCCGGGATTTGGAATCAAGGAAAACTGGGATAATAGCTTCAGGGCCGGGGCGGCTACCCTGTGATGCTATTCACAGCATCACCACCAACATGCGTCTCTAAATACGCTCGGCCTCACCAACATGATTCAGACAAGCAATCGATCGACATTCGATCAGCAATACGCTACTAGTGAACTGATATTTCAAAGGCGCAACTTTTCCGTACTTACGGAAGTAGGTTTTCGAGTGCGGCTCAGCCCCCGGGCCGGATAGGAGCGCTAACTGCTCAGAACTCAAGATGGACAGATGGAAACGGCGATACCATTGGAACTAGCGATATTTACACTAAAGAAATGGATTATTAATAGCACTTTCATCAATCGTTTCTTATCGTGCTATGGTAGCCCTAGCAGGAGGGAAGCTCGTCTGTTTCATGTTGTAACGTAGCTAATATTGTGACTAGCCCTGGTTTAGGCGCACTACATGTGTAATAGGATTATAAGAACGCCTTCTCTATCTCCATGGTTTTTTACAGTCCTCCAATGCGCCTCTATTCCTGTAGCAGCTAGCTTTTCCTAGTGCGGATCTATAGTCTGGTGAGTGGCGGGTGTAATGCTTCGGGGTTAAGTCTAGATTTCCAAAGATCTAATAATAATGATAAACTAGAATGTCCTAGGCCATGACCGGAAACTCCACTGAGTTGCAACGGAGTCAATGACTAGTAGTTAAAGCATTATGCTTTCTATCTAGTTATGGTCTGATTAAAACAACATGTTAAATGCGCCAACAAGAATAAATGTTTTACAACAGAAGAGCTATGGCATAGCATCTTTTCAATACCTTAGTGATTTCAGGGGCCTTTAAATGAGTAGAGCCATGAATTGTACACAGAGTAGCCCATCAAAGGTCGCCCCATTTTGGGCCGCATTAAAGAAATTGTCCCATCCCTTATCGTCAAGATGGAGAATGCAGCTTGGTTAAAACAGACGCATAGAGTAGCCACAGGTGATCAGATTATCTGACTTAACAACCTTTTACATTCGGTAATATTGTAGCATAATTCTGCCATATAACTCTGTGGCAAACTCCTGTGAAATTCCAGGACAATTCACTATCATTTTCCAGCATTCCATGAACATTTCTAAGTGCCACGGGTGAGACCTGGAGTTCTAGATAAGCAAATGTGGTATAACAAGGGCGGATAACTGGGCTTGGAACTTAATACTATTCAGAATACAACGATCAACTAGGGCTGCATGGGTCCTTGACCAACCAACTGCTTCCTGGCTGTTTATGGCTTGACTTGACTCTATAACCTCACTTTCCAATATTGCCTACATGTCTTTGAATTATCATGAACAACCTGCAATGGCCTTTCGTACGGTCGAAGCGCAAGGCGAACTGCCTATTCAGCTAGTACAGCTTGTATGCGTGTAACAGATGGTCATAAAGCATAGAAAATTAATAACAGATAAAGGCTGTAAGAGCCTCTTGATTGCAAATGTAAACAAGTTACTTCACTATTTTAATGGTGCTCAGATATTCATCTATATTAATAAGACACAAGGTCACCTGATAACGCTCTGCTGACCTTCCAGTGATAGCTCTTATATTAAGATAAATGTCCTGACAGAGGAAGGACCGAAATGAGGAAGATTTTGCCGTGCTAAGGCAGATAATCCAGGCAGGCGTCTGGTATGTCACAGACGGCCGAATGTTCCCTTTGAATGCAAACACGTACCCAATCCCTCCGGCCCTGGAGGCCATTAGTGATTAAAGATACAAAACGACTAGTTACGGCGGAGGAGTCCCGAAAGATTCATTAGAGTAGGGTCTTGATCGAAAAAAAAAAAAAAGATTAATCCGCTATCTAAAATAAAAAGATATTATTATTACTTAACTTGCCAATCTGGAAATAACATTTTTCTTTTGTGAAGCAAATTCATATTGAAGGCATTCATATTTTGGACAAATTTGAATTTCTTATTGTCTTATTGCCCCTTTTAGTACAATATAGACACGTAACCACTACTAGAGTTAGCTTTATAAATGTAATTTTGCACTTTATTCTATTGGTTCGGTCCTCATTGACACATTCCTCTTGAAGGTTCTAGTGATGTATTAGGTCGGTATAGGGTAGCCACCTTGCTGTAGCCTAAAGAACAGGAATACCCAAGTGCCCTGTCTGCAACATGTCCACATTGTTGAATAAACCTTGTTCGTATAGATAAAGCCAATGTAGAATCAGACATCCAATGTCAGTCTTTCACAAGTTAGACGCAAGTGAAATGGTAGAAGGCTTCTAGTTGATTGTTATGAGACTGCAGGGGAATATTAGAGTTCATACAAAGAACTCGGGCACAGAAATCTGTGTATATAGCCATATCCAAGCACAAGAAGGTTGAGAGACCTACCATCGAAATGCTCGTTTAGGGGTATTGGCACCATCAACTCCGCAACTCGGGCGATCATTGTTCTACATGTCTATATATATATGCGAACTTCATCCTTTCACCCATTTCAAACAGGTATAAGGGCAACAGATAGTGTCCATGCTAGTTTGATATAGCTACTATAAGCAAACAAAGAAATTTAATTTGTATTTAGCGAACCCCTAAGAGGTTACTCGGAGATCTTTGGTAATATATTATATCTTACCCACAATTAACAAATATCTTAAACGGCAGACTTATGTAGATGATTTAGTCAGGCCCTCACATCAGATCAAGACATATAACTCTTGACCAAGCCCCTTCACGAGGAGACATTCGGCATAGACAAAAACAAATCAATAGTAACATGAAAACAAAACTCGTTAGAAAACAAGTACATTGCCAGATTTCTGAAACACAAAGAAATTGTTTTGTATTGAGTAGAGACCGTAATAAATATCCAGCACCCTACTTCTTGAATACAATACTGCCATGACTGCATAAAAAAAGATTGGAATCAATCTGCCCTATCTGTGCCAGTGCTGTTTGGACATGTTCTAGTCCTCTATAGGAGCTTCGCGAACCAAGATGGGGTAAGATCCAATTGAATCATTATTCCCGTCGTTGGCGTTGTGCTGATCCGTAAGGCCCTCTTCGGAGAAGATACAAGAACTCGTGTCAAGATTCAAACAGACTTTCCCCTCCAACTGGTCAAACATCTTCCGCGAGTACTCAAGAAATTCCTCGTCCAGATAGAAGGGGATTAATTGCAAACGTATGTACTCGACGGCCTTCTCCCGTATCCTGGCCCATAGATCTTCATAGTCCTTGTAATGTCTCTCTAGTATTCGCACAATTAGATCCGTCGTAGCCACGCGGTCAAGTACTGTATTGTCGAGTGTCGTTCTCGCGTGTAACCAGCTCTTCAGGGTAACTATGCTACTACGAATCGGTTCGTATATTCCAATGAGTACCTCGCTACCAATGCTTCCGTCAAATGCTTGGTGGCTGAGAATAAATGATATGGACTCCTTCTGAGGACAGACCTTTACAGATGGACGTGAATCATAATGGAATGGGGAACTTGGCAGATGGCTTGCAGAACGTGACATTGTTTCTACCTCGTCCTGGTCCTCGTCGTCATTGTCCAAAAAAGCTCTACCCATATCTATACTACCCGTATTTACAACACTCATACCTGGAAATGGCGAAACCTGGGGAAAAGTCCTTCGAATAGGGGCCCGGGCAGTTCCACGTTGACTCTGCAAAGACCTAGATTCGATGTGAAACATCGCGACCGCCTTGCTACTGGTGGGAGTAGTTTCAACTGCCGAAGTTTCGTCAGTTTTCGATAAGAGGAAGAGCGATGTCCACCGCGACGGCAACGTATATTTGCAGGCTATGCTCTCCGCCAGACTTGAGAATTCTTCTCCTCTACCATCAATCTCTAGGTGAGCTTTAGGTATGTGTGTTGCGTCACTCAACGAGATGCCACGCTCAATATCATCTAACAGTGCCCGAGCTGACAGACTATGGATAAGCGTACCGGGCTTATCTAGTCTGGTAACTGAAGTATTCATAGTTGTTCGCTTTCCCTCAGAAATAAAGGTGAGAGCGATGTTGCCGTTTTGCAGGGTGCTTCCTTGCTCTAGAAGGAGGAATATTCGATGTGCTTGAAACGGGCTGAGTGAGTGAAGGTTTGCCGGTGCTGTCATGGCTTTGAGTCCAACTATATCAAGTCTTAGATCATGAACATGAATAGTCAAAGCCGCCTTCAATATCGCAATCATTCGTGCTTCCCAGCCCCCTTGATCCGCTTTGGGGATTACTTCCGAACAACCACCTCCTTCTCGTGCAATTCCCTCAATCAGCGCGTGGGAAACATGAGCGCCGAGACCTAGCGAGAAGAATCGAATAGCGCCGTTAGAGTAGTTCCTGGCTTTGCGCACTAGGTTCAGCGTCTCGCCAAGCTGCCAAACTTCACCATCTGTGAGAACTATCACGTCACAGGGTAAACCCCAGTCTCTAGCTGCGATGGCCGCCTCAAGGGCGGGCAGTAATTCAGTCCCTCCCATGTCTTCATGAAATTTTTCATTGACATAATCCAAGGCGATACTAAGCGATTCCTCATCATACACCCGGGATTTGTCCCAGAGACATTCGTAGTTAGACCCAAACGACCAAATGTTGAAGCTTCGACCTACAGGTATGCCTTTGAGGAAGAAGTGCATTGCAGACCTTAGACTTTCGATCTTGTCCTCCATTGAGCCGGATCTATCGGCTACGAAGATGATTTCCCCAATTTTAGACACTTCGTTCTGAAAGGGGAAGTTTCGCGGGGGAACTGTCAACATTATAGCCGCTTGGCTGTCAAAAGAAGGGTGCATTTCCAGCCAGATTTCTGGGTGCCGTTCTCCCTTGCTGTATATAGTGTCAAAAGAAAGGATAAAGTCAGTCTCTATCCACTTCGTAGCTCCCGCGAAGGTGACTATCGCGGTTTGCTGCTTGCTTGTATTAAATTCCCTTTCAACCTGATCAAAGTTGAGTTTATCGCTGGCCGTGGTGCTCCAGTCCACGTTGATTTCATGGCTAGCACTCTGAACATGTTGGATGTTCTCGGTCTCGAAGATTTCTATGCGAAGCGAAATATCATTAGGCTTCGATTCCAGATTGAGTCCTTCGAGGCTGCCAGGGTATTTTCCGTATCTATTTGCTATATAGGTGGGAATAACTAGGGTGGTGGTATTTGCATCGTCGCCGAATACGCGTTTCAGAATTGCAGCATACGTTATGTCAGTCTTGATGCGTGTATGTGGCGGGATGTGGCCAATCGAGGATGTATAAATCTCTGGTGTATTCATGTCCAGCAGAGCGGTGGTAGTATTCGCAGCAAGAGCTCTTTGAAACTCCTCTTGAGCTTCAGCCTTTGGGAGAGCCGCGGCTTTGAGGACTTTGTTGTTACCGATTCGACAAGTGAACCCAGTGACTGTACATCCATTTGGAAGCGGAAAGGTATATGACCCCTTATGAATGGGTATGTCCGCATCGTTCCAAAACAATTGCCTCACAGTTACCTCTGCTATATCTCCCGTAATGCGGCCGGTAATTGAGACTGACACAGCAGGCAGGACGTTGCGGTGGGTTTCTTTCACAGTTGCGCTCGGGAATAACCTAGGTTCCATAGCCGGCTGAGCCGCGCCGGGTAGACTGTGAAAGCGTGGTGCAGTGTACAACTGTTGTCCGCCAATAACTGCCAAGTTTGCCGCCGGATTATTCACCGTGGCATATTCAGGTGGCAGTGGTTCGCGAGGATCCCAAACAATGCCTGCGGAGAAAATGTTCATGTTGAGTGATATATTTGATTGCCAGAAATGTCGTCGAGTGTAGACGCTTGGTAGGAATCTGAGCACCGAGACTGTCGAGAGGAACTGTAGATAGATTGGAAACTAGGTCGCGGTCGAGTCGCCTTGTATAGGCAACCCCAAGTTGCTGATAGGACCGATATGGGCGCCACAGTAGGACTGATACTCAGCTGACTGAGGCTATGCCTTGAAACATACATGGTCAATTGATGCAAATAAGTATTACCTAGCGTAAGTTATACACTGGATTTAAATCGAGCTCGCTGTCTCTTTCTTACTATATACATCAAAGGTCGCAGTAGCTTGCGCGTGCTCTGATCCCAAAATGGTCTTCCAAATATCTGTAGGCGATGCCATTCTCCTTGCACAAATAGCATGGCAATTGGGCCAAACCTTCACGAAAGGGAGATCCTCCGCCCCTACTGAGTTCAAGGAGGTCGAGAGCGAACTTTATTCATTGAGTGCGGCGCTTACTGCAGCTGAGAGTGAACAGAAAAGTCTGCGATCATCAAATGGACTAGCAAATGGCTCGAATCAACTTATGGCAAGCCAAGATGTCTTCGAGCACATTATTCAAAATTGCAAACACACACTGGCACATTTGGAAGAAATCGTTCAAAAATACATGATCGTCACCGAGCAGACCGATCCTCAGAAGCCAAAATTTGAGAGATGGAGCCATTCAATCATAAAGAACTGGAGAAAGGTTGAGTGGACCACAGAAAAGGGGGATTTGAACATGTTGCGAAGCCAACTCATGCTTCATACCAATAGCCTCAATCTGTTCATCAACATTGGCACTAGGTTCGTATTCTCCCAATATTTGAACATCGGTCCTAATCATCATAGCTCACGGGCGGCTTCAATTGAACAATCCCTAAACGAGAAATTAGTGCTGTTAGAGGAGTTGCATCAGTGGTACGTCAACAATTTAAAGGAGTCCAAACCAAACCACCAAGGTGTTCCTACGCGGACAGAGATGACAATCGATGCGCAGTCAGACATTGTATCGACATTTGAGCTGAAGAAGAAAACAACGAGCAACGATGAAGTAGTATGCCCTACTGCGTCATTCAGAAGCGAGTGGCTGGAGTCGTTTCAGGATGAGACTTTGGATCCCAGCTCAGGTTCAATGTTTGTCTGCAACTGCTCAAGTCGTGACTTCGGGGCACTGCCGCACGAAGCCAATGTTCAGAGATACGGGCGTAAGTAGTATCGTCATGGTAAAGGAAAGCCGTTGATAGATTATAGTATCTCACCTCATATTTCCCCTACGTGTTGCAGGTGATGACGGATCGTGGATGCTATACAAGACGGCAGATAAAATCACCAACCAGCTAATCGACCTATACATTCGGAGAATCAGCCCAAAGTGTAAACATCGCTCACGCTGAAGGCTGAGGGCCTCGAAAGAAGCTAATCTCACTGCCACAGACCTACGCCACTTGGAAGACACTTTCTTCCGTTCGCTTTCAAGCAGACGAGGAGAGGCTATCTTGGCTCAAGGCTCAGGGAATAGCCTCTGCTATATCGCAACAGATACCCTAGAGGAGCATGTCTTGGAAGCAATCAGGTAGGTCACTCCAAACTCCCTTTCTTGAAGAGGCGTCTATCGCCGTGCGCGGACTAACCATGCCGTAGCGACTTGAAGATTGCTCAGACATCAGTCGAATCGATCACCTTTCATAGCGGTCGAACACAGCACGTGGAAGAATGGGTCACTGATATCCAGATCTTGCAGTACGGTGTGCGAGACGCCGCGATTCCTATTGATAACATCCAAGCCGGCGTTCTACGGTCGCTAGACTATGCCGAGATTTTTGTCTCATTTGACGCCGATGAGTGTAAAGAGCGCGATGATCTAGTCAGCATGGTGCTCAAATGTGAGTATTCAATAGTGTCTTGAAAGAGCGCATGTCTAACGATTGATAGTGAGACGCAGCACTGTCGTGGTTCTGACGGAGAAGGCGTCTCTGGAAATCAAGTCTATCGACACTGTCGGCACTCACTCTGATGAACGAACAAAAGCACATGATGGGTTGCAAGTCACCATCCAATTCACTACAAAGTCAGGTACATCGTACATCCTAAACCAACCCCATCCCCTGCGGACGCATAACTAACATTAAGCAGCAGCCAAGGAGTTTTATGAAAAAGTCGGGTCCATGCGGAAAGACCTGTTCGTTCGAAGTCTGCAATATCCCAGACCAAATGAGAAAGTCTTGCTTAGTCTGTACGTTCCCCAGCTACGCGGAGTCGGGAATGAGGCGTGCGCATCACTGCTAAATAATCATAGACAAGCCGCCAAAGTCGAGTGCGAGAGCTTGTACATCGACGATGCCGAAATCACTATCGTAGTAGATACGAATTCTAGATATCGGCTAATCATAGCCAGCAGCAACGGACGCACTATTATAAGCCAGCATCTCGTCGAAGACTTCTTCACTGCTTCTCCCAACAAGCCGAATTTCACCGGGTCGACATACGTTGTCCAGATCGGAGAGACGGGTGAAAGAGAGGTATACCACTACAAGAAGGGTTTCAGGCACCTCAATCTAAGCACCGCACAAGGTCAGTGACGCACCTCGACAAGCCCATGGAGCTCAACGAGCTCAAAAGCCAATAGCTGACCCTCTCTCTTTAAGCGAACCGCATGCTGGAGCTTGCCCGAAGCTCCGTCTCATTTGACATACGAAACAGAGAGGACTGCAGGGAGGGAGCACTATAAGGCAAAGTAATAGGGGCCGCAGAAGCTCCCTAGCTATCTATCTATCTATCTATCTACATTAGACAGACAGAGGTAGCAGCTTAAGGCCGGCGATCCAAGCACCTGCAATCCCTGGAACTTGCAGCGTGCCATATGTACCTGTATAATAACAGTTGAGGCACGCCCGGATGTGGCAGGTCCTCCCGCATCCCAATAAAGTCGAGTAAGCTAAACCTCATTTCACCGTGATGCGACTCTGCGTTGGCAAATGCGGGCGCGTTGGTCCCACGCCATCGAACCAGAGACGCGGGAACGTGACGAGAGAGAGACGGATGGGAATATATTGGATGGCTACTAATTATTCCCATGCTTGCCGCACTATCGAGATTCCATGGTTAAGTGACCACCTATTTATAGTCTCATTTTAGTTTTTCTTTGGTGCCGGGGTTCGAAAACTCACATCGGATACGATCAGGCGACGCGGGTGGTACAGATTATTATAGCTAATTATGCATGTATACTAAGTATGGATATGGTATATGTGCCAATATAATATGCGGGTACGCATTTGCATTCGGTCTGTATTCCTACCTGTTCGGATGTGTTAACCGCGGCGGCTAATATGGGAAGCATGCCATCGCGCTAGGGAAAGACTTGGGTTCCTGCATGCAGAGCTCTGGGTGGACGTAGGTAGTTTATGCCACGATTAGGAGCAGTAAAGAGAATAAAATGAAACAAAACAAAATGGAAAGGATGTAGAAGTATAGAAATGTACCAGAACAGGGCTTGGACTCGTCTGTGGGAGGATTCATTGAGATGTACCAGTCCACTGACACCGTCGCGAAGAGTGTGCTGATGTCTCATCTCGTGATGATGTCCCAGCAAGCTAGAGGCATCATATGGAGGTGCCGGCGTGGTACAAGCCAACATACAACCGGGTCATAGCAAAAAAGAGGCGATGGTCCGTAAGTAAGCACACATGGCATGGAGGACCACGAGCATCGGTATAGCGGAACAACGGGTCCGCATCTGATCCAAGCGTGTGCTCGAAAATTCCCGAGCCAAGCTCACATACAGCCAGCATATATGTACATCCTTACTTACAGTATTGGACAACAATAGCATTCGCTCAGATTCGCTTTTCTTTCGGGACGTCTCAAATCGGCATGAGCGATGTGGCTGGCACGAGGAGGGAGTCTGGTGGCGGGAGGCGCTCGCCTAGACCCTGGTCTCCGCCCGCCCTGTCAGGCACCAGGCGATTCACTTCCAGCGCCACAGAAGTTACCTATTGGAAACCCCATCGTCGACGCGTCTATTCGCGGCTGGCCGCTCACTCTATGTGTAAGAAACAGTGCTCACTAGGTACCACGGATCGGGAACGTGTGGTTGTGTGTGTATGAGTGTGAGTGTGGATGAGAGCACCTCGTGTGGCACACGCATACGATATGAGGGAGGCTTGTCCGTAAGATCGGACTTTGAATAACCCATTGTGCATGCTTCAGGTGGCATACCGGGCAAAAACATATTCTCCAACCTGCAACCCTGCTCGGCTAATGATAAAACCTCCCAGGCGCCCCGAGAGAGATGCACTGAAGATTCCCAACAAATCGGAAAATTATCGCTTGGTGCGTTAGCAGACTAGCGAGACATGCAGTGCTTGGCACGCGTAATAGAGCCCACGCGACTCCACAAGAACCTGGGGACAAGAAGAAGCCTATCTAAGTACATGACGCTAGCGCAGAGGAAGATGGCATGAGCGCCTGTCTGGTGGGCGGACGGTAATTCTCGACAAGTAAGTAGACATGTGCTCGACTTGGGTATTTGATAAACAGGCGGCCGGTCCTGTCCTATCCTGTCCTGTCCTGTCACTCTTCACTATTCCTAAACCGTCTCTCCTTGTGGAGGGACGTGAGACTTGCAAAATGTCACCATCGTTGGAATTATTTCTCATCGTTGGTACCTGTAGCTAAGTAAGGTACCTATGAATGTGCTGTGACATCGCAAGGGATGGAGATATTACATAGTATTGTTGACGTCGACTTCGGTAGTTGCGAAGTCTGGGCACTGTCAAGGCCGCATGTGAAACAAATGTCTGTGCAAAAGTCAGCTCAATCTATTTGTAGACCAACGTTCGCGATAGCTAGGTACTAGAACGTCTTTTTATCGGTCATTTGTCTCTTCTTAGGGTCTACCATCCGCAAAATTGTGACACCTTGACTTGACTTACGTTACGCCTCCTATGTCCCGACTGGCCTGATAGGGCAGAAGTCAGTAGAGGGTAGGTGAGGGTAGGTAATACGTGTAAAGTAGGTACTGCTTACATGGACAAAAGAAGAAAATAGTACATTGTCGGCGGCTGGAACGGGGTTACTTGATGGTAACATACAAATACTTACGTGTACCGACAACCAACCCACTTTCTCTAAAAGGATCCGTCATAGATAAAAAGGCTTAACTCCTAGCTAGCAGTTGGAACTAAGTAAGTAAGTACGGTACGTACTGACGCCGAAGGTGGTGGCAAAAGTCTTTTGCACTCGGGCACACATGAACGGGTATCTGTAGCGCGAGTAAGCTGAAAAGTCTGAAGCGCACAAACAAGGCTACTTGTAACTTACTTGGTATGGCCCTACAACTCGCCATCTGATGATCACCTGAACTGGGAATCGAGGTAATTTCCTATCTAGATTAAGTACGCAAATCAAGTTTTCCCGGCGGCGGCCAAGACAGGGTTTTAACCCGCCGGCCAACCATCCAGCAGTGCTGGTTTCTGCAGCTGGACGATCGCATTTCCATGATTGGCTTGCGCGACAAGGGCTGGTTGGTAGTGTGCCTGGCGCGCTGTGTACCGACCGGACAAGACAAACCCGAGCTGCGTAGCGTATAATTTTGAGGACGGTCCATAAAACACAGCTCGCTGAAAATAAAGGCTTTAACCGAGGCAATACGTGTGTGCGAGCGTGCACTTTTCATGTTGCCTGGGGAAAAATACATTGCGTGCATTTCTCAGATAAACAACAGATAGCCAGTCTGCCCTCGCGAATTGTTGACTGACAATGGTGTAGTCATGCGCATACATCGTGAGCGCCTGACTCTCAACGGCCCAGTATCCCTGGCGTTTGAGCCTTAGTGAACGAGTGAGTGACTTGTGTGCACACGTACCAGTGCCCTCCTGCCCTTTTCAGTTGAGCACGCCTATGCCACATTCTGAAAATAGTTGCTATCGCCATCAAAAAAAGAAAACAAAAGAAAAGATCCGGGGTTCTTCAACGGAAAGGGCAATGTGTAAGGCTACGCCGATGGGAACCTGAGCGCCATGGCTCTGGGATTACCATGGCCGTCGACGGTACAACAACAATTAATCGCCTGGTAGCCTCATTGATTGAGTGTCGAGCTCGCCCAAGACCTCGGACGTCGGCACTCGCTGACTTGGCCGGGATCGTGTTCCGTGGTTGAGGCCAAGGCCTCGCTTGTGGGTTGGACCCTTAAGTATTCATGCTGCCTGTAACTTATAGTCAGGTAACTGAGAGAGGCAGAGGAGAGATCCAGAGAGGCCATCCTGGCCAGCGACGTTGGAACCCGTTCCCCCAGTGCAACATCGTCATGGGGTCGCGCTCAATAGTGCTGGCTTACATCTGTGCTTGCTGTACACACGCCGCACACACAGACTTTGCACTGCAACGTGAGCATGGTCTCATGAATTGATTTGCCCCGCCAGCCCAAGCCGACAAGTTGAGTGAGCCCGCTATCCTGCATGCCATGCCTCTTGGAGGCCCTGTGCTGCACAAGGGAATGCCACGCAGTCTGGCATACCTACCTACGCCGACGTGAGTGAAATACTGACCTACCTACCTACCTACCCACCTACCTCTGTGCGGGCTATCTGGTATAATGCCTGTTCGATTCCTCGCACTAGGAGATATCGATACGACTATATGCGCAATAAAGCCCTTCGTGCATACACACACATGTACGCATCCTTGAAGTAGGGAGCTCTTTTAGAGTGACGGGGAGAGGCCACTTGGCTTCAGAGGGACCGGACCCTCTGATACGGCATTCCGTGTTGATAATTTGGTCTTGGCCAAAAGGGTTTCTGCCTTCTCCTCCGTCTCCTCTGGGTCGTAGGATTCGTCTACGATGTAAACAACGACGACTCAAGAGTGCCTACATACATGGACTAAAAGGCATGAGGAGGGCACGGGTAAGTATCAGGTTCCCCTTGCCCTTCTCTGCCCTTCCCCCCATCTCAGCCAGGCGAGTTGGTCCTGAGTTCGACGCTATATGGCCTAACATGGTAGCGTATGTGCTAGTGTTCTGCATTATTTACAGTAAGTAAGTAGACGAAGTTGTCTGTAGCGCTGCGGTTAGCCTGGTGAGCTTGCGAGCTTGTGGACCAGCTTTTCGTATGTGGCGTTCTGTCCTGAACTACGTCCTTATTACCTAGGTATGTATACCTAGTCTGCGCAAAATGCCGTGAATATCGTCATCGTCATCGCCCTACACTGCCTGACTACGACTACCTAGTAGGTACACCACTTTGGACTTTGGCCGTGTTCGACATCGGTCTTCCAACCAGGCGGCTGGCTAGTGGCGCTGGTCGCACAACGATGTTCCTTCAGGCGATCGGCCGCTGTCATCGGCAGGCTTCAGGACAGCTGGAATAGACACTATCACTGATTCACACACAAGTACGTGCACACTGCCTGGCTTGGAAGAGATGTTTCTTCCCAATTGGCACTAGATGCACTGCCTAAGTCGGCCTAGGAGGTTGGCACACATGACTAGCTTAATCTATCCCGGGCATCCTACCCCGTGTAGTTTAGGGAGCAGGCCCAGGAAGGCAAGTAGGCTTCAGCTGGGCTTTTCCGTGTAGGTATGTAGGTAGGTAGGTACATACTGTGCCGTGCGGAATTCTTGCCTGTGTCTCTGTCTGTCTGTCTGTCTGTCTCTGTACTATACACATACATACGTACGTACCATGTAACCAGGCAGACAGGCAGACAGGCAGGCAGTTCAGAGGCACGGGAGCGGGACGGGGGACGGGGATAGGGATAGGGACGGGGGGTTGACGATGGGGAGGATGGGGAGGATGGGGAGGGGAAGATGGATGAACATTTCGGGGAACAGCGTCTCTGCCCAGGTTGGCTGGCTGTCTGGCTGGCTGTCTGGAGTCTCTGCTGGCCCATGTGTTGCAAAATACCTAGGTAGATAATTATGCTGTCCAGTCTGTCGCCCCGGTCGACCCATCGCGAGCTCGATTCCTGGTTTTGACGAGTTACCATACCCAGTCAAAACCCAGTGCGCAGTCTCCAATAGTGGAATGCATGAGGTGGAATGTCGTACACAGTCGCGGCGCACTGTCTGAGCTCGATGCCTCTTTGACCCATTCATCAGGTACAGGCGTCGGCGCGTACCGGTTGACTCGTGCGTGCCGCCGTCGCCACGCCGGCCAGCGCGTAGTCGGTACTTGCAGCTCGACGCAGGGAGACGACAGACAGGAGACGTGCCGGGGTGCTGCACCGTGTGTATCTCGCCGTCCACACGTCCCCGTACCTGTCCACCCCGTCCCTCTTCTGCCCCGTCCACTCGTTCTCTTCCTTATATCCCGAGTGAGACTATCAACCTTATTTGTGCTTCTGCCACCGGCACGAATCCCTCCTCGAGCTCCCCGACACCACCCAACCCAATCCTCCGAGAGGACCGTCATGTCTCTGTCGCTCGTGTCCTAGCTCCGTGTCTTGACGAGCCGAATCCTTGAGTTGACCGATTGAATGTGTCCTGCTTGGACCCTACAGCAGCGCCGCATCCAAATACGCAAGGGATTATACTTTGTTGCAGCCCGCATTAGCTCTACAGACGAACGACAGACGTCAAGACTGCCGCTGCATTGACTCGTTCTTGTCTAAGCGAGCCGTCTGGCGGCAGCGTGATCAGTCCTCGATTTCGAAGCACACCGCCTCTACCACGGCACACGACGACAACCTCCCCTCGCTTAAAAGTTTTCGCCGATCGCCATTCGGCCGTGATACTTGCAGACGGCGCCTCGGCTTTTGAGTATTCCTTGGATATACAACGTCGTTGCCCACGAAGCTGGTCGTGTTCAGAACGCGAGGGCGCTTCTACCGAGGCATATACTTTTCGGCTGTACTTAGTCGCGCATCGCGCTACTACACCGGCAGTTTCAGTTTGGCCAGCCCGTCTTCTGTCGCACGGCATTGGGCCTCTTAGCTGTGCTGTTCCGGCCCTTTTGTTTAAAATTACGTCCAAGAGGGACCGCGGTGCCCCCTACGATCTTAGAACGCATCAACAACTTACCGTCAACTTAATTCATCATCTGGGTCGTCTGAGGCCTGCGACCCACTATCCATTATGCCCGAAGGAGACATGTCAAGTGTTGCGCAGGGCGCTGGCAACAACTCGAGCGATTTCGTGAGTAATCTTGCATTGCATCCTACATCTGCAACTGTACAGTCGCGGATGTATACATGTGTATTTGGCTAACGTGATGGAAATTGGTAATTAGGTTCGCAAATTATACAAGTAAATGACCCCCCTGAATCCGACTTGTGGCTTCTGCTCTGCTGCCCGCAATACTAACATGTTGTGCTGTTAGGATGCTTGAAGATCCAGCTTATAGTGAAGTGGTAAGATGGGGCGACCAAGGTGACAGTTTCGTTGTCTTAGAAGTATGTTGTTTCTCATAATCGCTTTTTTCCTTCTTTGAGCGACTAGAAATCTCATGCCCTTTGCAGAACGAGAAGTTTACCAAAACGATACTGCCAAAACATTTCAAGCACAGTAACTTTGCGAGTTTCGTGCGGCAGCTGAACAAGTACGATTTTCATAAAGTGCGACATAATGAAGAAAATGGGCAGTCTCCTTACGGGGCGTCGGTAAGGCCAAGATGTCTGCACAGGCAAGACCATGGAAATACTAACTCCTCAATCAGGCGTGGGAGTTCAAGCATCCCGAGTTTCGAGCAGATAGGAAGGATAACTTAGATAATATTCGGCGAAAAGCACCGGCTCCAAGGAAGGCTCAAAATGCGGAAGAACAGTTTTCTGTACAGAGCCAGCAAGTCGTTGTTCTTTCTGAAACGTTAGCAGCGACACAACAACAGGTTCAACAGCTACAAGAATCTTATTATGAAATCATCGGCGCAAATAAAATTTTTGTCGATGAGATTTTGCATCTGCAAAAGCTCGTCAAGGCACAGCACCAAGTACACAACGAGCTCATCAGCCATCTGAGTAAGCTAGAAGAAAGGAGGGACACTCGCTCATCCAATCACTCGACGCCAGGATACAACTCAAACCAGAACCTGATGTCAGATGGCTCAGAGTCACCTATGGAACTACGCCGGGCTCGTGATATTCTCAATGGGCTTTCAGTAGACCATGTCGCAGACAGAGACCTAAATAGAATGTCAGTTGCATTCCACCAAGCAGGCGGGTCTCCAGAATCTGTGGGATCTTCCTCGATGATGGGACCTCCAGGTGCGGCTGGTGTAACGCCTTTCCTGCATGATCCTCTTAGCGATATGCGGCATCTCGTCTATCCTGTGGGCCAGAACATTGGTATCGATCCATTCGCCCCTGAGCACATGAACAACATCCCATACAACCGGCCTGGCGGGGACAATGGCATGCCCCCAACTTCTGATTTTAATTCAGCGCCATCCATGGCCGCCAATACGCCACCAGGTTTACAGGGCTCTTCGTCGCCCTGGGGATCTAAAAAGCCGGTTGTTCTTCTCGTTGAAGATGACCGAACCTGTGCTCGAATCGGCTCCAAATTCTTATCGCAGCATGATTGTGGTGTCGAGGTTGCGGTACGTCCAGTTGATACTCCATTCTGTCGTTCCACCTATGCAAAGTAGCTAATATCTAGTAGCGCGATGGTCTTGAAGCTGTAAACAAAGTTAGCGGCAGACAACAGCCCTATGACCTTATTTTCATGGATATCGTTATGCCCCAGCTTGACGGTGTTTCTGCTACCGCCATGATTCGTGATATGCAGCCTAATACACCGATTATTGCCATGACGTCTAATATCAACCAGCAAGATCTAGAGATGTATTTCCAGTGGGGTAAGTTACCTAGCCATCCTTTCGAATGAGCTCACGACTGAACAGCGTTAACATTTGGCTAGGAATGCGAGACGTGTTAGCAAAGCCTTTCACGAAAGAAGGCATGATTGGCAAGCTGAGGAGACATCTCGCTGGTATGTTGCGGAACCCTCCAGAGGGTCTGCTGGATCCGATGTATCCCAATGGAGGTCCTGCCCAACCCCAGTCGCAAGGGCCATACTCAAACCAAGGTATGGGAATGGCTCCGCTTTCCGCGACGTCCTCTGGTCCCGTCACCAAGTTTGACACCACGCCGATACAGTCGCCCGCTACGAGTAGCTCATGGCACTCGCCAAGTCAGCTGCCCCATCCATCACCAACTATTGCTCAAGAGCATGGGGGCTACTTGGCGGCCGGAAGCGGCTCTCAGATGGTGCTCACCCCAGGGGGCACCCAAAAGCCTCAATATCCTGGGGCTATGATGTCTCAAATGACAGCATCTCAACGTATGCCGCTCGACGGACCTCCGGAGAAACGGCAACGCTTATATGGCCCCTCGGGTAACTATAATCAATAACGATTGGCGTAAGGTGTTTTGATCTCTGTTTGTATATATTGCTTCTGGCATTTCCTTTGTCGTCGTCCAACGGCCATTTTTTGGTTCCATATTGGATATATCGGTGTCTCAATACAGGCAGGCGACGCTACTTTCAAATAGTGTCGAAGAGAGGCGTGTTGGAAAACGCTGAAATCGGCAAATGTGGACCGCAATTGCGACATGTCTGCCGACATGTCCATGCCACTCGCTTGTCTTGGAAGCGATAGATTGGTATGGTGGACTAGACCAGATTATGACCATAATATACCCCTTGCTTCTTCTTTCTGGGAAAAAGGCAAAACTCCCTTGGGTTATACATTTTGGATATGCGCAGCACTTGTCTTCGAGGTATCTGTCAGTGGGGCCTTGACGGCTGGTGACAACAACCCTTAAGAGACAATATGAGAAGACGATCTCGGAAAACGGAAATCTGCGCAAAGGCTGGTGTCGGAACTTGGTTGCATGCTGCATGTCGGACTGGGGACGGAGACAAGCGCGAGTGGATATTGGCATGAATGGCATGGCGAGGGGAAGAGAGGATGGTCCCCCATCACGATGAATCGTCTGTACGATAGGTCTGAGCGATTCCTGCCTGAGTTAGTCAGGGCTCGATATTCTGTGAGCCATTTCGATAGACTTGAAACTTCCCAATGCGCCGACACTCGGTGCCAAAGACATCTCGTTCAACGTTGACAAGGGCAATTCGCATTAGACGTGACTGGTTTTTCGTAGTTATGGCCATAGCTATCTCGCTTGGTTTTTTTTGCACAACCAACGGCGGGATTTGCTTAGCCAGCCCGATGCCCATCCGTTGGCGGACTAGATAGACGGCAGCTCCTCCTCTGCGTCCAGTGGAAGAAGTTAACATGGCTCTCTTCTCGTTGTCGCCTCTGGTCATCTCGTTCTTGTGTGTGTAATCGTATTTGTTAGTCGAGCACAAACTCCTGCCTTATAATACTCCACAACGGTTGTCAGGCGGCCATGGTCGAGATCCAGTTTCCTGTGCTCCTCCAGTATGCCGCCTTTCATCCCTTTGCCCGTTTTTCATTCGTCTTGGTTGTGAAATGGTCCCATGCCCAGGCACTCATATCGTATCATGATTACTATCAACTCCTGTTGGTAGCCACTGTTTCCGTTATCTAGTTGCGCTATTCGTTGACAAAATGTCCACTTATCACGCTGCCTTTTGTTGTCTATCGTTCGTTTGATCCGAGGTTCGTGTTGATGAAATGCCGTCACAACCCTCCTAATCTGGTTTCCGGTTATGTATTCATCGTAATTTCATCTTGGTCGTGTTGAGTATTGTAGGTAGTCCGCTGTTGTATTGTCTTTCGAGACCAAATCCTGTGGCGTACGGTGTATGTTGCTCATAGTGTGGAAGGCCAGAGTCAGTGGAACGACTATCCTATGGGCCGGAATAAACATGAAAAGGGAGAAAGATCAAGAATATATTGGAAATGAGTATGTAACTGGAAGAAAGGAATAAGGCAGAAAGAAAAACAGAAGGGGGTAAGAGTGCGAAGGAGACTTGTGGGAAACGCGGCTCGGCTGAGCAATTGATTTCAAACCAACGTTTCTCTCCCTCGAGACCCCACTAAGAACAAAGGCGGATGGAAAGCCGAAGAACAGGAGAGATAGCAAAGCATATGTCAGACAACGCTTTTAACAGGAAGAAATATAGAGTTCATCACAGCACTTCGACCTTGGCTCAGCATGGTTAGTCCAAAGGTAGAGAAAAGGTTAAGTCTGGCAGCCTTGGGTGGAAAGGGATAAGATAGATAGAGGGTGGGACTCAGAGGAATAGGTGAGTAAAAAGAGGAAACTTCAAAACAAGGAGAACCCAAGACCTGTCGTCCCAACTGTGACAGGTTATATGAGGGGGAGTGGAGCAAGGAAATGGGACGGGATTGCTGCGACGTAGATGAGGTTTGGGCTGGGCCGAGTCGGGCTTCTGGAATGTTTGTAGTAGAGTAGGCACTAAGAGTAGCCAGGTATGCAATGTAAACGTATATAAGCGAGGTTCAGGTAAGGTAAGGCGGTCGGAAGAGGCGCGGGAGACGGGAGAAGGGTAGAAGTAATAATAAGCTGATTCTCCCAGCAGTGTGTATGCGCGGGCGAGCTATGTATGCGTGTATGTATCCATCGGTGTAATATGTGTGCGTCCGGACGGGAAACGGGGGGTCAGGTCATCCAGGGGATATGTACAGTACATCACCTAGAGACGTATCGGCCGGGCTTCGTCCACGTTTCCCACACACACTTGTTTGCTCGCTTGCTTGGACCTTCACCGACCGAGTGATATGTATGTGTGTGTAGGTACAAACAAACCACAGATAAGCTCTTCTTGTGCTCACCGCCCACTCTAGGTCTCGTCTGATCTATCTACTTGCTGCCTGTAGCATTCAAGACCTGCCGATGGCATTGTATACAACGGCGTTCTAACTTCACAGGTCCAGCCCGGTCTAGGTTGTCCCGACACTCACGCCTTAATTAAACTGGCCATCATGTCATTTATTTGTAACTATATGACCATCCGTGACAATATTACCGATCCTTCGAGTCCTTCGAGTCCTTCGAAAGCGACATGATCACGATCCGGGGCTATAATACGCACCCTGCCCTCTTCTACCGCCTCCTTTCGACGCGATTCGTTGGCAGAGCGGACGAGATAGCGAGGTATGTCATGAATCTATCACTCCCGTTATGCCAGACCGCCGTCTCGATCTCCACAGGAACAGCTGTGCCCTCAATGTGAGCAGGTTTAGCCGTTGGCTGTATATCAAGGCAGGATAAGGATTCGACCCAATGGGGCTTGTGACGGATATAGCAGGAGGCACGGGGGTGGCCCTAGATGATTAGCAATAATACCTAACGGTTTATAGCTCTTGTAAGGTTCTAGGCTCGTGATCAGCTGGGATCTTGGTCTTCTGGAACACTGGCTTCAAACAATTCGCTCCGGGGCCCCTTGTTCAATCTCACCCGTTAACATTCCCTAGTGCCGACCATGTGATTGTGTGTAGCGTACACTAGTCCGGTGACAGAAGCAGCAATTGCGTTTTGGGGGTGACCTTGTCCACTTCCCCAGCAGCACCCCAGATTCCTCGCCATCGTTGGTTGGTATTGGATTGAATGTAGGGCAGCGTACTTATATGTGAGGGAGATTTACTAGTATAGACTAGGTATGGTTTGATTGCATGCATGCGAGCTGGGGAAGCTGGGGATAGTGGCTGCTGTCTCGAACGGGAGCTGAAGATCTCGAATGGATTGATAAGCGCCGTACTGCATATGGAGCACATCTCTCACCTACAACTAGTGTACACTACTTATGTAGTATGTCAGTGGCGGTATAGGTAACTTAACCGAAGACCGAGTCTTGCTGGGCATAGCACAATCGCGCCGGTCACTGGGATAATGCTGGTGAAAATGAGATTCACCTAACATTGCCGGGTTCAAGTAGCACACGACTTGTGTATGCATGCCCTGGGTTGGTCTCCGAGTGCAGGTGTACATTGTGTACCTGCAATGCAGTATGGTATAACTTCCAGGTTGTATATCATGGTTAGCTGTGGTGAGGATCCTCCAGGAGGCTTTCATCGCACGCCCTCCTTGCCCTTGGGTCGCTCGGGTCAGGCGCAACGAGCCACTGTCTTCATCCGCCTTCGTGGCATCAAGATCCTTTAGCGGATATGGATGCGTGCGGCGATGGTCTGTTGGCAGTGCGATGTGTATCGCGGTGGAGGTTGGCAAGGCATTGCGATATGTTCATCGCGCTACCGCAGCAGTGTAACCATTCCACTTCCCAAGCTGCATGGGTTGCCCGTACAGACCCGTAGTATTCCTGCAGGCGGGCGATGGTCTGGACACAACCTAGACCACCGAGAAGACATGCTTCCTCGCACACCACCACCATCCACTCACAATTGCCAGGCAGAAGAGGGTAGTCCGGCCGCGCCCCACCAGGACCGAGGGCACCCTTGGCGACGTTGGGCCTAGACCATTCATCATGGTGAGGATTCTCCCAATCCCTGTCTTGTGCGATCGCAAGCGGGCGCTGCGCTGTTCCCTTAATTTACAGCGTACAAACAAATGACGTATTTGTGAGCAAGGTCAACACACCATACCGAATACCTAGCTTAGCGGATGTAACCAATAATAGCAGGTATCACAGAATATGGCGTACTACATACACCTTGAAATCCTTCCGGCTTCAAAGCAATAAACGTCGGCCAAGAGGGCGATGATGAATGAGGATGATGAGAACAATGTCAGCCCAACTTACAAGTATTCTAAGCTCATGTCTCTTCTCTAGCCCTGCGCCATCATGTGGGTGGTGCATATCGGAGAGAACACCACGACGAACACGTGGTCCGGAAGGACTCTAGCGGAGGGCGCCACGCTCGGAGAGTGTGCCGAATTGGAGCCAAGATTAGCATACATCTCTTACATGTAGTCGAGACTGCCGGAGCCGAGCGAAGGATTACGTGTAGGCATAAATTAGGTGAAGCGGGTGTCTGCCATCGCTACTGATAACCACAGATGCCGTAGGACGATGACCAGAGGGATGGCGCCTCTGGTTCGGAACAATATCCCTGTAATCTACTTGCTGATTCATATCTCGTCCACGCTCCAGGGCCAGACGACAGAGTCAGGCAGAGGCCGGGGTTGGAGTTAGCCCTTCAACGTGAGGGAGACCTGATGGACCTAACGCCAAGACATCGTACTTTGCTGAACAGATCGGCATATAAGAGCTTATGAATGATAGGTAGATCGCTGTAACCGACAAGCCACAACGCTGGATGATACTCCTTAATCGGTCAGATTACGGTTGGGTCGACATGTTCCTCGATTGGATAAGGAGTATGCGATAATGCTACGGAAAATGATTTTTACTTGTTATGTGTTAGGTTAGCTTTTAAGGATTTTGAAGGTCCTTGAGCAAGCCAATAAGAGCGTCACCTTGTTTTTGAATAGCCTCATTGGCAGGGCTCAAGACTGCTGCTTCCGCCACTGATGCATATCACCCATGCGTGCAATCTTATCATGACTAGCAGTGATGCCCTGATATCAAGAGGAAGACTAGCAGAACGTGATGCGAAGAAGAGAATTCAAGGCTGCCGGTATCGCATACAGCAAATCCAAAAGGCCATGAGAGAGGGAGAGGAGACGGAGAGAGAGATCAGTGCTTGTGAGCGGCCCGAGAAAGTGCTATCGGCCAGTTGAAGCTTCCTGTTTTTTGCTGCCAGCTGCAGCCGAGCTGGCGTGACAGTTCCACAGCTGTTAACATTGCCCCGCGATGGATTGAGTCATACCTCCATCCCGCATGTCACATCCCAAAACACAGGCATTTTTTTTCTTCTTCCGCGCTGCGAAGAGCCCATGTACTTCCCTATCCATTTTTAGGTATCTATCTAAGCTACTTGTTAGCTACATAGCACCAGTCATTAACAAAAGGTACCTGTTTTGGGTTACTCGGGTACACACGGCCAGCTGCCCCTCATTGGATCTCAGAACATCAGATTTCCCTTTAGGTACCTGGTTTGACGGTGTCAACTCCCAACCACGACGCTCAGGCATTCGCACACTTCGAGCCTCGATCACGCGATGTCGCAAAGCAAAGGTGGTCGTGGCGGTGCCGCTGTGAAGGGCAAGAAGTCTGGCAAGACAGGAGGCGAGGAGCAGAGAGAGGCTACCCTACAAGCTGTGGCATGTGTTCCCCCTATTCTGGCGTGTTGACAGCTTCACCCTTGACTGCTTGCTAACACACGATGCTCCAGCTCATTGCGGATGATTTTCAGACACGGTTCTTACCTTTCTCCCTCGACAAACCAAGAGTGAGCTAAGATCTACAACCTGCCCGGCTTCTATTGATGTCGTGTCTAACTGGATCGACACCCACAGTGTCTCCTTCCCCTCGCAAACACCCCCCTCATCGAGTACACCCTAGAGTTCCTCGCCATGAACGATGTCAAGGAAGTTTTCATATACTGCGGCGCACACTCAGAACAGATAGAGAATTATATTCAGAATTCTAGGTGGCTACCAATCGCACAGTCCGGTCCCTTCTCGGTTCTCGAATTCATACGCGTTGCCGATGCGCGCTCCGTTGGAGACTTCCTCAGAGACCTCGACGGTCGCGGGATAATCGGGGGCGATTTCTTACTTGTACATGGCGATTTAGTTTCTAACTTGTCACTCGAGGGCGCCCTAGCTGCCCACAGGGCGAGGAGAGAAGCAAATCGAGACTCTTGCATGACTATGGTCTTGCGCGAGGTCGGTGAAGGTGAGCATCACACTAAGACAAGAACAAAAACGCCCGTCTTTATCGTCGATCCGAGGAAGAATCGGTGCCTTCACTACGAAGAGACGAATCCATTCCAGGCAGACCACTACGTGGACCTCGACCCGACCGTACTAGAAGGTGCTGAGGCAGAGGCGCGAACCGATCTAATCGATGCTCAAATCGATATATGTACTCCCGATGTGCTTGCCTTGTGGTCCGAGAGTTTTGATTATGAGCTTCCACGGGCGAATTTTCTACATGGCGTCCTGAAGGATTGGGAGTTGAATGGCAAACTGATACATACCGAAATTGTCACCGAGGGCTACAGCGCGAGAGCCACGAATCTGCAAATGTACGATGCTATAAGCCATGACGTCCTAGGAGGGTGGGCCTACCCTTTCACGCCAGATTGTAATCTGCTGAAAGGCCAAACCTATCACCTACAACGTGACAATGTCTACCAGGAAGACGACGTCCTCGTCGGAGATTACACAGAGATAATTGACGCCGTCCTCGGACGAGACACACATGTTGGCTCCAATAGTATAATACAGAATTCCATCATTGGCCGAAATTGTAAGATTGGGAATAACGTCCGGATTACCAATAGCGTTATCTGGGATGACGCTGAGATTGGCGATGATGCTGTCGTCGAGCATGCTATCATAGCAGACATGGGTCACGTAGGAAAGGGCGCCGCGGTTCGTGAAGGTTCTTTGGTATCGCGTGGAGTTCGGATTGCTGAAAAAATCGATATTGCGCCCACTACTGTGCTCTCTCTTCTCACTCACGACCACAAATCTCTCGATTCAGAACCTGGGGTTGTTGGGGCACAGGGTAAAGGCGCCGTATTCCAATATCCAGAAGAGGATGAGGTGGGAGCGGAAGAGCTCGCAAGGTTAGAAAACTCACTGATTTTTGACCTAAACCGATTCGACATCGATGGCTCGTCGGTATCGAGTTTTGGGGATGATGACTTTTCCGATGACGAGTCCGAGGCAGCTTCAGCAACACCCAGCCAACCTACCGCGCGCTCTCGTCTGTCGTCTTTTGCGTCTGATGACTCAGGCGCACCTAACTTTTCTTCATTCCATGCTGATGCCGTTCATGGTCTTCTAGAGGTCTTACGAGGGTCTGTGGGTGACTTTGACTCAGAAAAGCTAGAGTTTACTTCGTTACGGCTCGCAAATAACGCCTCAGATGTGGCCATGCGGAAAGCCGTAGCCACGGCATTTGTCAGACGCGCGGTCGAGCTTATGAACGCCGAATCTGGTGGTGTAGATGCAGTGAAAGCCGCCAAAGAGACGCTTACCTCTAGGGCAGGTGCGTCTGATTTCGTGGCGGATGTTGGCGTCGGTGGAGATTCAGTAACAGATCAGCTAGAATTTGCTCTAGCCGTACAGAGAGCGTGCGTGAGCACCGCTAAGACCATGGAGGTCGGTAAGGCCGGAAACCTCCTGGCCGCTATGTTACAGCAGATGTATGATTTGGACATCTTAGAAGAGGAGGGACTTGTCGCTTGGTGGGAAGACGCCAGGGGCAAGGAAGGCGAGGTGATGCCTGTTGTCAGGGCTAAGTGCCAACCACTGATTGAATGGCTCGAAAACGCCGAGGAAGAAAGTGACGAGGAAGAGACCGACGAGGATGACGACTGAAGTATATTAGAAGTATACTAGAAGCAATGAAATTGGTCACATTGATGAATTGAAAGCCTGATGAACTAGCGCAAGTCTCGGAATCATGAAGTGTGACATCAAGGTACCCTACAATAAAAATAGCACGAGCCATTTTGATATAGCTATCCAAGGCCACGGAATCAGTAAATCCCCATCCCATTCTAGGCATCCGGACCCAACCCGACTAACTCATTCCAACCGGCAAAAAACACGAAGTAATGGCCACTGTCCTCTCATCTCGGCACCAGCCATGGGGTACCATACCATATCTGCGTGGACTTCGTTCGTGACCAACTGGCATGCAGGCAATCTTGGAAAGTGAGATTATACAGACTTCGCATCTTAAAACAGATCCTTGAGACCTAGGCAGTCAGGACTGGCAGACCAGTTGTATATAGAGTCGAGTCAAGCCACCAATAGCCAACAAGGAGTTGGTTGATCAAGGACTCATCTAGCCCCGATTGATCCTTTTTCTTTTGCGAATAGCATTAATTTCCAAGTCCAGATCTCTGTGCTTGTCACAGACTTGGTGGCGATTAAGTACTGCATATTCCAGTGCGGTTAATCCCTTAGCATCGGCAATACCAAGAGCACCACCATAGCTTAAGAAGTCGCTTGTGCTGTCATGTCCCTGTTCTAACGCCAACCAGAGTGGCATTAGGCCGTTTCTATTAGGCAGGCTAGGATCAACACCTTCGGTCTCGAGTAGTAGCTTAACTATACCCTCACGTCCCTGCTTTGCCGCCGCCCAAAGAGGCGTCCAGCCCACATTATCTCGAAAGTTGAGATCAACGCCGTTAGTATCTACCAGTAGCTTAACTATAGTCTCGTATCCATTCACTGCCGCCACACAAAGCGGTGTCCAGCCCATATAATCTTCCAAGTTGGGATCAACACCTTCGGTATCGAGCAGTAGCTTAACTACATCCTCGTGTCCGTTCTTGGCCGCCACCCAAAGCGGTGTCGAGCCCATATTATCTCGCAAGTTGGGATCAACACCGTTAGTATTAAGCAGTAGCTTAACTACATCCTCGTGTCCGTTCCCTGCTGCCCACCAAAGTGGTGTCGAGCCCATATAATCTCGCAAGTTGGGATCAACCTGTTTAGTTTCAAGCAATAGCTTAGCTACGGCCTCGTGTCCGTACAGTGCTGCTACCCAAAGCGGGTTCTGGCCTTGATCGTTCTTCGAATTTGGATCAACGCCTTCGGTATCAAGCAATAGCTTAACTACAGCCTTTTGTCCTTCTTCTACTGCCAATAAAAGTGGTGTCAGGCCGTGACTATCTTTTGAGTCGGGATCAACACCTTCCGTGTCAAGCAATAACCTAACTACAGCCTCTTTTCCGCTCTTTGCCGCATAGGCTAGTGGGGTTCTTCCGTGCTCATCTTTTACATCCGGATCGTAATCTTCAAGTATGTTCGTTACAACCTCGTTCAACCCAAGATAGGCTGCTAGGTGTAACCCTGTTACCCGTCTCGGCATGTCGAGGACGGAAACTTTTGTAAACGAATACTTGCATTCATTGAATAGAAGGAATTGACTTGATGCTTCAACCTGGGCTGGTTTTCGAAGAAAGGAATAAATGCTTTGGCAGGCTGACACCTCACGGCCATGACGTCCCCAACTATAAGCGGCGTAGGCGTAAAAGGGGTACAATCTAAGCCGCTCTTCAAATTCCTCGGTTGTTCCACAATATCCACTCGAGAAGTCTCGATAAGACAGGTAGGTAGTGCAAGCCGTCGTGATAGAAAGATGTGCATCTGGAAACCATCGGCTCCGAGTTCGCATAAAGTATTCTTGTGTTGTATAGTGAACTAGTCGAACAATGTCACTGCTTTCGTCGACTATTACTAATCCAGCACATACGGACACTACGTCCTTGATTTGTGGAAGGTTGTCTTCGTCAAACTGAACTTCGTCTGGTTCTACAGCGAGTGCATGTTGGAGCTCTAGTTTTGACAATCGCCCTAGGGGACATGTCATCCACATCAAGACTTGCTTCGCACGCTTAGCTTGCGGTTCGAGCTGTCTATCGATTCGTTCCATGGCCTGTTCGTATGCAGTATCGTATTTACTTGGCTGAGCTGCAAGCCTTTGCAGTGCTTTCCGTAAAGCCTTCGGTGTGTCTTCGCCGATCAAAGATGCAAAATTTAGTTGCGCCAGCAGGAACCTAGTAATTTTAGTGTTGTTGTCACATAGAATGGCTATTTTACGTACATTCCATCAACTGCCTTTGTCAGACTATTAATGACTTCATCTTGGAGGTCAGATCGATTGGCAATGAAGCTTGGGAGTTCTGATATGCGACCATGCAGATATCTGCGGATATCGTCCTCTCTCGCACGAATCTCGATTGATATACTCCCTCGAAATTGGTCTATGATTTCTTCTATGATTCTGGAAGTTGCGAAAACGTTTGCGCCGGTGCTCTTCTGAAGGTCAAAGATTGCAGACAAAAACTTGGTACGGCAGCTACCGATCACTTGACATTCATCAAGCGCATCTATAATAATGAAGAGCCTGGATTTCTGAAGAGCGACTGTTTCAAGAACTTCGTAGATCTCAGCCAAGGACGGCCTGGTTCGTTTCCCTTGGTGTCGATCATGAAGGTCTTTGAGATTGCGTGGTAAGGAAGGTTGGGACTGGACAACCTGCTTTAACAGACTAGATAACAAGTTCTCAGGGGTTTGATCGCTTTGGAACTTGTAGTCGCAATACACATAAGCCACTGCAGTAGTAGTCTCGTTATGGAACCTTTTCTCAAGATCTTCTATAACAATTGACGTTAGAACTGTTTTTCCTGCTCCAGGGATGCCTGGACAAAAAAAGGTTTTTTGCGGCTCATTTATCCAGTTCTGAAAGTGCTCAGAGTCAAGCAGCCATTGCCCTGTCCCTGGCTGCCGCCTTCTCAGGTAGTCGGATTGTTGTGGGCCATGATCAGTCGGTATAACCCAGTTGAGGATATCGATGTCCTCTTTCTTATCTAAATAATTTTTTGTGGATGTAACGTTTTCTTTAACGGCAGACACGGCCTCAGAAACTATGAGTTGTATTAGGAGAGTGTCCAAGAGTATAATTCCGTGGTTTTGAAATAAACTAACTGCCAGCTAGTTTCTCCTCCAGAGTCTCCTTGGCTGTCCTTTCTCTTTCGATTTCACTGGGCTGAATTTGCCCCAGGAGCTCCTTGGCATACGCGGCAGCTAAGGCAGCTGCGTGCTCCTGCCAGGCCTTGTTCTTGTGGGAGTCTGCGTAGTCACAGATCCCTCGTATGACTAAACAAGGGAAATTATCCATTAACCCAGCTGCCTCCATTTCAACACAGAGTACATCTCCTCCCAAGTCTTTTTGAAGCTTATCCCGAAAGGTAGCGCTCTTGACAACACTATTGCCGGATGCAATCAAACCATAATGCACACGCATATCTCGAGGCTTCCTCTCTACAACCTGGGTCTTGTCACAGTATTGACAGGTTTCTTCTCCCTCTTCCTCCTCCTCCTCCTCTGCCGAATATGCGTCGGTGTCGCTTGGGGTAGGGTGTTCTATGTTATTGCTTCTATGTATGTACTTCGCTTTGAACCGCACGTCCTCAAGCGACTCAGATCTCAGGTACTTCGATGCCAGAAGAGGATAGTTCGATACCATTTCGTTCACGTAGGCTGACATCTTTGAGTCTCCTAATTCATGTTCCGTCCTCAGTCGTGAAACCGCGCCCAGAAGTAAGCTCGGAGGGTTGTTCAATGACCCGGTTCGTGTAAAGTTATTTTCCCCTTCCTTGCCCATGTCCCATTGTACCACTCCTGGATATGGGCCGATCGGGGTTCCAACCACAATATCACCTAGTCTCACTTGGAGGCGAATACCACCACCGATACCGACCATTAAGCCAAATTTGATAGATGGGAAAGCGTTGACCATTTGAGTAGCCACAGTTGCTGCGGAGACCGTACCAATCTTGCCAGTAGGAAGACAAGTTATCACAATGTTGTGGTTGTTGATCGACCCCAAAGCGTATGTATTGTGGTCATTTGGTAGCCTAGGCAGGTCAGAATGCCTCTGGTCTAGCATAGCGATAGCAGCAGTCTGCTCCTTTGGTAACGCGCAAATCCATCCCACAGTGTAGTCATTACGGGTTCGTGGGTGGCTAGCCATTTGATTGGTAACTTCAGCAGCGAAGAGAGGCTTCGTTATCTAAAACTTCCTAGGGGTAATCGCGTGCGAAGTGACTCTGCACTATCTCTCCTTCAACCTTATGAGAGGGGAGGACAGTGAAGGAACGCGTGGCGGCCGAACCGTTCCTGTAGGTGGCTCGTGTGACAAAGGCTCAAATTGAAATGATAATTCACTAGGGATCTCTGGGGCCATGGTCTCTCTCCCTTTCTCTTTCGAAGTGAAAGATGACCTTGCTAGTTATTCCCTTTGGGTTTTATACAATATGGGGCCCCCTTTTGCTTATTAGGTTGCTTTGCCTAACTGCTGGTTTCAACTGTAAATAACAATCTCATCTTGTGACTCCAAATATCCAATCGCTTGTGGCTTCACTTTTGCCACGGGTGTGATTGGATGAAAGCAGCCTAAGGGGCGATGAAATGGCAGTCTTGGCCGTGTAACAACTCGTGGACAATGTAAGATACAGAAAACCAAGAAAATACATAAGAATAAATTACCTTCCAAGCGGTAGATCTTGTGACGGTGTCCTCGTCGTGACTGGAAGACACTTTGAAGTTCTTGACTGGCTTACGTCTGTCTAGTTCAGACGCCGGTGGCTTTTCCAGGAGTGTGGTTAGAAAAAGACAAAGGCAGGATGGTCAGGGCATACTATAGTCTTCCGCTCAGCTCGTCGGGCTGAAATCATGTCAAGATGAAGCAAGGTATAGCCACCGTCGTATCTGCACGGTGTCAGCTGTGCCAAAATCGATTGGGTACTAATATCGTATTCCTAATGCACAAAATGGATTCAATCTGACTCTAGAACCCGGCTATGCGCCGCCACAATGTAACTGTCGGCTGGTCTTACTGGGGGAGGTGATGAGGGATGCAGAGGACTGCAATGCTGCCTTACCAAAAGCCTAGTCTGAGTAGAAGGGTGTATATACCTATGACTACTAATATCAGAATCAACACATAATTCTAATATAACTACTTAATAATGAAGCCACTTATAGAATTTAACAGTTTTGATTAACATACGAAAAGATTAATACCTATTAGATAATAGGAGGTACCAAGCCAACAATATAAACCATGGGGGTGGGAGGTGTAAATAGAAGCCGGCTAGACGCGGCAATTGAAAACGGTCAAACGGCCCCCAACCCCACCTACAGTATATCCATAGCGCAAATGACGTTGTACGGAAAAAAAAAAAAAAAAAAAAAAACAAAGCAATAGGAAAAAAAAAAAAGAACAGGATTTCTAAATGACGTACGGTCCCCGCTAATCGGTACTTTAAGCAAGTAAGTACGTATCTATTCATTTACTAGTGCTGTTTTCCACTTATTAGAGTTATTAGTTACGGAATCAAATAACCTACCATGTATACCATTGTTACACATGTAACCTCTTTACTAAGCTGAATATGCAGTTCGCCTTGCACTACGGGCCGTACGAAGGACCTTTGCAGGCTGTCCATGATCTCTCAAGACATGCAGGCAATATTGGAAAGTGAGGTTATACAGACTTCGCTTCTTGAAACAAGACCCCAGAGACCTAGGCGGTCTGGGCTGGCAGACCAATTGTATATAGAGTCAAGTCAAGCCACCAACAGCCGAGAAGGAGTTGGTTGGTCAAGGACTTAATTATGCAGCCCTAGTTGTTCATTATAATCTGAATTGCCTAGATTCCAAGCCCAGAAATCATGTCCTTGTTATAACCATAACGATATATCTAACAGTGCCTGCTATTTCACCAAGAGAATAACTTACCTACCTACCAACCTGCACAACTCACAAGTTCATTCAACCCCTAAATATAACAGAGTTATAGATTTCATTATATATTTCATCACTTACGTCCTGACTCTCAACGCTGTACCGACCGCTTTAAAGTCTAGGTGTACATTAATGATTAATCCAAGTCTCGCCAGAATCTTCAACCTATGCTTCCTACACTCTCGTATCAAAAGCAAGTGTATACACAGCGGTAACATAGATTAGGCACATGGACAAATAGTCTGCTTAATTTTACAACTCACCGGGAACCAGGCCAAGGATAAAGAAGTCAAATATATAGAAGGAATCTGTCTACCTTTACTCCCGACCTTTTGGTCTTTGCGTCACTCTCACCATATAATTACCCCTAACACAACATACATAAACAAATCTGATTCACTTAATTCCATTGCGAGAAACATGATTAATAACGCTTATTCAGTGTTTTATATTCAAACCAAACGACATCGCTAACCTTTGTTGTAATATGGACATGCGAGACGCTATATACTGGGTAAAATATACCAAACGAAGTACATACATGATACAATAAAATAAACAAATAAAAGTAAAAAAAAGCCTTGATTTAATTGGGTAGGCAAAACCCCGGGTATCAGGTCAACCGTTCCCAACCGTCTCCGAGCATGTCGAGGGAGATTCGTAGGACCTTTTTTTTAACTCATAGTATCTCCTATATGGTCCTGCCTGGCCATCTTCTTGCCAGAGAACATAGCTCGGATGTCATCTCGGAAACGCGTTGGTGGTTCGGTGAACGTGGCTTCGTATTCGTCGATCTGGGGTTTCTCCCAGATGAGGTCGGCCTCGTGTGGCTTGATGTAATGCGTCCTCTTGAAAATCTTGTAGCCAAAGAATAGCAGGATCGTGACAAAGGCCATGGTGTAAGGTGGGAAGAAGGCGGCGACGCTCCAGTGGCCTGGTATAAACACAACGTATCCAGAAATGCCTTCGAGGATGATCATGTAAACAAAGGTGATATAAGCGCCGTATGGCTGGAACCAACCCTTGTAGGGCAGGGTTGAGCGGTCAACACCTTGCGCCTTACACGCCCGATAAAAGAAGATGTATGTCAAACTGATGCAGATGTAGTTAATCATGGTTGCACCTTGAGTGACGGATTGCAGTGTCGCGACGGCCGAGCCCGTACTGCTGCCGGCCTGGAGGAATGACAAGAACGGGAATGCCATTGTCACCGCGAAGGCGTAAATGGGGATACCATTCTTCAATGTCTTCTTGAAGATCCGGGGAGCCTGACCCTCGCATGCCAAACCATGGAGCGACCGCATGGCACAGTACACATAAGCATTACCAGCACTGAAGATACTTGTAAGGAGAAGCGCGTTGACGATGTGAGGAAGCACAGCGACTCCCATGTTCTGCATCGCAATGACGTAAGGACTGCCGTCGGCTGACCCTGTGCCACTGTTCAGCTTGGGGTCGTCGTATGGAATGATTACACCACAAGCAAGTGAGCCCAGGACGAAAAACACGAAGAATCGCCAGTACACTGTCTTGAAACCGTTCTTGATGTATACTCGTGGGCGTTCGGCTTCTCCCGCAACCATAGCGATATATTCGGGTCCGACAACGGTGAAGGAGGCCGAGAATAGCGATCCGAGAAAACCTTGGAATCTGCCGAGGGCACCTGTGGATATGGTCTCGGCAAAAGCGCCCGGGCTGTACCAGTAACGGAATCCATAGGCGTCATGCTGAGGGTTGCCACCAACAGCCGTAATGAAGGTGAAAAAGAATACGATGAGAAGGAGAATCAGCTTGCCGAGCGAAAGCCAAAATTCTGCCTCACTGTTGAACGTTAGTACATGCCTATTTGTCGATGTACAAGTATGGAGAATGGCAATTGAGGTCTGCCCCAGTTGGAATCACCTCCAATGTGAAGCATGAAGGACTTCTGAATTATGCCGAGGCTGGAAAGGGGGTTTCTAGGGGTGTTGTGTATATAAACTCACCCGTAATATTGCACCGCAAGGATATTGATAATGCTGCGCCAGTGTTAGCCAAGTAGTTACGAGAAACCACGGGGTGGAATAACCGTACGCATAGAGAATAATGACAGCAATACAGATGGCGGCGACGGGGATCTTGTCGGTCCAATACGTTAACACCAAGTTGAGGGCGGTGATCTCGAAGGGAATCAGAATGGCCTCGTAGAGGAAGAAGTTCCAGCCGGCAAGAAATCCAAGGGCTTCGTCGACCCATTTACCAGCCATTCGAATGAAGGAGCCGCTGACAGGCATGTAACAAGTCATCTCAGCCAGGGAGTTGTTGATGAGGCAGACCATGAGGGCGTGGAGGGAGTAGGCGAGGAGCAGGTTGGCGGGGCCGCCGGTGGCCAACCCGCTGCCGATACTGACGAAGAGACCGGTGCCGATGGTACCGCCGATGGCGATCAGCTGGATTTGGCGATTGCCAAGATGGCGCTGCAACTGGTCCTGGCCATGGGTGATTTCACCGATGGACTCGCTTCGCTCAGAGCTCTTCTCACCGGTGGCGCCGCCCTTGTCGCCGGGGTGCGCCGGTAGATCTGCCGCTGCCGCCATACTGAGAACAAGAGAGAGAACTCCGCTGGGAAAGCGGGATACTGGATAGGGTATACGACGTCTGGAAGCTCGGAGGGCCCGATGTCATTATATCGAGGAATTAACACCAGACAGGACCGGGGGATGATCAATTGGGATGGACGAGCAAGAGAGAAGGGCTGGCGGCCAGGGGGAGACGAATTGGTTTGGTTTATGTATTGATTGCTCTTTAGTCGGCAGCGAGGTGTGGGCAGTCAGTCAGTTAGTTAGTGTCGTCCACGGGTGTGTGGGCATCTGGATCCCAACCCAAGGCCAGGATGTTTAGCAGGAACTTACAGTAGGTACTAGAGGCAGAGGCGGGGTGACTGACTTGGCGGTATCCAGGTACCTGAAGATCGTTTGAGCATGTACCGGATGTACCAGACCAGACCAGACAGACAGCCAGCCCTCGGCGTCAGGCAATTCTTAAGTAGGTATCTCTGTGCCTGCTATGTGACTCCTTTTGTGACAGCATATCACTTGCACTTCCTCGATGTCTTGCACGTTATATTGCCGTCGACGATATCTAGTCGCCCATTAGTGTTCTATAAACACCTACTTCGTAGGTACCTACATACTTTCACGTACAGTCAATGCGTATCTGGGGGCTCAGGTAATCTCTCAGGCATATATTACATAAGTACTCAGGTACCTGTAGTAGGTACCAGTTAACCTTGACTGCGATCTTACTTCCAGGTTACTTTTACTGAAAGTTAGTTAGAGTCGTGAACCTGGTATAATCTACAGTCCCTACACCGTATTCTATCGTAATCAGTCTGAATCTGCACTGTACATGACACTCATTCCATTCCCACGCTTCCTACGCTAGCAGGGTCTGACCTCCTGTCGTTCGTTTAGTTAAGCGTGGGCGAATGGCAAACTCGATAAGACTTGTTTCGTCTATTTACATATAGTATTGTAATCGCTACTCTTACTTACTCTAGCAATTACACCGGCATCCCTTGCCAAAACCACGTTACTCACGTCTTCTGCGGCACAAACGCTGGGGTAATTAGTGCGGAGTAGGTACCATTGTTGGTTTGTTGGTTGGTATTGCTCCTTACTGTAGGTTATGTAGGTACTCTAGCCCTCGCAGTTGTACAAACTCGTGGTGTTGCCATCATTCTAACATGTGGTGTAAGTAGGTAATAAGTAAGGAAGTAGGATTCCCATGTTCACGTTTCTAGAACGAATCCTACGTGGCAAAGCCGACCGTCGATCTGAGGGCCCTTGAGCACACACGTGTGTACATACTATGTATGTCCAAGTACTTAAGTATTCATCTTCAGTTTAGGTAGTGTGAGTAGTCGAGTGCCTTCGCACTCGCGCACAGAGCTGAGAGTTATGGTGTTCAGTCCGAGTTCAGTCCAATCACCGGGGGCTTGTTTGTAAGTACTTACTGTACTATATACCTAGGGTAGATAGAGGTGGAGAGAGAGTCCCTCGCCGATCCCAGGCAGGCCAGTTCTCCCCCACAGAAATCGGTCGTTGCCAAGGTCTTTATCGCCTCTTCTACTCACCATTACCACCTTATCTTGCTAATTTGTTTTGGTCATTCCTTTCTCTTCCTTAGTGCATAGACTTCCCCAGCCGTCGATGGAGATGACCGACGGCGGGAACGACGACATCACACGTCGAGTTAGAGATAACCGGCCTGGTTCGCCGTCCCCGTTAGCGCATTGTGCCTGCTGGGAATGATTGTGTCGCGCTGGAGAAAGCCGCCACCTCTCCAAAAGCCATTCGTCTCGAGCCACCCGGTCGGGCTGACCACGCACGCCTGGTGCCGTACTCGTCGTGTTCACGCTGGCTGTAGTGCCTGTCCGATTACAAGACATACATAAGTACACTACACTACTAGGTACTATATGTACTACCGAGGTAGCGTCGACACGACGGTGGCGTGCACTACCATCCAAAGTTCCTCTCCACCCGGAGCCGGGTCACTGGGGCCGCTAGGTACCTACCTCTAGGCTCCCAGAGCATTGGTGCGCTTTTCCTGTCTGGTTCAGCATTGCAAATACTCCGATATTAATTAAGTACGCACATTACCCTGTAGACGCTCCTCCACAGGCTCGCTGCGTCTTCCCTGATGTGGTGTAAGGTAGAGCCATACTAGGGAACTAAGCCCCCGATGCTAATATACTTAGTGTGCTGCCTTCCTTTGCGCCCTTCCGTCATTTCAGCACCATGGTTAGGTATTCATTGAATACAGCTGTGCCTGTGCCTAGAGGCTCACTATCTGCTCCTAGACTGAACCTTGGAATAGATAGAGATACGGAGAGTGTCTCACCGTCGACTAATGTGCATGCTATTAGGACAGTTTCAGGTTGTAGATAGCATCACTCTGCCCAGAGCGTCCATCGTGTTACCTATGCCAGGACTACTTGACTTGCTGGGCTTAATGGTACAGAGACATTAGGAGTGAGGGGAGTAAGGAGTGGAACTCGGAACTCTAACCTCTGACTAGCTGTTCTAACTCAACAGTAACATGCCTATTACAACTAGATAGTAACCACGCAACACTCACTAAGTAGGCCAGTTAGTGCCAGCGATGGCCAATGGCCGATGATGTACTTGGTGCTACTGCTACCGCAGGAACTCGACTAGGTACATACTCACATACAGTAGTAGGGACCTGTCTAGGTCACGGCCTGGTGCCGGCCGTTGAGAACCAGGAAACGTCGGGGTGAGGGGTGTGTTCTACGATTCATGGCTCGAGATGGTACGGTATCGAGGATGACATGCAGCGAAACGGCATCCTTTGTGCAACCCGAGACAGCCCCGAGATCTGGCTCATCTGAGGGCGGGCAGGGTGTGAGGCGCAGTACATACATTTGTACTGCAACCATCCCAAATGGGCGGCGTACAGTTTTCAGCTGGGTAAGGCGGCACCCTCAACAACGGCATACCTAGACAGGTAGCGAGGGTAGACAGAGATGGGGATGGGTAGAGCCTCGCCATCGAATGTTAGTGTAACTCGGATCTTGTTCAGATGACCTACTCACAGCTTCCCAGGGGTTTCGTAGCGTGCCTAATTCTAATTATACGTATATTAGTAGTGTCTAAGGGTACAGCATACAGATAGATACATACAGGTCAGTAGAAGGAATCGTTACGTCTAACTAAGTAAGTAGTGCAAGCGGTGATCACAACTTCAGACGCGCTCTCGAACAGACTCGCCCTCTTCGCCCTCCTTACTCGATATGTACCACTATAATTACTATCTGTAAGTATGTACTTACTTAGGTAGTCTCGGGAGTGTATGAAGGCAAAGACGAACAGTGAGAAGGCCTCGTGACATGCTACCCAAGGCGGAAGGGGCGTTTGTGGCTCCCACACGACAATGTCACCCACTTGCCGAAGACACTTACTTACAATACTTATGTCAGTGATTCTCTAAGTACAGTAGGTACCTAGCCACTAGTCGTTCTCCCTCTTTTTTTTTTTTTGATTCTGAATCTCTTTTTTTTTCTGGGCCGACATTTCGTCAGTCGCAACAGAGAGCGGGAGAGAAAGCTTGCTGAGGTCTTGGTGAAGGCTTGCTGCGGGCAGAGTGCGGGCGCCAAAAACTCTTCTAACTCCAGGGTCTTGTCCAATGGAAAAGGCGGAAGTCGATGCCATGCACGATGACGACAGAACGTCAGATCCAAGACCACGCTAAATCTCCGGGCGTATCAAAAACGGGCCTGTGTGTGGGGCCTCTGTATGGGGACGCCCGCGCTAGACAGGGGCCCCGAACAGGGCTATGGGCTACTCAGTACGGTGGTGGAGATGGGTACCGGCCTGTACTTACAGGGGGCTTGTGGGCGAACTTCGTTATGCGTTGTGCGCCAAGTCCACTATAACTCTTCACCTACTGTACTACATAGGTACCTAGGTACCGCCTATCTATCACACCGCGATTACTCTAGGATTTTCCCCTGGGCACAATAGGTACATACCTACTTACATACTACTACTTACCAGTAGCACATACATGGCTATGGTGGTGTTGTGGTGAGGAGAAGTCGACACGGCTTCGAATGCCGTGTTTCTCCGATCACGAGAGAGCATTGCGCTGCCCATACAAGGAGATTAATCATTCTCACGACCCTAAAGCTTCGCCCGAGATGATATGATGGGCATCCCTTATCTTGGATCATCAGAGCCCCGACGACAGAGCTGACACCTACTGGGAATAGCCTTATCTCTACAATACGCTCTATCCATGCTCTCGAGTCTCGACTGCTCCTATTTCTGTCCAGATTCCGTCCTATGCTTAATATCCGTGACGATTCTCATACGAACGAAGAGCCTCTATCGTGAACCGTCACGCCACCAACCTCACCATGGATATAGGATGTTTCTTTTAGTACTTAGGTAGGAGATAAGAACTCGCTACTCATACATACTTAGGCATGTTGCGTCAACAACAATGCTGTGCCACTCCCTGGAGAGATTAGATGGCTAGAACATCCGACGGTTTGTTTTAGATTGAACTGCTCGCTCTACCGGTGACCGCTGCTGCGGTATGTTCTCTATTTCATGCAAACGGAGGTATTTGTCCTGGCTCGAGATCTGATGATGCGCGTCTTGGCCGCAAAGATAGCTATTATCACATCTGTTGCGCGATGCCTGCCGCTGAGCGAGCCGATAAGGCTCACAGACATACAGGGGTTCGCCGAAACAGGCCCTTCTGGAACTCCTACGGAAACAGCCTCATGGTTTCCCAGCCGTCCGTTCACATCGGATTTTGGGGCCCGCGAATCGGTTTCTCTCCATGTAGAAAAGTACTGTCCCTAATCCCGTATCCGGAGGTTTCTGCCACACCACCATTTGAACCTTTCTTTCACTATTACACCAGGATCTACCCCTGACACGCATGATATAATACAGATACAAACGGCAAATCTATCTGAGCAAAATACGATTTCTGAAATGGAAAATGTGAGCTTTGGATTTTTTCAGATTTACTTGAGATCATAGACTACCCTATTAGGAAAACTACGCGAGAAGCAAGGGTAGCTACCTGCTGGAGAACATGACGGTGGCTGTGGTTCAAACACTGGATGTTTGTACTGCACTTGTATACCTAGTTCGAGGTTGGTTAGCGGAGGAGAACCATGTTGTCTTGCCCCCGGAGATGAATCATGATGGAATCAAACCAGTGTTTGGCCGGTACCGGCGCAGTGATTAGGGAAAACAGCGTTAGAATGACTGGACCTTAATAGCAACAAAGTTCAATAGTGTGACGTTTTCTTACAGAATGGGAAGAGGTATGTGTTCTAAAATGGATAGTGAGCTTATACAATCAGGTAGAAACGAGTTAATAGGGGTGGTAGTCATCGGTTCCTGAACCTTGCAACTCTCAAAGGGGTCTAACACTTCTTGATATAGCTATCCGTTCTTAGGGGTTATGTGATTATATTACTCACTGACAAGAGTTGCCGAGTAAATCAAGCTCGCCGTGTTACGAACGTGTTATCTTGGCCTACGCTAGAGTTGTGAATATCAAAGTGGGGTTACGACCTGACAAATTCTGTAGATACAAGTTTACTTTCAACATGTACGTGTTTGTCATTTCGAGGTGCTCTGATTTGCGGAAATCCATTTGTCTTGTAAGTCTCACGGCATGCTTTGTTGAAAGGTCAACGTACATGATGGGAAGGTTTTCTCAATCCATGGATTTTGTCAACCACTACACATGCAAAATGACAAGAAACTAGTATATGACTCTTGTCTTGAATCTTTGTCTTATATATACATACAATGCAACGCAATGGATATACAGAAAAACACGCGTAGACTTTCTACACAACCCCTATCTAGTCCTGTTTTATCTGTTTCATGCTGTCTGGGTTCTCATTCTTCTCAGGTCCGACTACGCCGCAACCTGCGGTCCAACGGTACCAAGTTTCCGAATCGTCTCAGCGAGCGAAACCGACGTCGTATACGCCTTTCTCGTCTTCTTCCTCTCGCCCTCGCCCAGATGGTCATGCTCCCGATTCCACTCGAGAACCTCGAGAACCATGCCCTCGAGGGTAGTCATTACGCCCTCGTAGCCCAAACCGCCCTCAGCTAAAGGCTTGCTCACGTCGGAGTTAGAAGCGATTAAGTGCGTGCAAATGGAAAAAAGCCCGGGCTTCAAATGCCGCACGTCGCCTTGCAACGGCGGCAACAGCTTGCCAAGGACGGAAAATGGAAATGGGAGGAATGGTAGGTCCATGTAAAACTCAACCATGTGTGATAGGACCAGCATAAGAACTGGCGGTAAGGACAATGTGGTGAAGGAATGACACGATAGCACCCTGATAGCCGAGTATAGATCTGCATAAGAGATTGGGGGGTTCGGATCGGTTACTACGAATGGCCGGCCCGAATGTGACGATGCTGACGGCTGGAGCAGCGCCGCCTCGTGGTGCAAGTGTGCTATCGCCACATTGGCGCCGTGCACGAAGCTTTGCACAATGTGATTAACCCACCTGCGAGGACGATGACGAGTTAGCCCCGCTCAACTCATCGCGTAGATAGGTATGCACACATCAGTTTTCCCACATGAGAGATGCATATAGGTGAAATTTTCGTAACCGTCTAATGCCAAAACAACATAACCAGATAGGAAGAAAGCAAACTCACGTAGGCATAACAGCTCTGCTTAGCGGGTCTCCAACCGTGTTATCCGTGGGATTTCCATAGACGCCATTCGCAGGCCTGATAGCACCCGTCCGAAAGCCCTCTCGATCCGCTTCGCAAACAAAGCGTTCGGCGACCGCCTTGCTAGCCGGATAATTGCCGAAATACCCCGAGCGCTCTCGCAGCGGCAGCTCGAAGTCCCGCGTATCGAGCACCTGGAAGAAACCCCTCGGCTCCCTCGCCCACGGCGCAACCCACGCGCCGACGGACCGGATCGAGATGCTCGCCGAGGACGTGGCGCTGAAGACGGAGGCCCCTGCCGCTTTCGCGGCGGCTAGGAGGTTGGCGGTGCCTTTGACGTTCACCGATTCAGGGAACGCGTACGAGTGCGCCGACCGATCGGACGTTAGAATGACTGCCGCCGTGTGAAACACCGACAGCGGTAGGTTGGCGGCGGACTTGGGCCACGGGCGAGCGAATGCGGCGTCGACGGATGCGCGGGATGTGATGTCCGTCTGGGCGAAATCGACATCTAAGGCCGGCCCGGATTGCATGTCACTGCGCTCTGTCCGCCGGATGTCTAGGATGCGGATGTGCGTCGGCGGTGTCCCGCGCGCTATGAGCTGTAGCACGATATACCCGCCCACGAGGCCTGACATCAAGTTAACGCTGGCGAGATATGGGGATTTCGAATGAGACATCTAGAGCGGCATGGCGTCATGACGCTCATCGCTCCGCAGAATCATAAAAGTTCAGGGGATCACGAGTGAGTGCGTGAATACTCATTCTATACCAGGCGTTCCCTTCGCCCGCTTATGCATGCCTAGGGAGCGAGAAAACGAGATGAAGTATGAAAAGACTCACCAGACCCGCCAGTGACGATATATCTGCGATCCAGCTTCGGCGGCAGCTTGTGCGTGTAGTCAATAGGATGCTGCTGGAGTCTCTCGTACGTCTTCTTAAGGAGTTCGGGCGTCCATCGTGATCCGGACAGCCGTCTCACTTCCTCTGGTGTCCCGCTCAACTGCCGATTTACACGCACGAGATAAGCGAGCACAAGGGCAATGCTCACAAAGCCCCAGAGGACCCAATTGTCTTTGCTGAGCATGATGAAAGTTTGAAGGGATTTTATGTCACGGTGAAATATTTTGACAATGGCTTTCGGGAGAATGGGATGTTGTGTCTTGGTGGTGCACTGCGTCGGCCGGAGTACCTTGGTGATGATTCTACGATTTCTAGTTGTGACGTTTCTCACACGCACACGCGTTGAGAGTCTCGGGTTTCCGGCCGACGGCGTTGATAAACCAACTCGATATTTTCTCTTCTACATATTGTGTTTCGCGAAACCGAATACGTTACCTTTTGAGGATTACCAACATTCTTGACAGGTATTTGGAATATAATCATGTCATGCCCGTTTATGAGTTTACGCTGCGTGTGCGATGTGATCCTACCTACGTATGCACATATACAAGCTATCGTTTTATCGGTGACCTCTTCTTTGAGTTTGTCCTGGAGGTAGCGGGCCCATCGTCGCGACATCATCTCGAATGCGATATGTTGTCTGAGCCATATTCATATCCTTCATAGCAAGATTGAGGATTCTCTCTTATTATAACCTACTACGATGACGGCGGCGACAACATTAGCTTTGGATCACTTGTTTGATCGCGAATACATCGCAAGGAAGAAATAACAGTTGCCTTCACATGTCCGTACTCAAACAGAGATGGTACAAAACACCTTCATCCTTCAGGCGTCAATGATTGTTAGCGGCATCCTGAATATCGAGACTCTACAACATCAAGTTGTGAAGGTTTTGGTAAGACGATGATAACAGCTACGCTGAGGTTCTGAGAACCCCACATCGGCCCAATTGCAACAACTGCGGACAGATGAAGAGGGCTTCGTAGATTGCGCGCTCTAAGCCATGCTTCTCTCTAGCTACGCTATCCTCCTTGGCTATCGTCTCTCCATCGGTAATACGGTAGCGGCTCCAATGGTTGGGTTAGCCACTTTGTCGCCCGCCACCATTGATCGGAGGCCTAGACTTTATTCTGCCAGATTAGGCTAGCCGTAGGAAAACGAGTGGTCAGTTGATATGAAGTTACAGTTTCATGCGTCGTTCAGCCACGGAAACACGTCTCCCAATCCGGGCTGGACATTGTTGAATGGCGAACAGTGTCCCAGCGTCCCTTATAGCAGCTGTGAGATAGTGAGTGGCTGTGTAGCGCCCAGCGGTCCTGATGATGCGTTTCAGCCTGACAAGGCAACATGTCTATGATTTATGAGGTAGCGCAACCCATCGCCTTCTGCTAAAAGGCCTGTATTCAATTGAACTTCCGTTTTATCGCCGAGAATTACCTCTGGAGTGATGTCTTGACTTTGTACAGCTGCGCTCGCTTACGGGTCCCGAAGAGGCGTAACCTGCAAGAATGGCGCCGTAAGTGTAACCCATCTCATATTATCGAGCTTGGAATTCGACTGCCACAACGAGGAATATGCGTTCAATATCTAACAGACGTCACCTCTTAGATCGGCCGAGCAGTTTGACCCGGAGGTCGTGTTTAAGGAAGCTCGGGATGACTTCCTCAACTCACTCCAACCTCTGGAGCGAACCGCATTTGCCAAGTGTGTGTCAGCAGAAGAGTTGATCAAGCAAGTGCAACAGATGCCAGCATTAGCGGGGAATCCTTCTCTCTTAAGACGAACAATAGGCAAAGTGAGACGACTGAGTGATATACTATCGCCCTATTTCGACACTGTTGGCCTTTTTGTCTCGTCTCACCCTGAATTCGCCGCAATTGCTTGGGGCGCCGTCAGGCTTGTGCTACAGGTAGATCCCTCAGTTGTCATGACACTGTCCGTCTAACTCTATAGCTGCTGACATTCCTCAGCTCGCCTCGAACTTCGACACCTTCTTTGGCAAGCTTACCGACACGCTTGAGCAGATTGGCATGGCGCTACCGAAGTATCGGTTCATCCTCAATCTCCTTCAGGCAAAATACAACAGGCAAGCATCTCTATCGGACCGGCAAAGAAGGCTTCAACAGTCCATGGATCTATCAATTCGTATCAAGAAGTCTATATGTGTACTCTATAAAGATATTCTCCGTTTCATGTTGGTTGTAGTACGCGTCTTTACCAAATCAGACGGTTGTAAGCATTCACTTCCGTTATGTGATGCCTATTGCATCGACTAAGTTTATGTAGCATCTAAATCTTCAATCCGAGTCGGCTTTGGACTTCTTTGGCAGCCATACGATCTCAAGTTTAAGAATTTCCTGGAACAGCTAGCGACTCACCGCACCTTACTTGAAAGCGAAATACAATGCTTCTCATTGTCCCAGGCAGACGAGATAGAGGAGGTACTCGCAAAGGAAGCTATCGCATCCGCAGCAGAACGTGTGAGAGTTAGGTTGGTTGAAACAGCAATCGAAGAGTGCCTCACTGCCACAGAGCAGGCTAGCTACGCCACGCTTAAAGGTCAATAACCTTGCCGACTTATATCAATTTAGAGGTTCGCTAACCTCTTTGACTTTATAGAACTCAAATTCTCAGTATTGAAGACATGGCTCAAGGCTCCTTCATACGCAGACGACCTGGAAAGGGCACTCGAGTTACGTGAATTAGGCACAGCAGACTGGCTTTTCTCGGAAGAGATGTTCAGTAGTTGGCAAGACTCTAACATCAATCGGAATGGTCCGGGCTCACCGGGTGATGGGTGGCTTTGGATCCATGGTACAGCTTGTCACCTCTCAAGCCCTTGGCTAATATTATTGTTACGCTAACATGGGATTCCAGGTAATCCGGGTTGTGGTAAGACGGTGACAGCCGCATCTGTGATAGAATTCGTCAAGAACTATTCCTTCAAAGACTGTACTTGCTATTTCTTCTTTCGAGCTGGTGGGCGGGATTCTGATCAGCCTGTCAATGCCCTCAGTTCGATGCTTACCCAAACTCTGAAGCATCATCGCAGCAATGAAGATCTTATTGACAAGTTTCTCTTTGCGATGGACGAGTTAGGAAGTGGACAGCCCAACGCATCGGAGAATGAGCTCTGGGACTTGTTCAAGATTTGCGCTAATGCGGGTTTCATCGATAATATCGTCTTAGATGCTATTGATGAATGTATCCAAGGGGAAAAACTTGTTTCAAAGCTCCTCCGGACTCTTGCATTTCCTTCTACTCTGCTAATGTCACTGGAAAACTATCGTTATGGACGCAGCGGCCCTACACAGAAAGCCAGTCTTAATAGACTCCACGGTCCTGCTCCAGCGCCGAAAGTAGTGTTGTTCAGCCGACCTCACCTGACTAGCCTTTCGGAGTTGTTCCCTGATAAACAGCTGGCTATTAAGCATCGAACGTCAGGAGATATCGATGTTTTTCTGACACGCAAAATCAAGAGCTTACGAGACAAGAAGCTCTTGCCAGCAACCATAGATGTGCCCCAAACAGTGTTCCGTCTGGCTCACCGAGCAGATGGTATGTTTCTATGGGCTCGCCTCATGATCCAATACATCTCCTCGCCAGTATTCAGCCAGAATAAGCGTCTGAAAGAGATAGAGCGTATTGTCAAGCCAGAGAAACTTGATGATATGTACGATCGCATTATCCAGCTTATATTGCTTCAAGACCCCGAGTCAAGGAAGTTCGTGCAATGGATTCTCATGTGGCTCGCTTCATCTAAGCGCGAGCTGTCCGCAAAAGAGCTTTACGAAACGCTGAAAACAATGGGCGGCCCTGAGGATGACCCGTCCGATCTCATTGAATACAATGAATTTGGCAACGCGATCGTAACAATGTGCTCCTCACTCGTCGAGAGAGTAGACGGCCATATTGAAGAGTTTGAAACAGATTCATCCGATTTCCATGTCTCTTACCGCCTAATACATTTGTCTGCAAAAGAATATCTCATATCATTCTCGTCTGACAGACTCCAGCAGCTGATGGGAAGCGAAGAGCAGCTGTGTCTCACGATATCGCGAAGTTGCCTTTTATATCTTTCTAAGCACATGCCCCGGAACACTGCAAACTCTGAAAATTCCAGAGTACCACTGTCAGCAGAAAGGGTCGAGCGTGTTTCACCGTTATATACTTATGTCACCGAGTTCTGGATTCCCCATCTTCCCACATCCCTTTTTCACCTAGACCATAGGAGAGTCAGTTCACTTGGCCAAACGGGTCAAATAGGAGACCTCTATTCCAGCTTCTTATCCACAGCATCACAATTTCTTTTTGGCAGGCAGTCACTGTTATCTTTCATTGAGGCATTTTATATGCTCAAGCAAAGCACGGGTGACCGCAGACCCCTTATTGACGATCTCCAGCAATGGGCACAGCGAGGTCTCAAGCAGCTGCCGCGCACCTGCTCTGATGAAGTGCCCGCCAATTCGGTCTTCGACGGGTTCTTACTGTTAGCTGATTATATAAGAGAGCTGGAGCATGAGTGGGGAACCGCACTCTCAGAAACTCCTGGTCTGGTCTGGGACGAAGTCTTGTCACACAACCCTTGCCCTTTGATCCCCACGACCTCTTCCGGTGCTGTCCACAACCTTGCACCAACAGTCGATGAACGATATCGTGATTTTCTCAGTTCCAAGTGTCTCGTGAAAATCTCCGAGGTGACTAGTGATCGCCGCCTGCTTGTTGTACTCAGCATTTGGCCATCCGGGTATGGAGACACCCCAATAAACGATAATGGGCTAATGCTAACATGGGTTCGGGAATAATAGGGTATATAATTCACTACTTGAAAATCGAGGAGACGACGCATACTCATGCCAGAAGCTACAAGATTCATGCTCTGGATGGGCGGCTTTGTACGAGTTATACGACATATCTAGCACACCCGACCGAATTTTTAAGCACTGGATAGCGCTGGACAAGGTTGAAGTATGGATTCAGCATTGCCACAGCCTTTCGGAGCGGCATGTTCAATTTCCGGTAGCTATCAGCCCCTGTGGACATAAGTTTAGTATTCTTAGGGACATTTTTGCAGTAATTCCGGAGGGGAATGGCAGGTCATATAAGAGAGCTAGGGTTACTAGAACGCGCCTACTGGTATCATTCGACAAGTGCGCCAACGACCTCTGGTGCGAGTCGTATGCCGGCGGCGTAAACTCCAGAACGACAAGGAGATGGGAAGTCTCCAACTACCTATATCACTACTGGGTAGGCTTTAACCAGACTGGAACCATGATTTTCTTTACGGATAGGACCGCTAAGAACCATGGCCATCGACATCTCGCCGTTTTTCACGTTTCGGTTTCGGATAGGATTGAGCTATCTCTCGCCAGCCCAACTAGGACGTACAGCTACTTGGAGGCTGAACCCATAACTGCGAGCCGACACTGCTTCCACCCACAGCGGACACTCATCGCATTTACTGTAGCGGGATCAGCTCTTGTCTGGGACTACAGTGACGCCAGCGGAAATAGCGAGCTGGCCCTGTATCCATTCCACACTACCAAGGGATGTCACCGGAGACTCTGGCTGCTACACCAGTCTTGCACGGAAGGAATCCGGTTCTCCGAATGCGGCGATCAAATTATCCTCGAATATTACGACACCAAGACCGATTCGTTATCGGAATCATTACGCAAGTCTCGCTGCACACGTTTTATCAAGGTCCCGCAGCATATCCTCGAAGACTGTGACCAGATCCAAACGGCGGATCAGTGGAACAATACGACGTCAAACACCGCCTCAGATTCTTCACCCGGACCTTTAAGCCTGCGGCTGTTGTCGAACAACACCGCCCGATCATCAGATGCTATCATCGACACCCACGGCAACTTGAGCAGCGTCTCTGTCAACACTAGCGACGGCGTGGTGAGCCTAAGCCTCAATAACCGAACAGACGGCGGTTCTTCCCAAGTAGACGTCGAGCTCACCCGATTGCCGGACACATGGCAAGGCCTGGACGAGACGAACGTCATCGTCCAAGTCCCGGACGCCCACAGCGACAAGATTCAAATGACCTTCAACAGATCATTGAACCTCCGCTACAGTATGTCTGGCGACGCGGACTCGTATTTCCCTGCCGTTGTGGAGCGACCCATTGACAGTCTGGGAAGAAGCGTGCGGTGCAACACCAACACGGGAATTGCGCAGATTGGCGATTCGTGAGGCAGAGATGATGGACTGTTTCTAATCTATCGTTGTATTACTACTCACTTGAAAGATCACGAGGAGGTAGGCGTTGAGGGCCATTTTTTAATTAATGCATATTTAAGTACCTAAGGACCTTTTGATTAGGCATTGATAGTGTATTTAGCGCACGCTTTACAGCGCACAATCACGGCCTATGGACCCCGCACCTAACATACCTATGTACAGTAGGTAGGTAGATACCCGAGCATACCTATATACATATTTACATACAAAATGGGATATATATGTTTATGCCTACACAAGTATTATTATCTATATCAACTAGATTACGTGTCAATTCCGAACGACTGCCCATCTTGCAATAACTGGCCAATGCGTGGTGATTTCGTCGTCTGGTAGACATACTCGCAGAATTCCCTGGTGAGCTCAAAAGGCCGGGCAACCACGTTGGGTATGTACTTGCCCACGAGCCTCGCCGGGTCGATGTTCTCCACGGCCAGCCTCTCACATAGGAACGTCCGGAACGACTCCACGCCCGGCCTGAGATATGTGCTGTGAAAAGGAACGTCAATCCCATCCAGCGGAATGGTGGCACGACCCCGTGTCAGCTTGAGGGGCTTGGGCTTCGACTGCGTATTGCGGATGGCTGCACCAACCTGAGACTGTAGGTAGTGCTGGTTCTCCGCTTCTGTGGCATCACCGCCTTGTATCCTTGTCCACGAGAGGCCATCCAGCACACCCGCCAGTACGTCGAGAGCGCGCAATTCACCAGCACAGACGTACTGCATGTTACTCACGTTGAAGTTCACAATCTCGATTAAGGAACCTGTCGCGTCACGAATGGTCCGCACAATCTCGCGCAGCCTGTCCTCGCTACATGGCCATGCGACGCGTGAAGGGTTGACGGCACACATGGCATAATCGGACCGGCCCATTTCGTCGCGTTTTACAGCCACTTGCATGCACAAGCCACGGTAGAAGACGACCGAGACAAGTGTCTCGACGGGCATGACTTGCGAGACACAAGAAAGCGCGCTGTATTCACCTAGCGAGTGTCCGGCATATACGCAGCCTTGGTCGTCAATGAGACCGCGCGCCTCCAAGTCGCGGAAGGCAGCCAGTTGCATCAGCGTCAGCGCCGGCTGTGTGAACTGCGTCATCGAGAGGAGCCCGCCTGCGCTCCTGAATGTGTGAGACGATGTCCTCATTGTGATAGCCCCGAAGACGGGCTGGCCGTCGGCACACCGCATAGCACGATAGTTGGCACGGATTTTCCTTCCTTGCGAACCTCCAAAATGGACAGTCAACTCCTTGGGGTTGTTTCGCACGATATCTAGGATGGAGAAACCTGTCCAGTCTGTTAGATCTGAAAAGCAGGGAAGCAAGCACATGGGGCCAAAAGAACTGGGAAATGAAGCAGGGGGGAGGGATAAAGAGAAAATAACACACCAAAAGTTTCAAGAAGATGCGAATCAGCGCGATTCCACACCTCTCTTGCCACTGGACTTCTCTCGTACAAGTCCATGCCCATACCCTGTTCCTGAGAGCCCTGTCCGGTAAAGACATAAGCAGTAGCAGGCTGTTCAACAATTGCCCTGCCCACCAACACTTCCTCCGTACTATCATCGTCAACTTTAACAACCTCGAACTCAACTACCTTGCAACCGGACTGCATGGCCACGTGCCGAAGCCTCACCTCGATCAAATCACCTGGCAGAACCATGCCCACGAACTCAGTTTTGTAATCTCGCATCCTCTGGTTGCCGGTGTGCCTCTCCACTAGGCTCCTGATCTGCCCACTTATGTGCATGCCGTGTGCTATGGTGTCGGGTAGCTTTGCGTACTCGGAAATCACGCGCGAGACATGTATGGGATTGAAGTCTCCAGACACGCGCGCGTAGCTTTCGTTGGAGGCCGAGGCCTTGAACACCGGAGGATTCTTGTTATGGCCAGGGATCGCAACGTTATGCTCTAATGGTATGGGTTGATCTACCTCGGACCCGGTGCGGCGGAGATATTCAAGAACTGGGTTTCCACTGGAGGGGCCTTGTGCCTTATACTTTACCGTGGCGGCATGGATTCTTTGGCCAGTGGTTGCAGTCATCAGAAACACGGTGCCGGATGTTTCTACACTAGAAAAGACGACCTTGTCTTGAAACTGGCTGCGGGTTTTGAGTCGGAACAATAGTTTCTTGCCAATGAGCCTGTCGTCTGGAATGTCGGCGGGCATCCGAAACCACGGCTTCGCTTTTAGAACTGCGATGTGAGCTGCACTCTCAAGGTGAATGGAATAATCGGACTCTTTCGTGTGCTTGAACGTGGTTTCAAAATCAGTGTATACACCGCGGTACAAGAACTGAGAAGTGATATACATCAGAACTCTACCGTTTTGATCCGAGACCGTCGCCTGGACTTCGACCATCTTGCCTGAGTCTTGGATGACCACCGCAGTGATCTCTGATGAACTGCGTAGCACTTGTCCTTCCTTGAAGGGTTCTGATCCAGGGACGACAGTGAACCTATTGGAAAGATGTACTAGTCTCAGTAAATCGGCATCGATGGCTTGAACTAGAGGCGCCATTAGAGCTTTCCAGGCCACAACGACCGCAAAGTCCATTGGGGCGAGCACAGGACGCCCGGGCCGCGGGATGTAAAGTTCTGACCTGTTGTCCAACTCAGCTGTCAGGGCCTGAATCGCCCTAGCATCGACCTTAAGAGAGCCGCCATCGAATTGAGTGGCCTCAGCGGCGACATTCAATGGAAGGTTCTCCTCACCGAACCAGACCTCCTTGTAAAACTTTCTAATGCGCAGGTTTTGAGACTCGAGGACCTGGCGAATAGGTGCGTAGCTGCATTCCGGCCGGTACATGTACATCAGGTCAAGTGCAGCAGGGTACCCTGAGGCAGTACGATGTTCAAAGAACTTGACGGGGATCATGTCACCGTCTATCGGACCTATCTGCATCGTGGCAACAGGCTTACCACCTATGTTTTCCTTCATGGCTAGGATCGTATTCTCTGTTGATTCGGCGTGGGTTACTTCTATCAACATGTCTGGGCGTGGGACTAGCAGGCGGCGAATAGGGTTGCTCTCGAGTCGTTGCCCCTGCACGAACACATCGGCCTTTAAAAATGTGCTGAGCCATCCCTCCTGGCCACCAGTGATTAGACTGATCCATTCGTCATGAGCGGGCAAAACTGCTTCTGGGCTTGCCAATATATGGTACCTCGTTTTGTGCCTCTCCACGACTGTGGCGTTTACCGATGTTCTCGTGCCGACCTCAGATTCCGGATAACTGGCAGTCGCATTGCTATACCATTCCACGACCGGGATCATGTGCTCTGCGTCGTGATAGACGTCCGTTATCAACCTTTTGATGACTCCCTCGTGCACACCGTCTAGAATATCCTTGATTGGCTCATCGGCGATGGTTGCGCCCCTCGCAGCTACTGGGCCGTGCAAGATGCACACTCTACCGACGTCACTATCCACGACAGCTTCTAGGTCCTCGGATTGCCATAAGGAGTCCTTTTTAAACCAAAATTCGAAGTCTTCGTCTAGGACCGGGACAAATGGAACAGGCTTTTGACCGCTGCGCCTACACAACCCTAGAAAGTATTTGCAATCTCGCGCATCTAGTAATTGCTGTCTTGCTTGCCGATACACTGCGAGCACCTCTTCTACAACTGACAAAGGGTCTTGGATCAGTGCATCGTCCTTATCAGAGATATCGAATATGACTTCGAAATCGACAGTGGTAATAAACCGCTGCATGACGCGCCGTATGAAGTCAAGAGTTAATTTCTTATATGATGGGTCGATCCATCTTTTTTGGTGCTCGATGAATAGAAGGTCGACAAGTCTGTGCATTACGTCGCCATAACTCATATCCGCGAGTTCCACAACCTGCCCAAGAATAGTGCGACCGAACCACGGTTTCTGAAAATCCGCGTTCAGCCGCCGTATGATATCGGCGCGGACCTGCTTGTCCTGTAACCTAGCTCGGAGAGCTTCTTTGGAGAGGTTGAATATCGTCTTGTCAAGCTCGGCCCAGAGCACAACGCCACGGGTAGCAAGTTTGTGGATGGGCTCTCCCATCTCAGAGCGCACTGTGAGAACTCCACCGGTTCGCGCTGCCTCTCTAGGTGGTAAGTAGGTCTTCTCCCATTCGTGATCCTCTAGACCCCTCGTTTCGACGATGGCCTGTTTCGCGGCGGGTGATGTGTGCGCCTCCTTGGCGACCATACAGCGACTTCCGAAAAGGACGCCGTCGAAGGGCATCCGCGGGTAGCCGTCGTACCTGGTCGACCACTCCCCCGTGAGATAGGGGTAGGCATCTTCAGCACTGGTGAAGCCTGAGCCGGCTATTAGTACGATATTGCGGCAACGACGTACACTGCCGTACCACGATAGGATGGGTTCGTGGAAGTCCTATTTAGTGTGAGCTACTACTACGAGTATGAGCAAGAGTTGGTGATCGAAAATAACCCTTTTACATACCTCGCAGGAATGGTGCCCACCTCCTCGCCCACCAGTCCACTGCATCATCACTGGAAATTGCGGGTTAGCCTTAGCGATGGCAATGACTTGGTGGACGGCCCTCTCAGAGCCCGGCTTGAAGGCGATCTGGCGTATGCCTAGGGTGCGAATATAGCCATTTGCAATCTCCACTGACGGAACGCCGGCACCGAATGTTATACCTTTTATCGGCACGCCTTGTGCGCACAGATTACGAATGAGGGGAACCTGCCATGCTATGGCTTTTGGGCTGGCATATATGAGATTGATAACGATGCCTCGTCCCGGGGGGGTTGCGGCCTCAATTTTCGCAATAGCTGCAGACAAGCTCTCGGCGTTGTAATACCCGCCACCGCCCAGTTCAATCTCATATCCTGCATTCATTGTCGAGGCGACGAAATCCCACGGCACGGTGGTAGGCGTCATCCCGGCCACTAACAGGGGCGGCAGGCCAAGTAAACGACTCATAGCCGTATCCACCATTGTTCGACCTCCAGTGCGTACTAGTCTAGGTCCATACTGTTTTGCCCAGTTAGGGGCATATTGGAGATGCTGTGTATCCCGACTGAATATCTCATGCTTATATCCGATGTCTGCTCCTGTGGATAAGCTGCTATTGCTACTACCCTCGAGATCAGTGGCAAGAATTACGCGAACACCGGTCCCTTGTTTGATGCGGCTCGTGAGGCTGGCAACGCCTGCGATTCCTCCGGGGCCAAAGTCGAGTATATGGGTAGCACCGGGCATTGTAATGGCCTTTTCCCAGTTCACCCTATCCAAGCACTACAATTCACAAAGTCAGTCATTCGAATTTTCTCCAGAAAACTAGCCTCAAAGATAGTTACTATTGTGAAAGGGAAAACGGTCTCCCAAGTGACTCACAATTAACCTAATTAGTGAAGGTATAATATTCTCGTTCTGCATTTTAGCTCGAATGTCCTCTCCCGTACATGTCGAATAGAGAGGAATGCCGAGTTCTTCGCTCGAGATTTTAGTTGATCTGAGGTCTTCGTTTTCAAGTTGTCGAACAGTTTGTGCAAGATAGGAACTATGGAAAGGAGCGGTGATGGGGAGGAAGTGTTTCACAAACCGGCGCTTCCGTTGGCTGAAGCGCACGCGGGTGTCATCCATATCCGCAGGCGCTTGAATGTCGCGGAGAAGACGACAGAAACCGTAGAGAGACATGGGTGGTCCAGTCATCACTAGGTTTCTCGGACTGTTAATCAACGCTATGACTATCTTTTCATCTGTCGGTAGATGCTTATTTGCTGTCTCGACATAACGCTCTACGATAGGACGAGCTAGGCCCCGAACACATAAAGCTGAGGTTGGCGTGCCCTCTCCATGTTTCTCAGTGTCGTCTATCACTTCTGGCGCAATGGAAGGACGAGGGTATGCTTGCTGACTGCGCATGCCGATGAAGAAGAGAACTGTTAGCGCTTCTTCAGCATGGCGCATAAAGCTGTCCCTATCGACTGATGCCGCAATCACTGCAGCAGTGACGATACCCTGCGAGTGGCCCGTCACTCCGGCAAGATGCTCTCGAAGTTGGCCGGGATGTATGCCAAGTACGTAGCACACGACCACGACATGAGTTAGCTGGGCTAGGCCAATAATGGGGAAACTGAGAGGTGCTGCGATGAGATACTCGACGTCTGGCTGGGTATTGGGGCATTCCAGCCACTGTATTACATCCATGCCGTGATCGAAGTGCTTTGTGATTCCAGAGAACTTGCTGACTAAATTCTTAAGGTGAGCCGTCGCAACGTCTAGGAACTGCTTCGTCGCTGACGGATATGTGGTGTAGAGATTCCGAAGTTCCTCCAGGTAAGTCAGTGTATTACCCTGTCCGCCAAAAACTGCAAACACGCGCGCCTGGCCATTCGCGGCCGCGCGGAAGAGTGCCGAGTCCGTAATAGCGGAGCTAGAAAGAGGGCGCTTGACGCGATCAAGCGCTGTGTAGTAGGATGAGATTATGACAGGTCTCCGGAGCGCATCTGGAAGACTCGCGATAAAGGCGTGGATCTCCCTTCCGAGAAGGGTCTCGTCTTCGAATCGATTCAATAAATTACCGAGAACCTGTAGGTCGAGAATCGGGTAATTGCTGCGCTCGATCTGCGTTGCCACGAAACCGAGAAAGCGAGAGACCAGCTCGGCGACAGAGAGCGGTACTTCAGCGCTGGGTCTCTCGAATGTGCGGAGAAACTCATTTCGAAGTTGTCTCGTTTCGGCGTCTAGTGTGAGAGGGATGTTGGTGGTCCACTCGAGTGTTTGGTATGTGAGTATGAACTCTTGTGTCGAAGTCTCTGATTGAGGCGTAGTAATCTGGAAGTTGGAGCCCTGGCTTGTCCTATCTATGTCGATGAACTTGAACTTGTCGTCAACTTCGAAGAAGTCTTCGTCGGTGAGATCCATTGTCGTGTGTCGACACGATGCCCTTCCTAGATTAGCCCAGGACGGCAGAGATGATACTGTGCGGCCGGACTGAGACCAAGTTGTATTTTCAAAAGGTGCCGTTGTGTATAAGACTACTTGAGCCGATCTTTAGAGATGGTCGTGGAGGCTATCTAGGAATTTAGGATGTAAAATAGTGATAGAACAACTCGACGTTATCACATTATATTTCAACGAGGGGACGATTACGGAGTCTTATGAAAGACAGACAATAGATCACAGCGTTTTCATTCTCGCTAGTTACAATATATGACCGAATAAGGACTCTTCAATCGTCATAACACAATTACCACACAAAAGAAGTTATACTGATGGAGACGACAAGCATGAGATCCAGTTAGCACTTTGTCTTGGAGGTTGCAGGGGATGCAGGATTGAGGGATTGAGGATTGCGGGATTGTGGGATTATGGGAATGCGGGATGCTGGGATGCAGCGCTTAATTTACCCGTAGGGCTACAGCCGGGATCTCGATTTCTGTCTCAGTGCATAAACCGTCGCAATGGTATGGTAACTACCGATTTCAGCGAATTAGAGTCAAGTGTAGAATAGATCTAGATAAGAATCGACGATCTGCGACCGGGGAGAGAGTGTCCCTCGCAAACAGGGTGTTGTCGCTCGGTTTGGGCTGCATACAGTCAGATCCCCTCAAGGCCGGTGTATGCCCCCGTTAAATGCGTGCTGCTTTCCTGCAGCCCAGGACTACGGACTACTATCTAGGAGATCTCTCGAGTCTGCGAGTTGCCCTTGTATGAGACCGATGATCCGGTGAAGCTCGGATTCCTCGTCGTAATTCAGTTTTCCCAGTATAACAACAGTATTTGAAATTATGGAGCAAGAACAGAGGCAGCGCGAGCTGGCTCACCTTCTCCTGACGGAGTTATTAGCGTATGTTGGGAGATTTCGCGAGAGCCTTTTAGACTTACTAATGCCTTCAACTTCACAGTTATCAGTTCGCTATGCCGGTGCGGTGGTAAGTCCAGCATTGTACGGTGAACGGTATACTAGACCGTTTCTAACCCCATGTAGGACTGAAACACAAAAGGTTCTGTTCGATGACTTCAAAGTACGGAAACTTGTCGAGGTTGGCCCGTCCTCTACGCTTCTCAACATGGCCAAGAAGACCCTGGGCCAGTTCAATGTCGAGTCAGATGCAGTCAACGGAATCGAGCGGGATTTTCTCGCCGTAACTACGCACTACGATGATCTGTGCTACACATCGATACCTACCACAGATGAGAGCGAGGAGTCACTAAAAGCGAATAAGCCAATGCAGTGCATGCCCGTTGCACAAGAACGTAGTGTGCCAGTAGTAGCACCCGTATCAACTGCCTCAGTATCGAACAATGATCCAATACTAGATGCGCCTATTACTGCTTTAGATTCAATCATGGCTCTTGTCGCTAGCACCTTGAGGAAGCCAAGTTCAACGCTCGATCTCGGCAAGAGCCTCAAAGGTTTATCAGGCGGCCGATCCACCATTCAGAATGAAATCGTCGGCGACTTACTTGAGGAATTTGGCCAGGTGCCCGACAATATCGAGAACTTACCCTTGACGGACCTAGCATCGGCGATCCAAGCGACATACGACGGCAAGCCAGGTAAGATCCTGCGTTCCCGTATCGACAAAATGATGGCCGCGAAAATGCCTGCCTCGTTCGGCATGGCCGCGGTCAGGGCATACCTCTCCGATGCGTGGGGGCTGGGTGCCGGGAGGCAAGATGCTGTACTGTTGCTGGTCCTAGGTGAACAGCCGCCAGCAAGATTCAAGGAGTCTAGGGAGGCCGAGACATTTCTGGATGGTGCTGCACAGAAGCACTTAGACTCAGCAGGCCTAGCTAGACGAACAGTACAAACCGCTGGTCCCAATGCTGAAGAGGCATTGGTTGATTCCAAGGCGCTGTCGCAACTACGCTCGGAGAAAGACTCGCTTAGAGCCAAGATTGCCGCACTTCTACGCCCGGAACAAGGCAGTAGTAACACTGTAGCTGAGATTACAGACGAGGAGTCATCAATCAGTCTTTACGAGCGTGAGCTGGGCGATGAATTCTGCAACGGTATTAAGCCTATCTTCCAAGCCGGGCACCAACGTTCGTATGAGTCTGCTTGGAATTGGGTGCACATCGAGCTGCTATCTGCATACTATCGATGCGTTGAGGCACGAAATGCCGGCCGAGAGCCGAGCACACACGACCTCCTAGCTATCGAGCGTATCCTTAGAGGTAAATACAACTCGAGGCTAGAAAGAGTCAGGAAGTTCCTTTTACATAAAGAGGCATCGCATAATCATGGTGCAATCACGAAGATCAGTGAGGCCCTTGCCTCTGTCAGAGATTATGACGAACTTGATAAGACCACGAGCTCGAACGATAGCATTTGCGGCGGCTTTTCTGATGACATTGACGACCTCGACGAAAACGCAACGTCGCCAGATATGAATCGACGCCTCTTAGATGGCCTCTTCACAGGAAAACCAACAGCAATTGATATCAATGTTGTATCATGTGATGAGGGTACGCCCGGTCCTCTCCTCCGCGTCCTTCGGAGGCGGGGCCCGTCGTGGGTCTCGCACGAGAGGTTGACCGAACACGTTAATCTCGATATCTCTCCCTCACCTAACGAATTCGCTGGTAATTACATACTCATGACTGGCACTGGGCCCAAGTCAATAGGCATTGCTATTCTGCCTAAGCTTCTTCGTGGTGGGGCGAAGGTTGTGCTGGGGACGAGCAGGAAGATGGCCGACGCGGGTCCTTTCTACCAGAAGATCTATGCGAGCTACGGAGTACCCGGATCCAAGCTAGTCATCCTGCCTTGTAACCAAGGAAGCAGCCAGGACGTACACAATTTGATATCGCACATCTACGACCCGGTTAAGGGTCTCGGCTGGGATCTTGATATCGTCCTACCGTTGGCGGCCATGGCGGAAAAGGGCCGCGAGTTAGACGAGCTCGACTCTAAATCGGAATTGGCGCATCGAGCTATGCTGGTCAACACACTGAGAGGCCTCGGTGCTATCAAGAAGGTCAAAGCGGAGCGGGGAATCCGCACGAGACCAACGCAGGTTCTATTGCCACTTTCTCCGAATATGGGTACCTTTGGTGGTGATGGATTGTACTCCGAATCCAAAATGGGCTTGATGGCCACTCTTCACAGATGGACGTCGGAGAGCTGGAGTGAGTACCTATCTATATGTGGTGTAATTATTGGCTGGACCCGCGGCACCGGCTTGATGGAAGGAAATGATGCTTTGGTCCAGTGGGTTGAGAAACTTGGTGTGACTACCTTCTCGATTGATGATATGGCCGGTCATATGTGTAAGCTTCTAATCGACCCTGTCGCGTCCTTCTGCCAGACGGAGCCACTTGTAGCCGACTTTAGTGGGTGTATGAGCAGCAATCCCGACCTTGCGGCATCACTAGCCGAAGTCAGGCTCAAGGCAAGACGGGATCGAGATATCGAACGCGCGCTTACCGATGAAAAGGCTCTCGACATGGCGGCGGTGGAAGGCCGTCATCTATCTTCAGCATCGGGGTCTTCTTCCTCCCCATCACTACCTCCCCTAATAGATCTTGATCTTGACTTCCCAGTCCTACCCGATTACAGTAGGGAGATAGAACCCCTGAAAGCAACGTTAGAAGGCATGGTAGATCTTGAATCGATCGTTGTTGTCGTCGGCTTTGCTGAATTAGGCCCCTGGGGAAACTCTAGAACGAGATGGGCGATGGAGCTCAACGGTGAACTCTCACATCGAGCATGCATTGAGTTGGCTTGGATGACGGGCCTGATCAGGGCAAACAAGACCTCAGACCCATTCGCGGCCGAGTGGGTCGATTCACTTACAAGCTCCCCAGTCAGGGACAGCGAGGTCCGCGCTAAATACGAGAAACGAATCCTAGAAAACACAGGTCTGAGGCTGATCCAGCCAAGCCCTCTGGATCATCCGACCCGTGAGAAGAAGAGATTTCTGCAGGAAGTCATTGTCCAAGAGGATCTGGCGCCTTTCACAGCATCTTATGAGACGGCAATGGACTTCGTTCGGGAGCATGGGAATGAGAAGGTCCAAGTAAGCCAAATAGCACCAGGGTCTGATGAGTACCATGTCAGGATTCGCAAGGGCGCCGTGATCATGGTCCCTAAGGCAAGTGTGTACGATCGAATTGTGGGAGGCCAAATCCCAGCTGGCTGGGACCCAAAAATTTACGGGTTACCCGAGGATATTTGCGAGAGTGTCGACCGGTGTACTCTCATGGCGCTCGTATGTGCCGCAGAGGCCTTCCAAAGTGCAGGAATCACGGACGTATACGAGCTGTTCCAGACGCTGCACGTGTCTGAGCTAGCCAACTGTGTTGGGTCCGGCATGGGTGGTGGCCAGTCACTGCAAAAGCTGTATCGCGAAAGATTCCTCGAAAAAGAAGTGCAAAGCGACATCCTGGCGGAAACCTTCATCAACACCACAAGCGCCTGGCTCAATATGCTGCTTATAGGCGCATCCGGCCCCACGAGAACACCAGTTGGGGCCTGTGCAACGGCTTTGGAGTCAGTCAATCAAGGCTACGATCTGATTACTAGTGGCATGGCTAAGGTATGCCTCGTGGGCGGCTTCGACGACATGACACAAGATACCTCAGCCGAGTTCGCGAACATGAAGGCAACAAACAACAGCGCGGCTGATCTGAAGGACCGCGGACGTGCACCACACGAGACTTGTCGACCGTGTACCACATCAAGAGCAGGCTTTGTCGAGTCTGAAGGCTGCGGCATACAAGTCTTAGCCAGTGCCAAAACAGCGCTAGAGCTAGGTCTGCCCATCCGTGCTGTAGTTGCTCACGTGGCAACATCCAATGATGGTATTGGGAGATCAGTGCCCGCGCCTGGTCAAGGGCTCATGACGCAAGTGCGCGAGTCTTCTACAGCACCACCGTCGCCGCTACTCGATATCGCCTACCGAAAATTCATGCTCAATTTGACGCTAAGTCACATTCAAGAACGGTACAGCATGTTCCACCCAGGTAACTCACCGCCGCAACAGGAGAAAGCCGAGGCTGTCGTCTACGCAGAAGAGATGGAGCGGGCACGGAAACGCGAGGAAACCGAGGCTCGCCGCCGGTATGGCAACGATTTCTGGAAGGGCGACCCGCGTATTGCGCCGCTCCGCGGTGCTCTCGCGGTTTGGGGCCTGACAGCCGACGACATCGGCGTGGTTTCGCTACATGGTACCTCGACCCATGCCAATGAGAAAAACGAGGTCGCGGTGCTACATCAGCAGCTGACCCAGCTGGGCCGCTCACCAGGCAACGCCGCCCTAGTCGTCTGTCAGAAATACCTGACCGGACACCCGAAGGGTGCGGCCGCGGCGTGGATGCTGAACGGGTGCTGTCAGATCCTAGATAGCGGTGTCGTCCCGGGCAATAGGAACGCTGACGATATTGACGTTGTGTTCGAGCCGTACGAGAACCTTGTATTCCCTGAACGTGCCCTAGCTGTCTGTGATGTCCGGGCTTTCAGTGTCACAAGTTTCGGGTTCGGGCAAAAAGGCGCCCAAGCTCTCGGCGTGCATCCCAAGTTTCTGTTTGCCACCTTGGAGAAGAGGTCGACGTTTGATGACTACTGCTGCCGGCGGGACGAGAGATGTCGGAGAGCTAAGCAATATTTCCAGGATGGCATTTACAATGGCATATTGGTCGAGTTGAAGCAGAAACCGCCATATGACAAGGGTCTCCAGATGAAAGCGATGGTGGATGCAGACTGGAGGCTCGCGTGACATTCTGTGATGGTGTTTAGGAAGAAGATTGCAGATGTACTTTGGGTACTTGGTACTTGTGAAATAGGGCACCCCCTGTTTGTGGCCAAGACACCCTTCGGCCCGAAACGGCCCGCCATCTTGGCTGATAACCCCCTATTCATTTGAGCCACGTCCAAGGGCGATGATAACGTTCAGTCTGAACAACAATGTATTTACTGGGATGTTGTCAAATATAGGTTGAAGTAAAGAGAATGGACTTTAGATCTCTCATATGTCGTGCTGTAAGTTTTCCATACTACCGCTTGAAATTCCCACAAGTCAGCGAGAACGTAAAGCTGCTGTGGCTGGTAGCTCTCCTACGCATCTAGTCACTCAACTCCAAAATTGAAGAATCGGTGTATGGGCGCTAAAACGAAGCCTAGGTGAGAAACTTTCGTACGTTCGAGGTATACGTCGCTTCATCAGCTAGATGCCAACTAGGTCTCGACTGGCCAATCCCCAGAGAGAGATATCAAATCTTCGTAGGATTACCAACTTATGCATAAGTAGTATGTCGAGGGTGGTAAGACTGCTGTGATCTCCATGGAGCAATCAGCTAAGCGGCTATATATTTCATCATGTTGTTGTATTCACGTGTTCGAACCGAATGCCAACGTGTGGATTTGGTTAGACTCTTACGTCAATGCGCCGTTGAAAGGATTATGATCTGTGTGGTCATGTCATATCATTCTCTTATAGTGTCAGGTTTATTGTAAAAAGGTAAGTAGATAAGATAGGATTATAAATACCTACATTGGCTTGTGTAACAATAGCCCAGCAAATTGAAATTTACCTCCAAACTCTCATCAACAAAGTATGGATGTTCGTTGGCAAACCTGTTAATTACAATAGCAATGCATAAAAGAGAATTAGCATAAACAAGTAAGCGATGCTGTTGAATAAGCTCCCTGACTAGGTCAACTTCAAGGTCTCTCGGGTCTCGGGTCTTGTAAACTCGGCGATCATTCCCGAAAAGCCTGCCTTTCCGCTCCATGATTTCAAAAATACTAACTATCATATTATCAGGAGCTTCATCAAGAAAAATAAATCATATGTCAGATCATGAGCGCCACCATGCAAAGGCCTGGCGTCAGACACTATACCTGAAATATGTGATCTGTCAGAGTCGAACCATAGCATGAAGTACGGTAGCCGTCGAGTTGACAAGGTTGTGGTCTAAACACGTTATCCAGAGTCTATGTAGACACATTTCAGCAGTCTCAAGGCTTTGAAGACCCATAATTCGTATCAGATAACCTATAGATCGACCAGGCTCAGGAGGCAAGAATGCCACGCTGGAGTTATAGTTGGCCACCAGAGTGATAATAGCCACATAGTGACGAGATAGGGATAATTTTTCAAACGCGCCAGATCGGCCCACTTGGGATTTCCGTGGAACGCGAGTCTCTGTTGGCGCCAAATAGCATCTATTGTTTGTGCGAGATCATGAAAGCGATCATCTCTACCAAGAGCGTATCTAGAGGGTATTAGTCAGACATGGCCTACGCCTCTGAATAATCCAACAAGAACTCAAGAGAACGCAGAGATGACATTAACAACGCTCGCCACAGCCTTCAGAGAATATTGTTTGCAGCTAGCACCTCATCTTTCTACCACCGCCGCGGAGTGTTTTAACATAACGAGATGCTTTATGCCATCGCAGACACAATGATGGAACAACTGTTCAATGCGCAGGCTTCGATTTTAATGCGGCCATAACTCAAAAATCATTGAAATATCAGGAAGGGGTCAACGGAATTGTTCACATGATTGTGATGATGGATTTAATCACGGAGATATTCTGTAGTTTATTGTCCCAGATGCGAAGTTTACTTGCATTATCATGGATATCTGTATTTCTGGCTTGATGGCTTGAGGCTCAATCTGCAGCTACTCTTGTTCAAATATGGTTGTGTTGAATCAGAAGCGTGTAGTCTCTCAGTGTAGGGGTTAGCGATATGAGGAGTGTCCATATCACTGGTATTATCTATTATCTAATCAGACACGAAAAAAAGAACAGGGGGTCAAAGATTCATTTGAAACAACACTGTGTGTCTTACATTAATAAGATTCTCAAACAATAGGAGGCAGCGTTTGAAAGGCTTCACGAACTACCGTAGTGTAAATATATATCACTGTAAGGCGTACTATAGGCTATGAATTGTTGAGATAATAAATATAATAGGCGTAACATGATGTATATAGTCCACTAGACCTAGGTAGAGTTCAGTTGATACTTCCATGACTTTAGACCTTCGTGCTTGCGCAACTCGCCCTAAAAACCTTATACCAGATTAGGTAATGATAACTCATAGGAATGGCCCAGCAACAGCTGTGGTTGGCCACAAAAGGCTGCCGCAACAAAGACAACAAACAAAACGCGCTATCAACCAGAGTATTGGGATCTCCCACGCAAGAAATATGGCTGATATCTCCCTGTGTGAGCCCCATCAGAGTCCAGTACCAGAAATTCATTACTATTGTTGCAAGGGAGAAACAAGCGACCCATTCAGCACACTATATGTAAAGGTCCTATGTAAATGTCTCAGGCAGGGTCTGAATTGGGAAACAAACGCCACAAAGCGCGTTGCAGCACCTCTACTCTTTTTCAGCTCTGTTATTGCTGGCAGGTATTGACCGCGTTTCTGTGGACATTTATACATGGCTTGGCCTTCGCTCGGCCATGATAACACAGCTTGACATAACCTCGTTCTCAACCTCATCCTTCTGTCTGGGCCACGATGGTTTGCCAAACAAGGAGCCAAGCCAGGCAGCAGGCCGAAAAACGCGACACTCGCCAAACTCAACAAGACGGGAACACAACACCTGACATTGTTTATCCAAGGACAGTCAGAGTTGCAGCCCGTAGCCCCAAAGGACGAGGGCGGAAACGAGCACCGAAACAGACTAAAAAGCGAAACCAGGCTCCTCGTGTCCCTCCCTCATTCAACCATCTCCCCACTGAGATTCGCGTCATGATTTGGGAGGAGTACGTCCGTACGCCTCGCATCATTCGCATCGATGTACTGAAGGAGACACCAACAAAGGCAGAGCAAGGGTACGTTGTTCGATTCCGGGCGGACGAATATCAAGGCAAATCCGAACAGGTGAGTACATTGGAGTCTATTGACTGCTGTGATATGGCCGAAATAGCGTACAAACCCTCTGTCAGACTTCAGTTAGAACTACGCTGTTAGACTGTCTGCAGTCCAACGGTTATTATATAGTGCTACTTAAGTCCGACACCCACACCAGCGTGGACTTTCCACCCCAGAGACCAAGATCCCGTGATATTTGTTGTTGATGTTAATCATGATTATAGGTCTGCCCCCTGGTGGGTGTCAACCGCGAGAGCAGATACGTTGCACTGCATGCGATGAAGGAATCTTTGATTCATTTCACAGTTAGTTGTAATATTGAAAAGCCTAAACGATTTCAGCCAACTTCCAGCATCCGACGCAACTTCAGCATCAGAAGCCATGACGTCGTATTCTTTGAAAATTCAGGCTCATCTACCTTCAGAAGGATGTGGCTTTATGGAGATACGCCCAGAATCACGAATGTCATGGTGGATCTCGATGTTTCTGATATCAATTACATGAGCAATGATGCGATTCCACAGTGGGAAGATATGTTTGAAATGGCACAACATCTAACTAAAGAGCTCAAAAACAAGGAACATCTGCAGAATATCTATTGTCTGATGCGAAATGACAAGACCCTGCTCTATGGTATTGATTCCGTACAGGAACTGACACCAGAGAGGTTGTATCTATTTCCAAAGGAGCGCGAAGGTGATCTCCTGCAGTGGCTGCAGGAATTTGATATATTTCTCCAAGCCGTTGACCATGGAACGATACGTCTGTTCTATGCTCAGGATTTCAACGCAGTGAGGACTGTATGGAAAAATGTAATGCCTACCACTGGGTCTACAGATGGAAGTCAAGGCCCGTCGTCAATAGCGAGAACTTAACACTTCTGAGCGACTCACCTGAGATGGACTGCTGGTATTTGAAAGGCTGTACAAGATTATTGCAGATGGCATATAGTGGCAAAAATATGGTGAAGAGGAGAAATCACTAGTTGAGTCGACTGTAAGGAGGATTCGGCTTGTCAAGTACATGCACGGGACTACCTACAGGGTGGTGTATCAGCATCACTGGAAGGAAAACACGGCGTCAGGGTAGCATATAATATAGCATATGCAGACGGTCAAGTTCCCGACTGATGAAATGCAAAAGTCAACGCTAATGCCTCTTTGGCACTATCGCAATATTTCAGCACCGACCTCATAATGTGCTCTAAAAGAGGCAGAAGCCGCAGAAGACAGGCTGTGATAAGGAGGTGTGTGCAGCGAGTCGGCTGAAATGGAAGGTATATGAGGGTTACATTCAACTGAACTACTTGATCTGAGTGAGGTGGGAAGGCCGCCTTATATACATGAACAGTACCTTCGTGACTCTTCGTGCCCCTTGACCCGTACCGTATACATAAAGTGACTCCTTTACCACCTACACTTTCAACAGAGTCAAGTTTGTACCAGTCCTGAATGAGTTTCATATATATCGCGGCCTTTTTTTTTTTTTTTAGATCGTTTGGGAAAGATGGACAGCATGGTAAACAAGTATTCTTCGGATTGGTAACTAAGACTTGCCGGTGGTAGGTGTGCAGTTATGGGTATTAGGGACAGATACATCCCTGCACGCAAATTAGAATTAGAATGGATTCGTAAATAAGGAGGAGACCAGTATCAATTACATTAACTCCTCGGCGCCATAATTGGGCACAAGCTCGGATTGTCCGAGAACTGTTTCAATGCTCGGCGGAGATTTTCAATATAGCTTATTACACGCGCCACCGTAGCTTGCCATCCTAGCCCATAGAAGAAAACGTGAAAGCAAATTCACCAACAGCGCCGGGGGGGGGGGGGGGGGCATCGGAATTATCAAGCTATGTCCTGCGTTGGGTGCTTCTCTTGTACTTCGATGAAAAGTCCCGTCGCCTATCTATGCGTCACCCAGGTCGCGTTGAAGCTCACCCACTAGTTGCCGGACCGGGAGCTTTGCTTCCTCAAGTTTGTCCCAGAAGGTCCGACAGGGTTTAGAAAGAAGATCAATATTGACCAAGCCATCATCAAAGGGGTATTCTGCCATGTATGTAACCATTTGGAGGAAGTAGTTGCAATGGCCTTCCCGAAAGGCACTTGCTAGCCGAATAAACGCCTCAAGCAAGACATGTGCTCGGGGAACAAGCACAGGTGATCCATGTGATGAGAACGCGCCTTGGCCGCGCCCAGGACGCCACGGGGGCAGTTCTGGAGAAGACGCCTCTAGGTAGTAAGGGCTCGATGCAGCACCAATTTCCCTCTTGGAACTGGGGGGCTTGTCTGGCGGCGGTATAAACCAAAGTGTTTCCGAATGTAGTCGTAGTGACACATCAATTTCGGAGCCTGGGATGTGCATGTGAAAAGCGGGTGATGGGAACGGGCTTCTATCCCCTGACACGATACAAGCATCAAGATCTGGGCATGGGCGAAGATGTGAGCGTTTCAGGGTAGCGACTGCAAGTAGCATTTTATCGTCTGGAACAACGAAATCAATACCCTAGAACTGGTTTAGACGTGAATAAGACACGGAAGGCTGCCCAATTACTACTCACGCCGACTATGGTTGGTACGCCGTACACAGTGAGAAGGTATTCGCCCCATAGGATTGAGGGCACGCCGACGCCTGCCAGAAGCGCAGATATGGATTTGACGCCATCTTGGCTTAACGGATCCGAGGCCGTAGAAGGCATGGCAATCAGTCAAAGTGAGTCGGATGTGTGCAGGGTGCTAGAGAGCAGTGGACTTCTCCAAGAGCACGGGGTTCGCTTGATTGAGCAAGTCAAGTGCGATGACGATTATATATAGAATGCTCACGCGGTAGAATGGCTAGCCATATGTTGAGCTGGGGGGACATGGTGTGATGGTCAAAGACGTCGTCGAGGACGGCTCTGCTTGGGAGAATGTTACCTAGATATGTTGGTGGGGAGTTGGTGAGAAGACCATCATCACGTCCCAGTGCACGCGCGCGCGTCACACCTTCCACAACCCCCCACCCCCACTATTTTCTCCTTTAGTGGTGGCTTGCTGCCTATAAGAATCTTCCACTCTGCCGTGGCTTGCCCAGCGTCCAGTTTAGCGCAGGCCCACATACATATAGCCGCCGGAACTACCTAGATACACTACATACATAGTACAGAGAGCCTCGCATTGCTGAAACCAACAACATGTCAAAGCCTCACATTGCCCACACCAGCAATATGCCCGTGTTCCGTTCTTTTCCCCGGCTCCCACCTGAACTCCGATGCCAGATCTGGCAGTCCAGCTTGGAGACTTGGTCCGTCGTCACGGTTAGTGCCAACAAGTGCTCTTACACGCTGCAGCCCATTGGCTGGGACAAATGTGTCGTTGGTCGCGTCTGCATCGAGGCTCGGATCATCATGGAGAAGACTTGCAAGGCTTTCGCTCTCGGCGGCACCGCGTGGATTAACTTGCAGTCGACAACGCTCTTCTTCGGGGAGGCAGCGAAGGCTTCACACACTATCGGGCGTTTAGATCCGCGGCTCTGTTCCGACATGACCCACGCTGCTATCATCTGGACTACTTGGCCCGAAGTTGTTGGCTGCATCAAGCAGATGTCCAAGAGGTGCCATTCGCTGACGTCCATTTCCATCTTTGACGCCGGCAAACCCGTCACACATCATGTCCGACCCTTGGGCCCAGAGGATGTGGAGCGGATGGTAGCATTTCCCCTATGTTCGAAGCCAAAGTACGAACCTTGGTGGATGGATGGAGACGCCCTGACGGCAGACCTTCAAGCGTGGTTCTCACGCGACCCCGTCTCCAGCCTGCCTGCTATCAACATGATCCCGCTTTGACGCCGGCCGATTCACTCGGCCAACATCTCTTCAGAACCTAGCTGGGCGGCTGAACTTTGAAGATGTTAGGACTCTGTGGTAAGGCGCTTCGAGGGCCAATTGACATGGTCCTGCCCCTGGAATGGTTCTATTAAAGACCTCGATATCCCTCGATTCGTAGAGTATGTGAAGCAACAGCCAGCAAGAGCCTTTAACCCGATTACACCCTTTTTGAGACTCTACTCGTTGAACTATATCTTTGATCACAGCTTGTTTCCTGACATGACTCCGCCGTCTTTATCAGAGCTTGAATCCGCGGCCCTTGATGTCATAAGCATATTGAAGGGGCTACCACAATTTGCTGAGCAGAAGATTGCTGTTATTGGAGGCACGGCTCTTTGGAAGTATCTACCACGTGGCCGGTCAACTGAGGTGCTTCGAACTTTCTAGACCACATCACGTATCATTGTTGACCGGCATAGGACGTTGACTTTATCGTGACTCTCGACGGGCCCAAGAGTATCAAACCGATCCTTCTTAAACTTAAGAACAGCCCTTTTGAGGAGCGCGCACAGTGGTTCTACTACCGCACGCCGGCAACGAAATTGATACAAATTGATTTTGTAGCGCAATGGCAGGTATGTCTGACTCCCAATCTCTGTGTGGGATGTGATACTGACAGTTTCCAGGCCCCATACTTTCCATCAGCAGCCCAAAAGATCAAGGATATCCCAAGGGGAATAGTTCCCATGATTTCCCCGGAGGACTTGGTGTTATCAAAGATGTTTTCTTGTGGTTTGCGCGCAAACCCGCGTCAGAAAAGGCGCGACGCAGGAGATGCAGAAGACCTTTTGGAAGCACTGACCGCAAAGGTGCCATCTTTACGGCTCTCTGACGCTAAAATTGAGGTCGCAAAGCAGGGCTTGGCTGATGTCTTGTCTGTGTCTGAGAGAGGCGAGGCGTGGTGGCGCTCGAAGCTTGGGATTCCTAAATCTCCTAGTCCAAGCCCGAGTCGCGTTGTTTCGAGTGCTTCGTCGGCTTCTCGGGGAGGTAGCTCTGGACAGAGAGGAAGTCCTCGAGAATCGGCCAGTAAGGGTTCACCTCGCAGATACTACTGATTTCCTCCCGACTTGGGATCATGAAAGGTGGAACACAACGCGATCACAGTTGACGTTGTAAATTTTGCCCAGGTGGCAATGACTGGATGTCACTGTGTTACATGTGCTCGAAACTTGTACATTGTTTGGTATGTGAAAATCGGGCTACTCCTCTAGCGTGCTCTTAATAATGGCGTTTGTTCAATTGTATTGAAATTGAGTCCATCGTTCCCTCGCTTGTGTGTGACATGGTTGTGTATAGGGAGAGTTAAGGTCAGCCTCCAACGCACGCCGGAAACGATCTGATTAGATTGCAAGGCCCTTGGCAGTCATAGATTATCATTGCAATCCGAAGCTATTTTCAATCATTTTCAGCCCTCGTTATACATTACAGGAAGTGTTAAAAGCGCGTACAGCTGAACGGGCAGTTTACGTACGGTTTTGGGTGTAATGCAGTCTGATCTTGATCTTCGAAGGGCATGCAGGCAATATTGAATGTGAGGTTATACGGGCTTCGCTTGATGAAACAGATCACTATGGCCTAGACTAAGAAGGAATTGGTTGGGCACGAGCTTTTACAGCCTTAGCAAACTTTTATATTGTGAATAGCATCAGTTCCAAACCCGGGCGCTATCCGTGTTATATGAAATCTGAATGATGCTCCTTATGTTACACGCACATACGCTGTGCTAAGCTGAATATGCAGTTCGCCTTGCACTTCGGCCGTACGAGAGGCCATTGAAGACTGTTCATAATCCCTGAGAGACATGCAGGCAATATTGGGCAATATTGGAAAGTGAGGTTATACAAACTTCGCTTCTTGAAACAGACCCCAGAGACCTAGGCGGTCTGGGCTGGAAGACCAGTTGTATATAGAATCGAGTCAAGCCACTAATAGCTAAGAAGGAGTTGGTTGGTCAAGGACTCATGCAGCCTTAGTTGATCATTGTATCGTGAATAGCATCAAGTTCCAAGCCCAGCTTCTGCCATTGTTATACATTGTCGAGAAGCCTCCGTTCGGCATAGGGACATTAGGGGAGAGATGGGATATGGTTCTGGAAACGCTCAGCACGCGAATACATACAACGATGATGATGACGGCATATGTCAAATCGGAATTTCCTCGTCATTTGTTTCATCGACACGACATACGCAACGCACATACGATCAGAGGGTTAATGCCACCTGCATGTCGAGACATTCAACTTTTATATGTAACGCACTCGAAGTTCCTACGAGATGTGTAGTGAACGGGGATTTGATCTATGTCCTTGACGGTTGGACATTACCATGGTACCCTCACAGCCGAGATTATTATCGTCTGGTATGATAGGGAGAGGCATGCATAAATTATGGGGGGAGAAAGATGATGGAGGAATTTGGCGCTGATGATACCAACATGTGGCACTATCCATAGATGATTCAAATCTCATATCTGCATGCTATCTCTCGGCTAGAACATGCTAGAGATTAAGACGAGAAGGTGGAAATACCACCGCATATCTCTTGCAATGGGTGTGTTACTTGTGGCTCTTCCTTGACTCGTGAAATAAGGCAAGATTAAAACAGTAGCTTTTTATATGTGTGTTGTTTTATCTAGAGGTGAGTAATAAAGCTAAAAGTCTACAAGATAAATAGACTCGGGATTGATAGCCTAGTGGGCGTATCTGCATTACATGTCTTTGATACTTCTCAACATCGTGCCTGCGGACTGATATCTAGGCATGATTACAACTAGCAAGCCTAAGATAAGTAATAAGTAACCTACAACTTGCGTACGTATGAAAGATTTGAAAGCTGATTCTCGCGTTCAGAGTTACGCCACAATGCACCGTCTTAACTTAGACCATTTATGTGAGCATGGAGGAAATCTATCTGAGACAAGGTGACGGAAGTTAAAATAGACTCAAGCGTGTTTGAGTTATAAGGCTACATGTCTCAAAGTATGTTTAGATGTTAGGGACTAAGAAGCGCATGGTGTCAGACATACACTATTTGCTATGTGTTATACTACATTTGCATGCTTTTATATATGAATGCGTCTCATAGCTGGGATTGATAGAATGGAAAGGTAAAACAGTAATTGGTTAAAGACAGCACGGGTAGCTCGGTTTAAAGAACAGAACTATAGGCTTATTAATAAATGCCGCCCGAATAGCTTTAGAGATCATAATTTTGACGATGTGAATGTGCCACTTAAAGGCCCTGGTTTCCAGTCTAGCCTGGCTAAAGCCTTGTTTCCAACTTGGAAATAGAACGCTGGGGGCCTTTTCGGTTAAGAAGGCGCGAGATTTCAAGCGCAAATATCACTGGAGTTAAGCACAGTAGGCTGTAATCCAATAAGCCTTGTAGAGAGTATATACTAAAAAGCACCCAGTTCATAAAACAAGGAATATAGTAACTTAGGACGAAATACCCTCTTAACTCATCATAGCAGTCTATAAGTGATATTAGGGCTTCTTCGTTTAACCTTTATTAGGGGCATAGTTACATACAGAACCTTTGAGCACCAGTTCGTCAGTCTAAAGCATCAATTGAGTTATAAGGTTACTACCAACATCATAATGTCTTAAAACGTTCTTACTTACACTGTTCTACTTCGTCTTCAATCTCATTCGGGTATCCATTGAAGCAATTTACCCTCCACAATGCCCTCATATATACTTTATTAACCTAAGTCTACGCCTTATAATGAATGTAAGCTGGGCTTGTAATAGTCTGGTACATCTGCATCATCACTGCTGATGTGTACAGTTACTACTGTGGCTACTAATCGTCAATGGACGTGCCGAATGGCACATTACGCTGCTTAGGTATCGAAACTTCTCTGTCGAGTATACTTAGCCAGCTACGTTCTTAGTGCCTCGGGTATAATTGTGGAAAGCCGTAGGCCTGGCTACGAAGTTAGACATGGGATTACACAATAATAGCCAAGTTGCGTGGGATTACGCGTATTTCATTGTAAAGAGGGCGCAGTCGTAACTCAAGAACTAACAGCTCTGAGTTAATTAACCATCATAGACATGATATAGATTAATATCCTGGGATAGTACCGCCTGATTGAGCCTACTACAGTAGTGAGCTGGCATGAGTCAAAGAAGTAATTGAATATACCAGATGTTATAATTTTTCAGTACTGAAATGGGCGACTGAAAGATACAGGGCTCATGTCATCTATACCTTTACCGCCAGGTTCCTACCATATACCTTCTTAGCTGGATAATGTCGAGGTTCCTACTTATAACGCCCCAATAGGCAGCTGTCAAATTAGAAGATATCACTCCGCATTGTAGTCAGTCGGGTTCGGCTGCTAAGAAGAAATAAACTGAAGTCTGGAGGCACGGAGCTGCTTCGTCGTCAACGTTCGCCAACAACACATGAGAACGACGGAAGACTATGGTGTTGTGCCCAATACCTCGCGCTCTACCCAGTGACCTACCTTCTCGTTTGGCCAGTTTTAAGGACGCATGCCGGGCTACAGGTTTATTCTTGAGAAATATTCACTTGATTCCATCGTTTATCAGATCTATTGTCATCGCATAATCTTCAGAATGGTTTTATCCTACATTCTGCAATGTGGAAATACAGCAGCACGTAGGACTGGCATGAGTCATTTCTTCCTGTCTACATTACGCAAATCTCGCCTCGATCATTGACAGAGGCAGTTCTCATCTGAGTTTGCCGTCTCCGCTGCGAGCGTCATTGATATTACAGTTGGTGTTGTGCCTTTGGCGCAGAGATCATATACTTGTGTCATACCGGTATATGGTAGTGCCAGGTGGCGGGAGATCAGGTAAGAATACCTGTAAATCATGCGTAGTCATTTTCGTATACCCACGGTTGGCTACTCACGCGAGTACGTTAGCAACTAAGCTTAATAAGCAAAAACCCTGCCTCACGACCACCCCCGTCACGACCAGGGCCCTAGGCACCCTAAAACGCGCTTTAACTCCCAACCACCTAATTAAATACTACTTAATAACATAACCGCATTTAAGTCTTACAATAACTTTTTACCCTTATTTTGTTTAAAATTAATTCCTCTTTATCGTTATATCTTTTAATTTTAAAAATTATTATATTATAGCTATTATTTATATAGTTTAATTTAAAACTTTAATTTAAGTAATAATATATATTTAAAATATTAATAAATTATACCTATATTATTAACTTTAAGGTATTTTTATTAAAAAATAAATTTATATTAACCTTTAAGCTTTATTAACCTATTATAAATATTAATTAATAAATTAAATAATAAAATAAATTAAGCTAAACTTTATACTTTTATTTTTTAAGTTTAAATTTATAATTAAATATATATTAATTACTTTAAATAATAATAAAAGTTTTAAAAAAGAATAATATATATATTTTTTAATTTAAAATAATAAAGTTAAATTAATTAAATTATAATTTATTAATTATATATAACACATCTCTTACTTAACCTAGCCACCCAATTAACCTAGCTATATTTTTAACCTTTATACATGCATTTAAAAATATCTTAACAACTATTTATACAATTAACTTAAATTAATCTAAATTTAAATTGTTAGACGTTTCTATAACATTTTTGCAAGTTTATGCATTATAGCCAGGTTTGCCGTAAGCCCTATAATGCCGGGCATAAATCTCCTTCCTCTTCGTATAATAATTATTTTAATATATAATGTGATTTTCTACCTTAAAAATACCCTATACCTTTATTTAATCCTTAATATCTTTAATAATAAAAGATCCTTTATTTTATAATTTAATTTTTTTTATATAATAATATTTATTAAATTTATAATTTATTTTATAAAAGCTTTTAACTTTCCCTTTTAATAATATAAAATAATATATAATATTAATTATATTATATATAATTTAACTTAACCCTTTAATAATAAATATAAAAAAGCTATTTTAATATTATATAATCCTTTATTTAATATATTTAAAAAAGAAATTAACTTTAATTAAATTATTTAAAGTTATAATTATATAAAGATTAAATAATATTAAGGATAAAGGGTTAATTTAAAGTATAATTAAATAATTTAATTAATTAATAATATAATTTAAATTATATAATATTAAACTTACTCCTTTAAATTCCCTTTATATATTATTTAAAATAATTGCTTTATTAAATATATAAAAAAATATAGTTATAAAATCTTCCTTTTAAATATAAATAATATATATTTATATAAAACCTTTAATTTACTTTTTATATAACCGTTTTAAAAGGTTAAATATTTTAATATTAAATAATTAAAAGTAATAAAAGGAATAAAAAGGTATATAAAGGATAATAATATTATTTTCTTTATAATATAATTTAAATTTATATAAATAATAACTTTTATAACTATTAAAGAAAAAAAGGTA